AAATATAAAAATTATTAACGTTTTCGAAACTTTGTTTGTTCAAAAATGTAAGCAAAATTACAAAAATATTTTTTATAACGACTAATATCAAAATGGCATTAAGCTGGACCGTACTCCTGAGGGACGGCATCGACGGTGGTGATGAATGCGAGGGATCCGATGAAGATCAGCATCAGCAATAGGCGCTGTGTTGACGACGGGTTGCCGAACATCAGATAGGACGTCTGGGTTGAGACGAAAAGGAGTGTGTCGCGTTACGGGTTCCTTTTACCTGCGTAAATACTTGCAAATTGGGCAGCGTGCCGGAGACCCAAGTTTCTCCATTCAAATCCAGCATTCGCGACAGCGATGGAAAATTGCAAAACTGGCTTTGCGCGTTGTGTGTCGCTAGCGAGGCAAAATGAACAGGTTTTTGTTGTAATTTTGTTTTGTTGTTTTGTTTTATTGTGTTAAGTTGTTCTCGCTATTTAAAATTATAATTAAAAAGGGAAGGAGGGCGGGTTGTCATATTTTGATGATCGGTTTTTGGGTAAGAATAATGCAAAGTCAACCCTTCGATAGGTCGTATATGGGGCCGGGGTTGAAAAGCCGCGAAGCGGTTCTATGGGTTGGGCTCTATCGAGGAAAAGCTAAAAATTTTTTGAGCGCACGTTCAGAGACGTTTTTTTTTTGGAAAAAAGCAAAGATTTTTGCCGCGGCCGGGGGTCGAACCTGGACTCCCGCTCGGGAGGCGCGGACGCATACCAGTCAACCACAGCTACCAGCTGGAGGGGGAGTGAGTGGCGCCCCACGCCGAAAAGGAGGGAAATTGCCTCGCACGGCACGGGCAGGCAGTGCGCGCGGTCCCTACGTCCATAGGGTGTACACGTTGGGACGAGTGCACGGCCCCTCCCAAAAACTAGAATAGAAGGTCGTTCGTAGCTGAAATGCTAAATTTGCATTTTTGCGCCGGAAATGCGTGAAATTTGCACACCCAACCATAACCGAAATGGGGAGTTGTTGCATTTACTAAGCTCCATCCACCTGATGTTTGGTCGTCGACGCAACAACGGCAATGGCCTGGTGATCGTGTGGCTGCTCTTCAGCCTTTTCCGCGGCGCATCGCCGTCCTCATCTTTCGGCTCGTCTGAACACATCATCGACAGCAAGGCGTGCGTTTCACCGCTCTCCCTCGGCACTGTTGGAATTACCCCTGCCTATCTGAACGGTACCCTCACATGATCGATTGCAGACCTCCCGGCAATGCTACCGTCCAACCAGAAGTCGCCTACGGACCCCTCGACAACGTGACGGATGCGTTTGGGGGCATCTCGATCAAGGCCTCCGCGCGTGTCAAACGTGCCGATGTGGGGATTGCGATAGACAGTAGATTCTGAAAATCAAATTTAGTGCCGCGATATGCTTATACCGTTCGTGTGTGTGGCACGACAGATACTGGAAGCTAGGAAGCTGCCACACAAACTTGGAGCAATCACGGTAGATTATTATCGCTTTTGATACAATTTGGTTGATACAATGTTCGAATTAGCCCCGTTCGCGCGGCAAACAAATTTTTCCCAGTAACCCTGTACGACCCTAACCATTTTGGTTCTATACCGGCAGCGGGGATTTTTCCCGGAATCGGGGATTTTTCCCGGAATCGGGGATTTTTCCCGGAATAGGGGATTTTTCCCGGAATAGGGGATTTTTGACGGAATAGGGGATTTTTCCCGGAATCGGGGATTTTTAAAAACGGGAAAATTGGCCGAATTTTGGGGCAGTCGAAATCGGGCGCCGCGACACTTGCGCCGCGTCACTTGCGCCGCGACATTTGCGCCGCGATACCGAGATTCAGCTACTTGAAGATGCAATTTTTCGCGCGGAGTATTCTGGTTAAAGAAACGATCAACTATAATAATTTTGCTGTGGTCTCCGTCTGTCTGTCTGTCCGTGTGAAGCCGAATTCAACTCGAAGGGGAAAGGAGCTAGAGCTTAGCTCTCTTCGGATTCGGATAGAGCGCCGTCAGAAACCCCCAAACTGATAAAAAAATTATGAAAAAGTTTTAGTTTAAATTATTAAAATTAACTTTGAAAGTGGCGCCTTAATAAAACGAGTGGGGGCCCCTCTCCCGGGAGGCCACGCCCCCTTTCCCTTCGCCCCTCTTCCCCAGGCCCCTTCCCGCGCCCAGATCACTTTCTTAAGTTACTTTAATACTTTTTAATACTTTTTAATACTTTTTAATTATGTTAATTAATTATTTAAATCATCTAAAGCCATCGGGAAGGTATTTAGGTAGTTTTTTAAGGGGATTTCAGCCATGGGGGGTATCTAAAGCCATCAGGGAGGTATCAAAGTAGTTTTTGAAGGGGATTTCAGCCATGGGGGGTATCTGAAGCCATCAGGAAGGTATTTAGGTAGTTTTTGAAGGGGATTTCAGCCATGGGGGGTATCTGAAGCCGTCAGGAAGGTATTTAGGTAGTTTTTGAAGGGGATTTCAGCCATGGGGGGTATCTGAAGCCATCAGGGAGGTATCGAAGTAGTTTTTGGAGGGGATTCCAGCCATGGGAGGTATCTGAAGCCGTCAGGAAGGTATTTAGGTAGTTTTTGGAGGGGATTCCAGCCATGGGAGGTATCTGAAGCCGTCAGGAAGGTATTTAGGTAGTTTTTGAGGGGATTCCAGCCATGGGAGGTATCTGAAGCCGTCAGGAAGGTATTTAGGTAGTTTTTGGAGGGGATTCCAGCCATGGGAGGTATCTGAAGCCGTCAGGAAGGTATTTAGGTAGTTTTTGGAGGGATTCCAGCCATGGGAGGTATCTGAAGCCGTCAGGAAGGTATTTAGGTAGTTTTTGGAGGGGATTCCAGCCATGGGAGGTATCTGAAGCCGTCAGGAAGGTATTTAGGTAGTTTTTGGAGGGGATTCCAGCCATGGGAGGTATCTGAAGCCGTCAGGAAGGTATTTAGGTAGTTTTTGGAGGGGATTCCAGCCATGGGAGGTATCTGAAGCCGTCAGGAAGGTATTTAGGTAGTTTTTGGAGGGGATTCCAGCCATGGGAGGTATCTGAAGCCGTCAGGAAGGTATTTAGGTAGTTTTTGGAGGGATTCCAGCCATGGGAGGTATCTGAAGCCGTCAGGAAGGTATTTAGGTAGTTTTTGGAGGGGATTCCAGCCATGGGGGGTATCTGAAGCCATCAGGGAGGTATCGAAGTAGTTTTTTTTAAGTGGATTGCATGAAGGGTAGCCCGAAGGCCAGATGGTTACAGTCGCGAAGCGACTGGAACCATCTGGTAGAAAGATGTTTTTGCGCTAGGAGTCACTCGATTTGGAGGGAAGGAAATTGCTACTGCTTCCGCTCTGCGACTAGAAAAAGGCTTCGTGCCACTCGGGGGCCTAGTCGCTTCGGATGGGTGCGAGCTCGTACAGGGTTTCGAAATCGGGGCGCCAAGGCCGGCGAAGCGGCCGGGGGCGCCCCCATTTCGAAAGAGTGGAGCGGCAGCCCATCCGAAGTGACGGCCCGCCTTGCCTGACGCCTTTAGGAGCGCTCCGAATTGGCGTTACTCACTTTCTGTCAGCTTTTAATGCAAAACCAGGGTTGGAAACTCGCTTCGCGGCTTTCCTACCCTGGCCCCGTCTTATCCAATGAGAGTTCTCAATTTACATAATTCTCCCGAACCGCAATTCGAAAAAAATCAAAAATGGGCTTTCGGTCCCTTTACACAGACTTTTTCACTTCCGGCGTATGCTAATACCCCATCCCCACCACCCACCCCACTAATACCCATCCCCTATCGAGATACGACTGGAACATACTGACGGAAGTTGCATGCAAAGTTACACACACACATACACTATTTTTTTATATATAGTAGGATACAGTAATTACATACAAAATTCGCGCGAAATACCAAATTCACTACAGCTTAAATCAATATACGATCCGCGGCGCAAGTGTCGGGCGCAAGTGTCGCGGCGCAAATGTCGCGGCGCAAGTGTCCGCGGCGCAAGTGTCGGGGAGCCCCCCAAACCGCCAATTCAAAAATCCCCGATTTCGACTGCCCCAAAATTCGGCCAATTTTCCCGTTTTTTTAAAAATCCCCGATTCCTGGAAAAATCCCCGCTGCCGGTATAAAACCACCATTTTTATGGAATTTTAGACAGTTATTAGGTATACAGGGCGAGCAGGAAAAAAAAGAACGTGGTTTGCACTGAAATATCTCATGAACGGAAGCGAATCGAGTCCAGTGCCGGTTTTTACTTCTTTTAGTGTGAACCTTGCGATATGAAAAAGTGCGACTGGAGCGATACTTACCCACTGAGGCTGTATGGCAAAGGCGATGAAACCTTCAGAATGGGAACAGCGTGTGATCCGGAGCCGCTTGTCTGCGTAGGCAGCCTTGTGAAAACTGGAAGATGAAATGGACATTCAGAAAGATGCAGCTGATGAGAAATGCATACAACCCGTTCGTGTTGGCCAGGGGAACGAAGGTTCTTTTCTCGATAAACAGGGTATCCCAAGAACCTGGTATCCCTCCCCCATGGACGTTTGATCGTCTTCTATCGGATCGGGACCAAATTTTTACCAGCGATAGGGACCCATAAAACACTATGCGCACCCGTATTTTCTAAGCAAAATATTGTAAACCCAAAAAAGTGATAGCTAAAATTTTATTTTGCCGATTTTCCTGGGATCGTGACGGATAAAAAAAACCGGTAAAAACGGTAAACCGTAGCCAGATTTTTTAGTTAGTGATGTTTAGTTTAAACATAGGATGCTTCCAGGTTAACGGTCATTTTCGCAGGGGCGGCAGCCAGGCACTTTTTCGTATGAGGGACAGATTTGGAAGAATTTGGGTGTTAGGGTGCAGCTTTTAAGCCCCTTGAAAAACCCCCTTAAAAATACTTAGATAGGGATTCAAAAAAATTCTGCTCAAGGTCAAAAGCTGCGTTAATCCAAAAGATCCGCTTAAGTGAAAGCGCATGACAGTCAATTGAAAACGATGATGTATAACTTGCAGAGTCTTGGATGCTGTTTCCGCACAACCTCTGCACACGCGATATGGTCAAAAACGGCGAGTGCTCGACGGACCAAATGTGGGTGAATCTGAATGGGCGGCTGACTGCTCCTCTGCTATTTAGCCTGTCGATTTTTCAGAAGTACTACACAGTACAATTACCTGGACCAGCCGTATTCGACCGCCTACTACGTGCAGTGTGATGAGAGCTGGATTGTCCCCACGTGAGCGCTTTGTGTGTAGAAACAGAAATCCGTCCTCTCGGCTCCTTCAGAAACCGTTCTAGGATCGCGGGAGCTTCGGGATGCGTGGCGAGTCTGCACGTAGCCGCCGGGCTTGCGCCGAATGACCCGGAAGTATTCCCCGGTGAAGTGAAGGATCTTGATTACGACCGGACTAAAGACAAGGTTAATTCTTTTGGGGGAAACGCTTTATTAGGGTTCTGGACTGTTAGCGGGGGGCCCCCCACTTTCTGTTTTCCACCTATCCCTATCGGTTGATGATATATAATGGATTTTTGTACTGTTTTCGGTAGCTTTTATTTTTGAAAATTCGAAATTTTTGTCCTTGGAATTTTTTCATACCTTCTGACCAAAAAAATCACAAAAAGCCGATAATTTGTATTTTTTTAGGTTGTTTTTGTATCTAAAAACTATGCAAAATGCTACAAAAGATCGTTGATATTGTGTTATAGGGCCGTAGCTAATCAGGGAGAAATTTGGTTAACAATCCAGAACCCACTTTAGCTCTGTCCGAAAAACGCTCCAGCCACCGACAACTGTATTCTGCGTCCGCTGTTGAACTTTCCGTAGGTATTTTAGCAGAGGACCGCCGCGAAGTACTTTTGTTATGGTTTCAATAACGCCATTCCAGACTGGAACCCGGTCTAGCAAAGGCTGGCTTCAAGGATGAGGTGGTAACCCCGTGCAGCTACAAACAGCGCGGCGTGAAGGTTGAAAAGGATTGCGTGTTGCTGGACCTGATCGTTGACGGGAAGGTGATGGAGGCCGATCGCCGCGGGGTGGGTGCTTCTGTTCCAGATTTTGGACTGGGAGCCGGTCCATTATCACCAGTATTCGCAAAATAAACCCTCAAGCGGTCGGCAGTGATTTTACGATTTAGGTATCTATCGAAAGCTCTCGACGAGCTGAGAAGAATGCCCTTTCCGTTTTGTGGAATTCCCGGATTTTAAGCCGATTTTCATAGTCTATCGCATAATTTACAAAATTTTCTACAAAAAACTCATTTTAATTGACTTCAGTGCCATCCAAGCTGCGTTTTCTCAAATGGCTTTTAAACAGCCGACCTTGGGCTACCAGGAAAGATGTAAACATTTGGAAAGTGGGTGTTTTGTTAAGAACACTGGCATGGAAAAGCATCGAAAATTCAGCCAATTTCGCAAAAATTTCAGTAAATGTCTTAAAAATTCGGGAACTTGTAAAATCGGAGAGAGTATAACTCCTCTGCTCACCAAGAGCTTTCGATAGATATCTAAATCGTCAAAATTGGACATGACTGCGGACCTCAACAGGAGGGTCTTTTTTGGGACACCCTGTAGGGTTCCCGATACCTCGAATTCAGCATGGCCCGTATGCGACCCTGCAGTCTCCCAACGACAGCCTGACGATGACCTGGAAGGCCGATAGCACCTATCCGTACAGCTTCCCCCGGTGCATCAACATCAATGACATTGTGGGCCTGCCGGTATCGCTCCTTGGCCGCGGCCGAATCCTGGCTTACTAGATTGTACACGTCACGACGGTCAGCGGGGACACATTTATGAGGTGTGACGAGAATCCCTATTACGCCAGGGCGAAGGAGCAAAAGATCACCATCGGGAGCGTCGACCCGTTCGACTGCAACACCGAAAAGGAGCTCCGTAGGGTGAGGGTTGAGGCGTCGCTTGAATGTAGAATATGCCGATTTTACATAAAGTCGATTTTACATAATGCCGATTTACAAAATGCCGATTTCCTAGTAAATCCTGGCGAATTATGAATTATGAAAATTCGGCCACATGAAGATTCGACAATTCGACATTATGAGATTTGCCCGTATGATAAGGCATCAAACTGGCGCTGCATAGCCGGCTCGATTCCTGGACCTGGGTTTTTGGCGAATACTTCCAACGCTTTCCAGTTGCTGTGCCGCTGGACCGCCACCGAAGCCAATTCCACCGAGACGCCCGCAGCTCTTGCCAGCAATCGCTTGTTTGACTACGACACATACCTGGGATGGTGGACGATCGGTGGCTGCCTCATCCTCGGCGTCGCGATGCGTGGGGAAATTTGGATACTATATAACGACGATATAAAATCGGATTTGTCTAGGCGACCGCACATTCGAATTTTCCCAAGTCGAACCCCTTTTGGTTTGAGGTACCCCCCATACGACTCTTTTGGGGGTCCTTTTCCGGTTTTAAAAAAGAACCTCGCATCGGATCGCCAAACTAAATACACCATCGGAACCGGCGACACTTTTTGCATATTATAAGCTTTTAAAAATTGAAAAATAGTTAAATTTCGAATTTTAACAGCCGATTTAAATTGCGTTTCGCGGGGGGGGGGTCTGCGTAACCTTTGGAGTCGTCAAAAAGTGCCTTCCCATGGTCCGTTTGGGCTGAAATTTTCCACATATAACGACTTGATGTAAATGAAGGTGAGGAAGAAGCGTTTTTTTCAAAATAAGTTTAAAAAAAATTTATATATAATTTTTAAGCTTAAAAGCTAAATTGCTATCAAAACAAGTGTTAGTGATGTCGGTTTGGGCTGAAATTTTGCTCAAATATGCATTAGACATTGCTAGATAAAGTAAAGAAGAAATTACATCGAAAGAATGCTTCTCCTTTGAGATATTTTAACTTTAAACCTTCGCCATACGGGGCGCCACCCTCCCCTTTCGCGGCTCCCAGCCCCCAGCCAGGGGGGCGGGTCTACAGGGTGCGTCAAAAAAAAAAAGCCAAGTTTGCACCAAAATATCTCGCTTATCTTTGAGAATCGAAGGTGCGTTACCATGCCAGAATGCTTAAATATGCTGGGTATGAAGATTTAACACAACTTGATTTTTTCGATTTTTGAGTACGAAACTGTACTATTGACGCTGGTTACGACCGAAAATTGTGCGTTCTTGAACGGGTGGTAGGCAAATTCTGATTTTTGGCCTATAAATAGTTGACATTTGTAGAAAAATAATAGCAAAGTCTTAGAATTTTTGAAGGTTTAGTTCTTTTTTTACAGGCAAAACAAATTTCCCTATTTTGCTTATTTTTACTTTTAATTCGCAACTCGCTTCAAATGCGCTGCCCATGGCTGATTTTTTGCAGATGGTGTCTCCGAATGATAATCTTTAGCACAACACCAAATTTTACCTGATTCTATGGTATTTTAATATTGCTTGCTAAAACGTGCCCCAGAGGAATACTGTAGTTTTCGTTTTTCGCGTTTTTCTTTTTATTGTAAGCTGCGATTTCGCTTAAAATTTTATCATTGGTAAACACCAGTAAGGGTCACCTATTGGCCAAAGATCGTGGAGTTCCAGCCATACACCTTCTTAAAATATGCAAAAAACTTATTTTTGAATTTAGCCACGGAAATGTCTAAATATTTTGATGCATCGGACCAAAAACTACTATTATTTGTTTTCCCGAAAGATCGAAACGTTTCTATGGTGAAAAGAACGAGAAAACGGCGATTTTCTGTTTTCTACAGTAACCCGCCTGGAGCGCGTTTTAGCATGCCAAGACAAAATGCCATAAAATGCCGATTTTTCTATTCTATAGTATTCTCTGGGTGATTGTAAGAGCACCTAGAAAAAATTACTTTATTCCTGTGGCAAATGACAAAGTTATGAAGGAAAGAAGAAAACCCTCCTCGGCGCCCGATTTTGGACCCGACACCGCTGCCCCGAAAATCGAATTTTTGAAAATGAAAAAGGCCCCGGGGTTTGGTGGATACAATTAACGTACGCATCAAACAGTGTATAAAAGCAGAATTCTGGAATGATCTGGCTGAATTTAATGGTTAATTTTGATTTAAAACCCGAAAATCACGTTTTTGAAAAGCCGACTTTGGGGTGCTCTTCTAAATTCGTTTGCGATGAAAAGGGTTGGTATTTGCATGCGTTTTAGTTAACTACCCAAGCTTGGTCTATGCCAGAAAAGTCGGGGCTACTAAACCCTCGAGAATCTTTTTATGTCGCCTCGAATTCGGGTATATTTGCACTTTTCATGAATTTCTTTTGAGAGATTGGATGGCCCAATAAATTTGTAAATATAATTTTAGAACGCGCCTATTAAGTAGTATTAGAGCAAATTACGACAATAATTCTAACCGCGCAAATGAATTTTATAGACTGGCACGAAGGCCTGCGAAATAGCACGAACCAACCGTTTTGGAGGCGCTAAAAAGCAACCTTCCAAAGGGGTACGGTAGCTAGAAATTGTCTACATGATAGATGGACCCCAGTGCTACACAACCAAGCAACGCAAACACCGAAATTCTATCTGCAATTTTAGAAATATTTTTCCAAAGTTCAGTTTCGAGACCTCGAAAGAATCCATGACCAGGGGGTCGTCAAAAAACTCAAAAATCCGCGGATCTGAAATTTTTTTTTGATATTTTTGCGGGATTGTATCGAGCCTATAGACATGCTAAAACAGCTTATGTTGAGGTTTCTACCATAGGTTTTTGTAATATTCGAAATTTACGAAATTTCTCCATATTAAATTTGAGCATGCTATAACTTGCCAACCAGACCTTCGAAAATTCCAAAATTCCGGATGTGCGTAGGGGCAGTCCTTAGGTACCTACACTGTAAAAATTGGAAGTGTTCGACCACCAGCAATCCTAAAAAATGCAAACGAAGTTTTGCCGGAACGCACAGTTTTCGGGTGTCATTTGTATGGGTACGTCGCCAAAAATCGAAAAAATCAAGTTGTGTTAAATCTTCATACCCAGCATATTTAAGCATTCTGGCATGGTAACGTACCTTCGATTCTCAAAGATAAGCGAGATATTTCGGTGCAAACTTGGCTTTTTTTTTTGACGCACCCTGTAGCCCCCGCAACACAAGCGTCCAGTTTCCCTCTTGGCCAAGTGGTTAGAACGCTGTACTTGGGAGATTTGGCCCCCCGGGTTCGAACCCCACCCGCGACATGCTTTTTGCCGATTGGCCCGAATGCATCGTTATGGTTTTTAGTACGGTTACAAAGCGCCGCAGGCAAATTTTTTTCGAAGCATTGCGTACAAGGGCTCATCTGAATAAATATCCCATGGCTTATTTTACGATTTTAACAACAAGATTGAGGCAAAAAGGGCTAAATTCCCTCTCAGGCTAAAAAGAGTCTTTTAAAAAAGGGCTTTTGGTTTTCGCAAAAGGAAACCGAAAACCAAAATTTGCTGGCACCTATTCAAAGCGGCTCATCTAGTTTTTAGCCGTTTCGGCGTGCAAATAATTTCTGTATTATGATCTATTTACAAAATTAATCTGTAAACCTGACCTGTAATCTAGGATGGCACCACATTTATTAAGCTTTTAAACAGCCAGCAACTTTTTGTTGTGCCCACATTTTGTGGAACTTTTCAGAGTTTGAAAGGAATTTAGCGCTTTTTGTTGCCACGAGAATTCGTCTCCTTTTGCGAAAACCAAAAGCCCTTTTTTAAAAAGACTCTTTTTAGCCTGAGAGAGATTAATTAACCGCTTTGAAGCCTTATAACTTTTGCTATACGCCGGCCCCAATAGTTTTTTTAGAACTAGAAATGCAAGAACTCGGTCAGATATGACGATGCCAGTCGAAAAATCGGTGCTTCCGTGTTAGCGGGGAAGCAAATTTTCAGTGGGGGGTGCAAGGCGAATTTTTCAATTAAGCCTATGCCTGCCTAGTAATGAATTAAAATAAAGTTTAGTACGGTTTTGGCAGTTTCTGATCACCAAAACACTATGAAACTTTCACATCTTATAATCTTATCTTGTATCCCAAGTTTCTGACCAATTTGGTAATTTTTTATACGTTTTGGGCGCAAAACCTCAGTGTTTTCTCAGTTTTGTAATTTTTTTGAAAGCGTTTGAATATGTAGTCGTGTTTGTTGTGAATAAAACCACTGTAAAATGCTATGGAAATTGTTTAACTTTAGTTACTACACCCCTAAAACGCCTTGGGAAAAAATTATTCCGTGCTCCCCCGCTAAAAATTCGCTCCCCCGCTAACAGGGAAGAACCGAAAAATCGAATTTTTAGTTGGTTACCGTAAAGCGTAATTCCTCCGGCCTCCGCCGCAATGTATTCTTTTCAGCGCTGCTGACTATCTGCATCTTTGCAATTATGTTGCGCAAGATTGAGCTAACGCATCCGGACACGCGGGCGAGGTGGTTTGAGTTGAAGCCGAAGACGATTTCGGAATGCAAGAATTTCGCCGAGCGCGTGCACAAACTGGTCAGTTTATTTCGTTGAGCCGGAGAACGGATTGCAGGGCATTCCTGCGCTGCTCGATGAGTATGCGCCTGCCGGGATGATACCGGAAACCGATTGCAAGGCATCTACGAAGAACGCTGCGAAGAACCGCTATCAGGCGAGTCAAAATCAGCGCATCTAGGGCAGATTTTCACGCTATTTCGAATTTGCGGTCCATTTTGTTATTAGGTTACGGCTTGTTTTGATACGAAAAAAGGTTTTAGACGTTTTAGGCTAGGGCGAAGATAGTCAAGTCAAAATTCACAAGTCACAAGGGATTTTTTTCGTGTTTTTAGGGCCGCACGACATCTAAGACAGGGAAAGGTACTAATGCACTTGGGGGGGGGGGCAGTCTGGATTTTGACTACGAGACGCTCCAAATGCCGTTTATCACTCGAAGCCTCTGGAAAATCTAAGCTACGCCTAATCCTAGGCTTAGCTTCATACAAACGAATCCTGACCTTAGCATGAGCCAAGCTAACCCATAAATGACCTCATTTTGACCTCGTCAGTCAATTTGAAGCCGAAGATAAGCTTCGCTTGGGCTTAGTTAAAGCTAAGTTAAGCCTAGGCTTAAGCTGAAAACCAAGTAGCTTAAGCGGAGCGCCTCGTAACCTCTTACTACCAATTTTGGACTGCGCCCCCTAACTGCATTAGCACCCAATGAAAACTGTAGCGACTCTTCTGGATGTCCCAATGTTGTATAATCGGAATACACGAAATTCGATAGAATTGGCAAAATGACCAATTATTAAGTGATCAGGTCGGCCAGTGCTGAAAAACGACGAAGAGACCCCGTTTGGTTATCAAGAAGCTTTGCAGAACTACCCGGCGCCAGACAAGACCCGGTTTCAACTTGACCAGGACCCCGACCGTTACTTCAATGCCGTCGTGTTCCGAATGAAACGTGGGGGTGGTGCGGGACGCTTATGAGAAAAGTTTAGACTCTGACGTCGAATGGGTGCTGACCCAGGCGCCGATTCCTGGAACATGCGAAGACTTTTGGACGATGATGAAGGCATTGGTAGGTAGCTGTCAAAAACTGTCCCCTCGGGAGATCGCTTGGTGCTCGTAAACCACAGACCCAAATTTCATGAAATTTCGCATCTAGTTCAATTTGGATACGGAGAATCCAATGGCGACCTCGAAATCGGCTACAAATCTGATTGTTGACCTAGTCCTAAGACCTTATATAATTTTGGCGTGTATCTTTGTGTGCGTGTGCGTGTGCGTGTGCGTGTGCGTGTGCGTGTGCGTGTGCGTGTGCGTGTGCGTGTGCGTGTGCGTGGAAGGCGATGGCGTGCGTGCGTGCGTGCGTGCGTGCGTGGAAGTCAGTTTCGAGCCCCGATTTGAGGGCCTTCCCGTGGATCAAATGCCCTAATTCTCCGTCAGCCGGGGGAATCCACCCTTCTGTTTCCGATGGCGTCCTCAGAATTTCGATAAAATACAGGTTTACAAAGTTAAAGCCGGTTTTATTGATTTTTGGGGGTCCGGGAGGACTAATTTGCATAATGTGAAAAAATAGAAATGTCCTCATTCTTGCGAGTAGCACGCGCGCGTGTGGTCGGTGGGGGGTCCGCAGGACCCGAGCTATCGCAAAGTCAAATTTGTCATGCAGAGGCCGAAATCCAGCGCCCAAGGCCCCCCAAGTCAAATTTGTCATGCTTTTAAGCACAAGCCGAATTTTCAGTATGATCGCTACGAACTGAAAATCATGCTGATGGCTCTCAATGCGTTCGATCCGGTGATCGAGGGAGATAACTATCTTCCTCATGACGAGAGCCGCGTGGCCACCCGCACAAAGAACGATCTTCCGTTTTGCACCTTCGGCGAATGGTGCCCGACCGCCCAGACGGTGAAGCTGTTTACTTGCAACAGGGATATTTGCGCAATGCAGAAAGTCTTTCGAAAGTAGAAAAGTCCGGCTGGAAAATTTCGAGAATTTCGGTTCCGGTGAAAATCGAAGTGCAATGGGTGGTCCCCGAGATTCGGGATGGGACCAAGTGGGTCTTGGGTAATGAAAAGACAAAGCTTCAGCCTTTTCCAAGTCTAAGCTTAGCAGAAATCACAAAAAAATGCCAAAAATGGCCGGAAATTGACCATCAAAATGGGTATTATCGTTCCACCCTTGCCGCTTTTCAGATAGACGGTTATGAAGGCGTCTCCCGGATTCCGATTGCGAACCTGCCAGCGGCAGGGCACGCTCAGTTGGTGGAGGGGATGAGATCCAGAGACTTGGAGAATTACATCAACGTTGTTGCCATTAAAAAGGACGACCTTGCCGGCGACTTGGGCATGCGAAACGAGAGACGTCGGTTCATTTTGAATGCTTTCCACGCTTCTGTAATCAGCTAGGCTTCGGGCCATCCCTCATATTCTACACCAGTGGGATGTATTTTTATGTAGGATTTTTGCAACAGCGCATCGGAAAATATACTAACAGTTTGTGTTTTAGCTCTAAATATTGTAATATAAATAATTTATGGCAAAATCAAAAATAAGCTTTGAAAATCGGGCTGAGCGATTTTTTCGGCATTCCCGCTATTTTTTCGACATTTAAAAAAAGCCATTAGATAGAGCATCAAAAAATATCCTAAGATTTTTAATTTTAGTTCAAAACCAGGGTTGAAAAGCCGCTTCGCGACTTTTCAACCCTGGCCTCTCTCTGCGGGGCCCTTTGATACACGGAGACTGCATATTATAATTTGCATTAATATTACGAATTACGTTAGGGAAAGGCACCACAGGAATTACTTGAGCAACCGACTCGGAACCCGGCCAAGCCCAGAATGAGCCGAAATAATAGCCGTATGCAAATTAGTCTATTTCCATATGTTTTTAAATCGCTAAAATAAGGTATAAAACGTCATTTTAGTAAAAATTTGATACGCGCGCAGTAATCTACGCCCTCGATTACCCCTAACCACTTTATTTCTGAACCATAAAATCCTCTTCCCTTCGAGTTATGGCTGGAACCCGGGTTTTTATGCAAAGTGTCCACACACACACACAGAAACTATTTTTCTATATATAGTAGGATAATGTAATATAAAATAGTTATGATAAAACAAATATTAAACTTGTTTCCAAAGGGGACATAGCAAAGGAAGTTTTCGACATTTTCGGGTTTTTACAAAGTTTCTTTAGTTCCCTTCGGTAGAGCATAGAAAAATTTACCAAGAGTTTTGTTTGTAGAAAAAAAACGCAAAAAAGGTTAGGTCGGCTCCAACAGTCCGTCCCCCCCCCGCGTAGCGGACATATACCGGTATTGCACTTGGTTCACCGCTAAAAAGCGTCCCCCAGTTACGGGATCAAAGCCGAATATTATAGGCGCTCCCGAATACCTGGGTGAGCGCGAGGTTAAGAATCTGCTCTATTGCCGCGCTCTCCTTCGGATGATGTGGAAGGACCCATGGGTAAACGTTTTGCCTACAGCGTTCACCCATGCATTTGGCGGTTGTCTGTGACTGGTGCTCTTTACAGGGTCGTAACCACCTCCAAGTCGTCCAGTGCGCCTCGGGAGTGGGCGTTTCGGCCGTATACGTCATGGTGCACGTCAGCATTGAACGTCTCTTGTATGGATGGCCAGTTTCGGTATAGTTACAAATTCTCTCATGTGGACGATGGCTTCGTTCAGATCCCCGAACTGCTCAAAGAAATTCGCGAGCACAGCCCATTGGCCATCTGCAACAAGGAACACTACATCACCGTCTACGCGTGTGTGCTGCTGTTTATCCAGGTATGCGTGAGTCTTGATAAGGGAAAAATAAACCGATTTTCCTCCGTGAGATCGGAAAAGTGGTTCGTGAGACTTCGCGCGGGGAACGATAGGAAATAATTGAGCAAGCCGACATTTTGGTCAAGTCTGGTCGAACAATCAAATTTTAGACCTAAAATTAAATTTTCATGAAGATTTACGAAGCCTTTTTGTGCTCAGAAACAGTTGAAAAGTCCGCTTTTCTATAAAAAAATCCAGGTTTGCGCCGAAAAAAATTTGGGCTGAAGTCCAGATACCCCCAGCCGGTCCCCGCCTACCGTATCTCGGCTCCCTGTTCATCTACAGGTGTGTGAAATATACCAAAATACTCGCCAGAGCAAGACGAACATTTTGGTATACCTCACACACCTCTAGATGAACAGGGAGCTGAGATACTAAAGTTGGGGGCGGGGGGGGGGGGTATCTGGAGTCTTACCAAAATTTGTTTCCCCTCCGGGAATCCCCCCCCCCCTCCTGGGAATACTCCGGGACGGAAAAAGTCATTAAAGGGATGCCGACGGCATAGTCAATCGGTTACGCGCGGAAAAGAAAATGTCTCTGCGCCTCTCCCCTGGACGCTCTCTCGCCTGTTGGCTACTTGCCAATTTGTTGGTGGGGGGGGGGGGGGGGGATCGACACATGCCGTCGGCAGTCCTTTAATTGTGCAAGGAAAATCATGCCTTCAAACAAGCGGCACCCTGTATTTGCCCGGACCGCGCAAATTTCCCAACCCTACGCGCGGAATTCTCTGACCTCTCTAAATGTGGCTACGGGCCAACGATCTTCCGATTTTCGATTTACGATTAAGGCCTATTTGCCCGATACGTGCCCGCACGAGGTCAGTACCGGGCTGAGCCAGATTTTCGAGTACAACAAGCTCTACCCATAGTGACATCGTCAACCAGCAGCCAGGTTCGCTTGAATGTCGCTGTTCTTCTAGAATCTGGGATGTCGATTATGTTCTAAATTATCAACCACCCGTACATATTTTCAGAGCGCCGCGCTTCGGACAACATCGTCGACGTTCCCGCGTTGGTGATGTTGCGCCCGTCGCCGAGTTATTTCTGCGTCTCCCGCTTCTCCGAATGAAGCTCTTTCCCCACATTGTATCGCATTATTGTGTCCTCTCTTTTTGTATGTGGAATAACCGAATAAAGCGACAGAAAATAAATAAACCGAGGTTTTGGCTTACATACATGGATACTTTTAATAGGGGAATAATGATGATCGTTTCTCTAATACATTGCGGAGCTCGAAAATGGCGGGAACATAAATGTATCGCGTACATAAAAAAGTTTTTCCGGATTTCCGAGAACTGGCTGATTGGGCGCTTGATGTGACGAGCATAGAAAATTGCGCAAAAAAAATTCTGCATGGAACCATGTATTTTGTGTGAAGCGCCTGGTCGGCCAGTTTTCGTCATAAATTATACTGCGCGCAAAATAGCCCAAAACAGCCCAAAAAGTCGCAAACAGGCCTATTTTTAAAATGTGAAGTAAACAAATGGTCATTTATGTCGTTTTATACAATAAAGCAGTCTTTTTAAAGTTTTGTTCAAGTTTGTGCTTTGACCCTTGATACTTTGGTTCCCATACGGCATTGTGCCACGTAATCCCTGCGAATTTACGATTCATATTGCCTAGCGGCCGCGACTAGATCCCGGAAGAAGCTTCACCGACGCCCGAGGCAAAAGAGCTATCCCCATCATCAGGCCCACTTTTTAGAGCCTCCAGCCTAAATCTCACGGACGTGCTTCCGTCAAAAATTATCACGTTTCACGCCCGAACGTACGAAAAAGAAACTATCTAGGCACGAAACTATCCTTCCTCTCGGCTCTTTGTCATATTTCACACCTCACAAAGCGGCATCATCCCCCCGAGAATGCACTTTATTAAATCCTGTTTTGTTTTCATTTTCATCCCCCCTCCGCCCCGTTACGCCACGATTGTCAGCAGAATTTTTCATTTAAAAGATTTTAAACCAGGTACCAAAGGTTTTGTTTTGAGAAAAACTACCCGACTATAGCCGCTTCAAGCGTCTGCGATTTTTATACCTTTGCGTTGATTCCAAATTTGTTCCCGGTTTTGGTGCGCTTTCGGTTCTGGTTCGTTAGGGGGGGTGTTTATTGTCGCAGCTTTTTCAATATTTGCGATTTTTCGGGGCTACTTTAAAGGGATTTTCTATATTTTTCGGCATTTTGCTAGCGCTCTTGGATACTGCCTAAAAATGTACTAGACTTTCATTTACAGGTCAAATCTAAGGAGAAACTAGTGAGCAAAAATGCTCCCCCGCTAACGAACCAGAACCGCGCTTTCTGCAGACATTTATGACTTATGCTGGTCTGGGGATGCGGTTGTCCAATCCAAAAAGGCTTATCGTCTACTTACCTGGGCGGCTTATCCATATGCGGTTAATGCCGATGACGTCCGTGGGAAATGGCATAATCTTCCGGATCCCAAAATGTCGCCTGCCCCTCGATTTAGATGAAGCCGACTTGGGTTTGCTGGATATTCTTACTTCTCGTGGGGCACGGCTTCGGCAGGTTTTTGCAGGAAGAGACTTCACTGAGGTACGAGTTTAGTGAGCTAGAAATTTTAACGATTAGTTTTAGAAACTTGGCGATGCCTGCCATGGTCAAGCGCCTCGATCGGAACTGCTTCTTTTCGCCGGTTCAGTGTGATTTGAGGTAGGGTGTAGAATATCTGTGACAGGCAACGACGAACTCCTTTAGACAATACGTGCCTCTGAAGTTGCGGGCAAGGAAACGGATTCGTGAATGATTACTGCTAGCATATTGTTTGAAATAAATTGTGAATAAGAAGTTGTGTGTCGTAACCTCCCCTTCAAATAGAAATTGAAAATTCCCGCGTACCCCAGAATTAGCTTTTTTTGGTTCATTCGCCTTATCGGGGGGAACCAATTTTTCGATCTTAAATAAAGCAGTTTTCTAAACAGTTTTTACTATGTGAAAACGTAAAAACTTTATACATTTTGATTAAAAAATACCAAAAAAAAAATAGTGATTTATCGATCCTAAATGGTCAATTTTCGACCAAATTTTCAAAGTTTTATCGATTGTTTTTTCACTGAAAATGCAGTTAAATTTGACTACAAGCACTATTAAATCACTTCCTATGACTTTCCTAGACATTTCTGGTGTTATATAGAACAAAAAGTTGGACACCCCGATAACGCGAAAGAACCATTTTTCCTGTCCGTATCCCTTTAAAATGGCTATCCAAAGGGCCAAAGTGCAGAACAAGATTTTTTCGCTCCGGTTCCAACTCCGCCAGGCTCATTGAAATGTTGGCAAGCAAAAGCGCCCTAAAAATAATCCCTTTTATCGCCCCGAGGGTACGAACCACCCACTCCATCGCCCTTCCGTCGCCCCGGGGGCTGCTGACTAATCATTGGCGATTTTCGGCGGCATCGCAAATCGATAGCCCTGGTGCATAATCACGGTCTCGCTGGGGCGGGCGACGGGGTCCGCGGGCTGTACAATTTGCGAGCCGAGACGATCCGCTCGCACAATCCGACACACCGCGCGTCGATTTCTCCGATTATTGAGGGTTTGCTGGGAAAGTGGCGATAGCGGGGATTGTTTTCAAAGTGAACAGAACCATCTGTTTTCTCTCGCCGAAACCGCTGATCGCCTCCACCCTGCGGATTTTCTCTTGACCTTCTATACCCCCCCGCGGGTTATTATTCGAATCGGTCTGGGCCCTAAGCCTAATGGAGGGGCCCACACCACCTTTCCGCGACTTATCCCCTTACACCCTCGCCATTTGCACTAAAACCCCGCGGTTTTATAGTCCGAAAACCGGCAGCTTTGCAAGATGTATTCATCATAACTACTAGACTTTCGCAAAGAACTCCAACGCTAAGATTTCCAACGATTTTTCTGTAAATACCGCTATTTCATAGTCTAACGGTTTATAGACATAGTCGATAGCCAAAAAAAATCAAAAACGATCAGTTCAAAGACGTACGTTCCTTCAAAGTTTAAAAGCCACACCTGTACGGCGTAGCGCCGCGTACTAAAATTTAGTCAACTCTGGACCTCTAGAGTCTAGACGACTAAACAGCGCCTTCAAAACATTGAATTGTGTCATCTTGGCACGCCAAGAAACAAACTAGCTCAATTTCTAATCCACACTAAACCTCCATCACTTCGATAATTCACGTAAACGCTCGCTCTAATTCCACCTCGATCCAATAGACGGCCGGCGGTGAGTAGGGGCCGCGGGGAGTAAACTGGTACTCGGCCACCCTTGACCCAGTTCCTTTCAACGCCGCGCCCTCCCCCTCAATCTGTGAGTTGTTGGTGTTGCTCAGCGCTAATCATCCCAAGCTGCTTGGGCGCGATATAAAAAACACCGGCGGGGGCCAGCTTTTAGCTGCCGATCCGTGTGTTCCAACGCTTATCGCTGCCCCGGCCGGTCAGCTGGCTGGCTACTCGTTCTCAAGGTCAACGCCGTTATATAGTTGCGATTTTGCGCTTAACGGAACAGTAGTCCTTAAATAAATAAAAAATCCGGTACTGTACTGTTAGCGGGGGAGGGGCGGGATTCTTCGCAGAGAGGAGCTAATTTTTGTTTTTCCGTTTTCATTTATTTGTACATTTTTGAACAAAAAGTTTAAAAAATTTCGAAAAATGTCCTATTTTGATGAGTTTTTATGTCTAAAAAACTATAAAAATGGATTGTACTTTGTAGAGGGCCGTACGGGATTTTGAAAAAAATGTGGTTCACCCCGGGAGGATGACAAAAGCGCCAAAGCAAAAGCGCCAACGACAAAAGCGCCCATGCAGAAGCGCCAAACGAAAAGCGCCCAATGCCAGAAAGCGCCCAATGCCAAAAAGCGCCCAATGCCAGAAAGCGCCCAATGCCAGAAAGCGCTCTATGGGGAAAGCCAACGTATAGAGAGAGGAAACAATTACATAAAATGGCTTTTTTTCAAGCTTTGTATGCCTTTTAAACGTTGTTTAGCGATAGGTAGGCTTTGTAGACGGCAAATTATCACCCCGAGCGGGTTGTTTTGGCCTTATTGGGTCTTTTTGGCTTGAATTGCCGTGTTTCAGTCTCTAGTTTTACCGGGTTTGCCTCATGTTCTCACGATTTCTGATTTTGATTTTATTTATATTGATTTTATAATTTGATTTTATATTGATTTTATAATTTGATTTGATCGACGATTGATTGATTTTGGAGGCCAGAACGACGAGAAAAACGCCGTATTTCCGGCTAATGGATCCGAAAATGGCTCTGGACAAGCTTTCCACGGCGAGTTTATACCTTTCTCACATTAGAAATGCATTTTCGGACCGGTTCGAGCATGTAGAGATCAAGAAACTACGTCAAAAATAGTGGAAAAGCTGCTTTAGAAGAGAACTAGCTATTCGAGTGAAAGAATGCCCTAGGAGGCCAAAAACTTGACCCAGTCGGTAATTTATGGCCTAGTCGGTCGAACTGCCGCTAAACTACTATAATAACACCAGAAAACCGATTAAAACAACTATTTTATCTCTACCTTATGTAATTGTTTCCTCTCTCTATACGTTGGCTTTCCCCATAGAGCGCTTTCTGGCATTGGGCGCTTTTTGGCATTGGGCGCTTTCTGGCATTGGGCGCTTTTCGTTTGGCGCTTCTGCATGGGCGCTTTTGTCGTTGGCGCTTTTGCTTTGGCGCTTTTGTCATCCACCCTTCACCCCGCTAACAGCCCAGTACCGAAAATCCAAGAAAATGCGTTAAAGGCAAAAAAAAACATCTTCTTTTCGCACTCGTCATGCGCATCAAAGGCATCAAAAAGCGCGTCGCACTAGGATTCTTCAAAAGAAACGTTCAGCTGTACGGCCTGACTAATTGACTTCGAGACACTAAATGTTGCAAGTAGCATCCGAGCTACATTCAAAATTCACCCCCATCTGCCCACTACCGTTCCCAGCGCCATCTAGCCATTTTCACCCACAGCTCCACCACCTGTGCTCACATCCAAATTTTGCTAGTCTGGGAGAACACGAATAGCCCCCCTAAGAATTGGTGGACGATGGGACGGGGCGGAGGTTGGGATGAAAAGAAGCATTTCATGCTCGGTCGGCCCCATCCCTCGACCACCCGGCATCCCAACCAACCGCCCCGACCGCCGCCGAGCTAGGACTGGCTTTTCCTCATCCTCATCTCCATTTCTCCCACACCACTCCGTCCCATCCCTATTTACGGTGTGCCCGCGATGATGAGGTGCCGTTCGTATTGTCCTTGCGCGACCGACTGGGAAAAATTGAGCACTTTTGGTGCGTGTTGATAGCCAATTACCCTTGATGGATTCGGGGCTCGGTCGAAAATATGGAGCACCAGCCCTTGACATCAGTTCAAATGCTAAAAACCCACAAAAACAATTTCAGCAATTTTCTCAAGAGTTGCTTCGTCGCTATTTCAAATTTCTTCCCAGCCACCCTATGCTCTTTTCAGTAAATGCGCCAGTGAATCTCCGAATTAGGCCCCTAGGGCGACAGGCGCTAGCGCGTGTTGGCGACACTCAATTTCCGTGCCGGCCTCGCCGGCCCTTTTTTGGCCAAGATCCCGGGCCCAGATTGCTCGTCGGAAGGCGGCAGACGGACTGAAGCGGACGGAACCACCAACACATCGCCTCCCATTGTGACAAATTGGTTGCGGCGGACTTCAGATGTTTTCCGAGCCAATATTTGATTGGGGAACAACGCCTGGGGGCTAATGGCTTCAGGCGAGCATGCCGGCTAGCCATAAGCCGACTCCTGCCGCATAACCGCGTATTCTAAAGGCAAAAATTAAGCACATAGATCATCCACGGCACCTTCCAGCCAGCCGCCATGCCACCACCTCGAAATCTCAACTCTCCTTGCGCTTTTGCGCACGCGGTTCCGCGTCGGCCAGGCGGGCCGGCACGCACACAATGCGTGTTTGCCGGCCGCTTTGTGCCCATCCCAGCTGCCCGTGCACAGGTGTCCGTTTTTCATTTCAACTCCCGATTCCTTGCAAAACGTGGTCAGCCATTCAGAAATGCTACAGGCGTTTTCCTCGTGCTTGACTACTTTTTCGTATCCGCGCACTGCGTTTGGGCCGGCGAACTAAAGGCTCTAAATAGCCGGAGCCGATTAGGAAAATCAAATGCTTTTAGCGGCGGCCTGTTGACCTCGTTCCCTGTTTTTGAATCCACAGAACAAACAATAAGCGGTTTCGAGAAAGAATTATTGGCTCTAAACATGTCAGTCAGCTTCACAAAAAGACAAAAAATAAAAAATCAACAAGAAGGATTCACGGGCGGGTTTTTAGCCCTCAAACACACTGATTCGCGGGGGCGCGCAATAGAAGTGACAACCTTTTAGGTCGCGTAATGCAACTGGTTACTCAATGTTTGTTGAAAGAAAAGCTATTAGAAGTCTAAGAAACTATATTGCTTTGATAGCAAGTTTTATTTAACGAAAAGATTAGTATAATAACGTGCACAACGGCTGATGCTCAGGTTGGCGCTTTACAACGGAGCGGTAAATCTTTCCTTGCTTGTAAGTATAAAACCAAATATTTTTGAAGGAGCAAGATGCAGATGCAGGGAGACACCATCAAATATATTTCGTCGAGTCTTCTAACTTCTAGTCTCGACGGCATGGGTGCAATCAACGGAAACAATTTTGGGCAAAAATCAGGACTATATATGCTTGGTGCAAAATTTCACCGATATCTTTCCGGGCTCGAGGATTACTCTGAAGAAAGTATTTCATATTTGTAAAAGCATGCTCTGTGGAAACTGGAACCAAGATAGTCTTGCTGTTCAGAATTGTCAGCCGCTGTCGGACAGGGTAATAAGACCAAAATAACCAAAATATTTGGTTTTATACTTACAAGCAAGGAAAGATTTACCGCTCCGTTGTAAAGCGCCAACCTGAGCATCAGCCGTTGTGCACGTTATTATACTAATCTTTTCGTTAAAATAAACTTGCTTACAAAGCAATATAGTTTCTTAGACTTATGATAGCTTTTCTTTCAACAAAACATTGAGTAACCAGTTGCATTACGCGACCTAAAAGGTTGTCACTTCTATTGCGCGCCCCCGCGAATCAGTGTGTTTGAGGGCTAAAAACCCGCCCGTGAAGGATTCCCGTCCGATACGCTCCGATCAACGCCATTCGTCATTTGGACTGTTCGGAACGGAGGGACCTTTATTTTTCACTTTTTTATCACTGTTTGTTTCCGTCCCACCTCAATCATCTGTTCATATGAGATGATCATCTTCTTTCTCAAATTCTCATCATTTTGCACACTTCAATGCAAGAGCCCATTGCTCTATGGGGGTCGCCTGGGGAAATTTTCCAGTTGATAGCCTTGACGGGAAATGATCAAAACGCCTGCCGGGCAGCTAGTCGCCGATGGCAATTCTATGTGCGGAGAACATGACCGGTGGGCGCAAAAAACCGGTGATGGAACGGAGAGAACACGCACAGACACGCGTTCAGCCACTACCCACTGTCATGACGGCGTTCCCCGCGGCCATCATACGCGCATCCACGCACTTTTATTGGCCCCGGATCCGGGTCATGGTGGCCAGGGATTTGGAATCCGGTAATCCAAACGTTCCTTTTTTAGTTATTTTGCCATTCGATGGATTGGCATGACTAAGACATTAGTTTCGCTCATTTGGCTCTCAGCCCCTATTGTAGGACTTTCCCGCGCGCGAGCAGAAGGCCTGAGGACCAATAAGGGTCATCGTTGCTTCCCGACGCCTGCCAGCTGCCCAAAATGAGCCGCAGGGGCCCTTGCTGAGGGGCGCTCAATGTGAAATTCAAATCCCGGGGGGAGGGCGGCTGGGTGTTGCCGAGGGAGGGCAGATGTCGGCCCTCCATGCTTCTAAATGCACCATCTTGGCTCGTTCGCTCCGGATATCGGTTCAGGATTGGAATTACCCATTACCCATGAATAAAGGCGCAAGCCCATTATACCGCAAAAGTTCATGGATTCCCCGAGAAGTCGTTGTTACTGTCGCGAACCATCTCTGACTTGACCTCGACCAACACGCGCCCTGAATTGATCTCTTTACACTTGCAACAATTGCGACTAATTTTGACGCCCGTCCCGTGCCTCGCTGCCGCCCTATTTGACTCGGCGTCCCAAACGGCTATTCGCACGCCCGTTCACTTTAGCCATACCCAATTTGTCTGCTATTTGAGAAACTGCGGGTTTATTGAGAATTTTTCCTTCTTCGCATTTATCTAGATACTTGTGGCTAGCGCGCGCCTCATTTTTTTGCCGGTGTCTCGCGCACAGCTTGACACAGATTTTCTCAAACGGAGTGGATCCTGTGCCGTGTGGAATGCCGGAAAAAAAAACGTTGGCAGTTTAGTCCCTTTTCGTTCGCTCCTTTTTTCGAGAAATCTATGCATCGTATTTTTGCTCTATCATTCCCTGCGCTACTCTTTCGATTTCCAGGGCTTCGTGCTCGGTTTTGTTATGGCCTTCTCGGTTGAGTTCGTGCTTAGCCCACTTTTAATTGATGGATCTGAAGTGACCTCGCTGAGGCCTCAGGGGAGATACCAATCTTCGAGCGGCCCCATCCTCGCGCTCTCCATGAGCTGCCTCAGGCGCCTCATTCCCAAGAATATGGCTATGAAGTTATTGATTTTACGAGCCAGTGAACTGGACCATCTTCCCCAAATTACTTCCTAGAAACTTGTGAAGCTTTCCATTTTCCGCTTCCTACTTTCCGCCCTATTTCTCGTTCATCCTATACACATTTAATCGTTTCAGCCGCGAGCGTTGGGGTGAAACTGGATTGAGGAGACTCGGGCAAGATTTCTTCCGAAAGTCACCGCACTTGTTGCGGCGACCTTGCTAGAAGGTGAGGATTTTGCGGCTTAACCGTTATTGTTGTTGCCCTCACTGCCCTTTCTACTCATTATTTTGATTGTTTAGCATGGCCGCCCTCGCCTCAGTCACCCGGAACAACCGTTACAATCAACAACCCCTGGACTTGACCTCAGGGATTCGTCCGAGTAACCAGCAGCAAGAACGTTTCCAGTAAGTTTTGATGCCTTTTTTTCTCTAATATTTGCCCGCCTATCTCGACTGCGCGACTTTGTCTCGGCGTAAATTCTAATTTTTACTTGACCTTGGTTGTGCTTCGCGATCTCCTTACCAGGACACCTCGACAGCCCCCCAGCGCATGTCAGTTTTTGATGGATTTAGATGAAAGGGAAATTTTTGCTTGGCGACACCCACCAGGAACCGGGTTCTCGTACCTTGCCGACCGCGTTGCTTTTGCTTCCTACGATAATTACCGAGTCGTAATTTTTTTAGCACTTTTGCGGTTTCATTTTCAATGTTCCTGGCCTAGTGCCATTTTATTTCTTGCAGTACTAATTCAACTATCACTAGTATCAACTAGGATAGTATCAACTCTAGTTCTCGCCAAACATTTCAGCCGGATCTCGAATAGGGTGAAAAAGCGCTAGAGATTATTAGGCAAAGCCATCCCCCCACCGCATCAGTTCCGCCGATGCATGTGATTATTTGCGATCGACGGCGTCGATATGGTTGCCCCAACTGGTTATTCGACCGGGCGGGCGCCATTTACGAGCAGATTCGTTGTTTAGGACCGGCCTTTTAGCGCCTGACGGATGGTTACAGAGTTCCTCGATACCGAATACATGCAAACCCCCGCTATAACCGACCAGAATTTATCAGCGCGGAAAACAAGACCTTTGTTTTCTTCCTCTCACCTCCCCCGGCCGCCGCTCCTATCGCTACAGGGTGACTAGTCAGCGGAGGCGTTTTTCTGGAGCAGCATGGCTGTCCGTTGTATTCACATTTTCACGCGTCTCCTGATTATCGATTTATTATTGGTGTTTAGATAGCTTATTCCTCCCTACCTCAAAATGTCTCGTTTATTGAATAGAATGTTTTCGAAACATCCACTCTATTTAGTTTTAGGCGGTTTCTGCAGCGGGAAAAAGTTAATTATTTGCGTTCCGGCGACTTTCGGGGCAATTCGCCGAGCAAAATGAAATAAAAAGCCGCGGGATTGTTTTTGTTTTACTCCTTTTCGTTGCAACCCATATGGCGACCGATAGATTTTGCAGCAGCTGAAAACTGTTGTACACCGCCGTGTCAGCCGGCCGGGCAGCGTTTGGGGTCAAAAGAACGTGCTATCCGTCTCGTTCCACGCTAGGGCCATACACTGCTGGGTCCCGGGAGTCAGTTGGTTCACACGAGAAGCCGGCGGCCCATCTTTCGGCAGCCATTATTTACTTTTTTTGATCGGTTCCTAAGCTCCGCTCGCTTTTCGAGCGCTTTTGGGGTGCCATAATGGCAGTTCCCAAGCAGATTCGATTTCATCAACATCCGGGGCCAAAGCCTGTGAAATTCTGAGCCCCTGCGCGTCTTTCGAGCTCCTATACTCCGCTTTTAATCATCACTTGAGCTGGCCTAGTGTAATTTTGAGCAAAAGTCTTGCTGAATTTCATTCTGATCTGCATTTTTCGTTTCGTAGTCCTATTTCTCATTCTCCCCAGTGACCGGACTGTGCCCGCCCTTTTTTATTTTAATGGTTGCTCCTCTCCCTGGCGCGGTCGGAGGGATTCCCCCGGTCCGCGCAATTGCGCTCCCTCCCGTAAACTTTTTTATGGTCAGGGCTATGTATTTTTTGCCGTCAACCTTTCTCGACATTTGCCGCTATTGATGTAATTCGGGGTGTTGTTGAACTTTTCTGGTAACCACTACAAATCCGGCGCTTTGCGGCGGGAATCCGGAAATGTTTGGAGAGGGGATAATTTCAAAATCCCCCGGTCCGCTTTGGAGGGGCCCCGACCCGACGCCTTTCCTTCCGTGTCCTCTCGGCGCGTTTGCGCGCCCGCCGACACGTGGGGGCCGCGCGGGGTTCCTTTTTTTGAGGTTTCCGCGTCCCCGTTCACGCGCACACTATTTCTGGACACGCGTCCGATTCCGCTCTTTTGCGAGGTCTCGCCAGACGGACGTGAAATCTCCACCGCACTTATTGAAGGCTTGCTTGCTATATCAATTTTTTTTTCCTTAAACTTAGCTTGCCACCCTTTCGATCCACCAATGCAGTGCGCTGCATGTTGATTTTGGGAAATCTCGACCCTCATAACCCTTCATACGGGAACCCGTTTCTATTGATAGAAAGCGTGCTCCCCTTCAAGGAGCTGCTAGTGGCTCTCAAAAGAAAATGCGCCGCCCCGTTCCCTGGCTCACGGGTGGGGCCGGCTTCCCTCGGGCGACACTTTCACCCGAGCCACCTATTTTTCCATGTGTTTCACATATGCTTTCTTCTTATCCCCACCTTCAGCTCACAGCGCCGTGGCCATAACCTTGAAATCTTCGTTATACACCCTGCTAGCTTGAACTGGGGGATCCCTCGATTTCGCGTTATTTTTGGCACACGCGACGCTATTTTTGTCATTTTAGGCGACTCGATGCTCAAAATCGTCATATCCATCCACCGCACCTTTGTTTGCCCTTTTATAGAAATACTCTCGGTGTTTTTGGCTAACACCGCAATGTGTACAACCGGGCGCCGCCCATCAGAATCGCCCTGAACCTTCTTTTATGGCGGTGCTTTGGCGTCGTGTTTTCTTATACATGGCCTCGCGTCTTGTCTGCTTTTTGCACTATTTCCCTTATCAGCGCTCACCCCGTTTGCCCCAATCTTTTTCATTTCGGTTGTCCCCCGGGCTGAAACTAGGTTCTAAGCTTTCTTACGGATTCGTATTAGCAGGCCCGCAGTAATCTCTCGATGTTCCAAGCCGCCTTTTTTAAATTGGCGTTTCCGGTTTTAATTGCGACATCGATATTATTGTAATAATTTATTTTCAGGGTTCCCTGCGCTCCGGCTCTCGTGCGGCAACTAACCTCCTCACAAACATCCCTCCATCCCACACATCAGTCGACGAGCTCCCTACAGAAGTACCCATTCTCACCGGTGGAACGCACGATCTCGCACGCGAATTCGTCTTCTTACCTTTCCCAGGTGTGAAAAAAGATACTAATAGAGCATTTTGTGTGATCGAAGCCATTCCACTGTGTAAACCATGGGAAGTGAAAGATGCAAAACAAACTTTTACAACCCTTTCGTGGCAACAAAGTCGCTCTTTTTTGCAGGCAACGCCAGCGTCTTCGCGCAACAACTTTTACTCTGCGTCTCGGAATCCTGCACCCAGCTCGTCGCGACTCCTCTACGGCGCTCAATTGCGAAGCTTCGATAAAGGTAATAAATAGGTTTTTAGAGAATTTTGGACGTGGCGCTACTTGGTTCGATTGCTGGCGCCGGGCTTTCTTTTTCGTCCACCGTTTCCCGTGGCTGACCCTCCACCCCACTGAAACATGAATATGCAATTTCACATTTGCGTGACTCTGACGGCTAGGGTCGATATGCTAAAGGGAGGGCGGGGGATTAACGGGTGAAAGTGGAAGGTCATAGACTTGTTAATGCATTTGATTGTTTTCTGTCTTTCTTTGTTTATGAGTCGCCTTCTATCCCTAATGTTTGCCCGGCATCTTTATCGGGGGATTTTTCTCTCAGCTTGCCCCGTTTTAAGTGTAGTGGGGGCAGTGGCAATTGATGCTAATACGCCGTCTGCCAGCCAACAATTATTTGAGCTGGCAATTACGGATGAGCTTTTTGTAATTGCGGGACAGAAGTTTTTTTGAAGATCCCGTGGTCAGGTTACTGCTTCTGTCTGAAAACTGCTCTCCCAGTTTTTCACTATTTTTCGCGACCAGCCTAGCGTCGAGAGCGGCCGATTTGAATGATTTTTGGGCCCTCCAACTACTCGACACAAGGGGAAGCGGGGGCCCCCACCCGAATTCTCTTCTAGCCTGCGCCTCGTCTCCACTGGCCCACTCTCCGTCCAACAACATTTATTCAACATTTCCCTAGGGACAACCACCCGCCCTTCCTCGAGCTTTTTGGCTGATCTCGTTTCCGGCTGCTCGCAAATTGTTTGGACATTCGGCGGCTAAACGAGCGATTAGATTTATCATGCGCCGCGTTTTCTGACCGGTACCCCCCTCCCTACCCAGTTGTAGTCGAATAAACCATCGGTCATGTCAAAACTCTTCTTTCCGAAATGACAATAAGTCGACCTTCTTATTCTTTCTTGTCGCCTCCCCCTTCCGCAGGCACCTCCATAAATCGCAGATTGAGTCCTTTTCTGTGACTTGCGCTCAAAGAGGTCACCCAAGCCTGCACATTTCCTCAACGATTTAGTCACCGGGAGGTGTATGTCTATCCAATAAACCCCCGCCTTTGACTGCCCCTTCCGACGATTTTCGGTCTATCGGCGAAATCGTAATTCATTTTGAGGCCGGAAAAGGGGGGAAAGGGAGCCGTTCGAAATTGATAAGTCCTTACCCCGGGAGACAAAGATATCGTCGCGATCTAGGAGCTTACCGCGCGGATCTCTATTATTGATTTGTCCTAATTCAGCAGCATTTGGCATCTCACTGCGTTGTCTCTGCCAAGCGTTCGGTGGGGAACGAACTTGACAGATGACCCTGTGATAACTGCAGGATTAGATGCTGTACAACTAGTCATATCTTGGGTACTGAACTGTTAGCGTGCGTGGCGGGAAGCTAACCAGCCTAGGCCTATCTGCAAAAATCCTACTTTCAAAGCGTTTTTTAATATTTTTTATGATTGCTAAACAAACGTAAAAATCCTAGAAAATTTGATTATTTTTATGAACTTTCGGTGCTGATTAAGGACTTCACTACGGTGCGCTGAGCAAGGCTCAGGATCCACCACTGTCCAGTAGCGCAACAGGCACCATTTTCCTAGAATTCCCAGTAGTGGACCAGGAAGGGTGCCCATCATAGGCTGACCGGTCGGGGTGCATGTGCCAGCTGGCGGCCTATATGTGTTAGACCCTCGATGTCCGTCCGCTGCATATTAGGCGTTGTGTGGCGCTCGGTGGTTCGTGCCCTGTGGTGGCAGGTCGGTGAGGGGTCTCGCAAGGTCAGTGGGCGACGAGGGCACAGACCCACCCTGACTCGACACGAGAGCCCCGCGCGCATACCCCAACGATCGATTGGACGGCACCCTAGCCCCCCATCCACCGTTCTCAAACCTCATTTGCATACGAGACGCCCGGAGGCAGCTTCTACCCTATTCACACTGCCTCGCGGCGTTCACTGACTGAACCCTGATTCGCGACCTCCTCCTTTCCCGGCGTCAACCACCCATCGCCCACCCAGAGCCGATCGCCGAGGGTGATAGTCAGGGTAGTGGCCGATTCCGCGGGAGATCCGATCATCCCGTTGCACTGCCATCATGGCCTGCTACCGTGATGACTATTTTGCCACGCCGCCCCATCACCCGTACCCATTGCGGCCGGTGATACGGAATTTGGTGGATCGAACAGGTATGCGCGCGCATATCGCAGCGTGTTGAGTTGATAATGGATTTTTGCGAGCTATACTAACTCATTCGATAGAACTTAAAAATCCAGATAATTCTCTGGAGAATCTTGTTTCGGTCTAGCTTGTTAAAATGTGGACGTTGTGAAACGTATTCTCGAAGCCCGTGATCATTCTGCTGCTTTTGAAAAATGAAAACGGTCCATAATCTCGATCTATCTACTGAGCTATGTCACATCGCAAAAAAATTAGTTATCCCCGACAATGACTCCTTGTTATTTTTTATTAGATTTTAAGATTAAAATTAGCTTTCGGAGGTCGACGTCGTAGCTGGCGGGAAGAGCGACGCATTTTGTTTGAAATCGGGAGCCCGGCCTAATCCACCCCTCACCCCTCCTGGGCCACCATTTCTTGTGCACCGTCTTTCTGGGCGCTGCCTGTTTGCCGTCGCACCAGGCGAAACCCCCCTCCCAGGGCGTTCCCGACTTATGCAAATTTGCTCGGCCTCAGACACAAAGCTTTCGACGTTTGTGTCGTCGCACTTGATACTCAGGACGGACCGGGTTTTGGTCGTTTTCTGTTTTGCGCGTCTTTTAGATCTGAAATATATATTTTTTTGAAACGTGGGGTATTTTTGCTTGTGTCGGCCTTACCGTTCTCTGTCGCTCAAAAACACTTTCCAATTTCCAGGGCTCTCCGCTTCGCACTCCGGCCAGCTGACCTCGACCCCAGGCATCCGCACGAGCAAGACGATGATCGACGTGCTAGCGCCTGTACGAGGTTTGTGTTCTCGTTTATTGCCTTGAGATCCCGGTCCAGATTCAGTTATTGATCTCCCCCATTCCAAATCTGAATTAATTAACTCTTTCAGGTCAAGCCGGCGATTCTCAGTCGCTCTCTTCGGGCGCCTCTACCCTCGGTTCGTTTTGATTTTGGAGTCTGTTGGACTCCGTATTTCGAGTACTGGATTAGCGCGCGCTCCCTTTTCCGTCCCATTTTCGGCGGGTTGGGATCGATTTGGCAACTGACTGACGACTGGCTGTGGGAAAAGATCTCGCGTATTGGCGGGCTCCCGCAATTTTTCCTCTATCTCATTCTATACCCTTTTTTTCTTGCATACCTCGCATTGAGCTTTACCAATAATTAAATCTCTTGTCAATTTGCCGGGGGTTTTTTTGGATCCATTTGAGTCGACTCCTAGAACAGAGGAAACCCCCAGAGCAACTCCTAATCTGTCAGGCTCTAGGAAAATCCATCCCATTCTTCCTTTCCAGTTGCTGCTCATTGCTCCTCACTACTTTGCCTGGAATAGACCAGCACTAAAAACAGCCGCCTCCCCCCGTCCTTCCGCATTTGCCCCTCCTCGCATTTGCACCACGGAATCCGCTTTCCGCCACTCCTGACTAGAGAGTGCGGCTGCGGAGGATGGTGATGTTGGTTTCGTAATTTCTGTTTGCGGACCTCCGTAAAAGTCTGTCGCCTGGCCAAGGCTGCCTTCAGGAAGCGGGGTTTTTTTGGAGGAGGGTTCCTGTAGTGAATTTCTTATTCCATGCCACTAATTAGGGCGGGGCTTCAAGCTTATAAGTTTTTTGCAAAATTGGGTGCCTCTCCCTGGTAATCTAGGATTTGTGCTTGCTTTCGCGCTTCCCTGATATGTACAGACACCAGAGCCCGGCCTTATCTATTGCGGGAATCATTCCGGGAACCTATTCCGGGAATAATTCCGGGAATCATTCCGGGAATCGGGAAAAATATTCCCGGAATCATTTTCATCTCTATTCCGGGAACCTATTCCGGGAACGGTTACCGCAATAGATTCCCGGAATTAGATGAAAACGATTCCGGGAATCGATTCCCGGAATCATTCCCGGAATAGTTTTCATCTATTCCGGGATACTCAGCACATTCCCGGCATTCAAACACTTGAAAATTCCTCGAATTAAAAAATGTAGTTGTTAAAAGCGAAAAATTCCAGTATTGGTATGAAGAGGTAGCCAAAAGCATTCCTGCCGGTAAATAAAGGTTTCAATTTTTAACTTCGAAAATTCTCCGTAACTTCGCTGCGAACTACCCGATTAATTTGAAACTTTGTATATTAGCTAATGAAGCCCCTTTTAAGCTACTGTGAAAATTTCAGGAATTTTGGTGGTGTTTCACCTAGATTCCCGGAATGGTTACCCGACCTTTTGGTCGGGTAGGCCCAGCCTTAACAAAATTATTCCCGGAATTACATTCCGGGAATTTATCTAAAATTCCCGGAATAGATGAAAATCATTCCGGGAATTGATTCCCGGAATGGGTTACCGGAATAGCATTCCGGGAATCTATTCCGGGATTCCCGGAATAGATGAAAACGCATTCCGGGAATCGATTCCCGGAATCATTCCCGGAATTAATTCCGGGAGATTCCGGGAATGATAAGAGGCGTTCCCGGAATATTCCCGGAATAGATAAGGCCGGGCTCAGGATCCCCCTCCCCAAATAATCGTTGGATGCATTGCGTACACGGGAGCAAAAAACCGGACACGCCTGGGATGATTCCTGGGAGACTTATTTGCTCTTGGCAGCGAACCGAGAGCGGCCCCGACGGTGGCACTGTTATTGCCCTCAATGTCGGACGAGCGCCGACAGGCTTCCTCGCCCCACGGCTACAAAGGAACGGAGGCCCATTAAGGGCGTCACCACCGCCTCTGCCGCCGCCGCCACGTTCGTCGCGTGCTATGAAAGGCTATAGGCGTGGCTCTCCTTACACTCACCCCCGTAGGGCTCTCTGTCAGTTTTCTGAGACTTTTCTCTCACCCCTTTCCCACCGTGCCTCGCGCATATGGCAGTAAGATGCCGTGTGCCGTGAATTGTCCACATGTCGGTCATTTCCAGGGCCTGGTGAGTCTCGACTAGGCCCCAGTAGCGACCACGTAATATTCTTACGCGCGCCCCGTCACTTCACCGATTGAAACCTTGCCGCCAACAGGCTACGTTTTTTGTCTGATCGCGTTGTAAATTCAAAGTCCCTCAAACTGGTCCCCGGCCACTAGCGATGGGAATGTTGTTGTCCACTTGCCCTTGTTTGTTTATGCCTCGACCGCAACGGCACTGTTGACAAAGCTGATAGCGACCTGAACCATGGGATTGCTTGAGCTAGGCTAGCAGCGCGGCGTCCTTTTAAAATTTTTGGGGATTTCCGCGTTGCGAAAATTTGCGTCACCATTTTTGCACATGCGGCTATTTTTAGGAACGGCGGGGGGGGCTTACTGTAAAGTGTTTTTACTCAACTTGGAGTTTCGATTCGGGACCAAGTGCATCTTGTACAGAATGTTTTGCTGAATCCGAATATGTTTTCCAAATTTGCTACGGACCGTTATTCTGAAAGCTATACGGCAATTATGACCCTAGTTTTCACCAAAATGAAGATATCGTTATAGTTTTCGATTTTCTTCATTAATTTCAACGTCAAAATTGACTAGGCGTTGGCTCGACAAGCATCCTACAGCTCAAAACAAGCAGTTTAGACAAAAAAAAATGAGGTTTTTATGCAAAAAACAAAGGAAATGATGCAGGGCGGGGGATCGAACCGCCGCCCTGCGTTTGGCAAGCGAGTACTTTGCCAATGCACCATGGTGCCAACTGGGTAGGGTGCTGTCAGAGGGTACTTCAGGGCCCCTGGGAACCATAGCCCCAAACAAGGAATAGTGGGCCAGCGTCTGAATTTTTGGCATTTTTCGGCCTAATTGTTACCAAAAATGATTTTTTAAATAAAAGTCCGTAGCAAATTTGGAAAACATATTCGGAATCAGCGAAAAATTCTGCACAAGATGCGCTTGGTCCCGAATCGAAGCTCCAAGTTGAGTAAAAACACTTTACAGTTAGCCGCGCCAACTGCTACGTAAAACGGGCTTGCGATCTTTTAGGCTAAGCTAGTGCTTCTCCATGGCCGCCCCTAGCACCTGCATTTTTGCGATGATTTTAATTTTTTTATTCCTTTTATTTACACGATCTATCGAAATCTGTTCAAAAAGATCCTCAGAAACACTGATGATATTCCGGGATCAACCAAAACTGGCTGGAATTTTTAGTGCCTTTCCATCCCCTTTGACTCCCCCCGCCCCCTCACTCATCCGTGTTTACAATGATTAATTGCTGGCGGATTTGGGCGAGTAACGAGATGATGTGGCTGAGCGGCGTTTGGCCGGCGGGGGATGCTTCCGCGATGTGGTCCCTGTCCGGGCGCTGTTTGTGTCCTTCTTCCCCCCCCCCCCCCATCCGTGGGGGGACCGGTTGGCCACTGGCCGCACGCGCTTCCTGGTTTGCGGACGCGCGCGGGCGAGAGGACCCCTCTCGGCCCCTCCATTCCTCTCTTGGGCATTCATTTCCCCTCCAGGGCCACAGAACTGTAACACATCTAGAGGCGGTACCCTACCCGTACAATCGCCTATTGATCCACCTACGCATTTCCCATATTATTCACTGGTGACCATCTACGGCCAAGATCGCCACCGGCAGACACTGTCATATTGCGGCGCGACCACCACTTTGCTCTAGCCCGCCTGCCGCCAGACATTCACCCTCTTTTTGCTGGGTCGTTGCCGGTAATTGGAAAACAAGTGGGTTGCCTTTTTATCACCCATCGTATTAATCTTGGTATTCGTTCGAGGAATCCCTTGATCCTTCTAATCCGCCCCCTCCCGCCCGGATTGACTTGTTTTTGAGTTGCGGATTTTGCGAAAGTAGTCCCGGGATTCGGAGATTTTCATTCACCCGCATTTTTGTTCAAAACATGACCTATTTGTTAGTCCCTGAAGGGCTTTGAATTCGCCAAGGATTTTCTTATAGAATTTCGCAACGAGTTTTTTAAAGGTTTTTGAATAACATTGCAGAGTTCTCTAGAAGTCTACAACTCCTCTTTGTCCGTACAAATTTTTCCACTCCACAGATTACCGTACTCGCCATAATCCTGAACCCATTGCTTTTTGCGCTGCGCGCACCCTGCCGTAGTTTTTTTCGGTACCCCAGCCATCCCCATTCAGCCAGGGCCTTCTAATCCGGCGCCCCTTTTGCGTATATGCGCAGCTGGGCTCGTTCACCATTATTTTTTGTATACCCAAGGTTGGCACCGTTGTCTTGGGGATAACGCTCTCGGACGCTGGTCTCCACGGCTGATTGACTTTGCGGACGACGAGTGTGGTGTGTATGTCTGTCTGTCTGTCTATGTGTGTGTGTGTGCATGTTCCGGTGAAGAACCCTCCCTGTCATAGGACCTCCCAGGGTCCCGAGGCACCAATCGGACACCCTTTTCGCCCGCAGGGGTGCAGCTTATTGATCCAAGTGTCGTGCCCTCTTGGCTTCTTTCCCCCGGCGAGCTTCACCCCTGCACTACGACCGACGTTTACATCTTTGGCTCACGTGCAGTGGTTCGTTGCTAGTGACGACTGAGGCACTCTTGGTCAATGGTCACTCGTTTCCAGCTTCAACATTTGGGAATAGCTTCTGGCTATTTTAGCTTCAATCCATGCTTCTAGCGAAAAATTATTCTATTTTACGGCAGCACATTTCCTTCCTAAAAATGGTTAAATATCAACATTTTCAATAGCCTACAAGCCCTCCCCCCACTAACCCTCAAATTTTGCTCCGGGAACTTTGGACTGGTCTTCGGGGGGTAGTAACGTTATCCGGCAAAGTGCTCCTCTCCCCATTCCAGGCTTTCAAAGCGATTCGACTCGCGGGCCCACCACCACCACCACCCTCGCCGGCATCCGGTGAAAGAATCTTATAGCAGAGGGATGAGCTCTAATCCTTTGGCATGTGGGTCGGGTCCCCTCTCCAAAGTGGGACCCCGGGGAAATCTTTTGATGGAAGGCCGGAAATTCGTCGCTTTGCTCCAGGCCTTGCCCTCTACGCCTCCGCGAACTGAGGGAGAGCTGGGGCGCGAAGGATTATTTAGTTCGTATGAGGCAAACATATGATTTCGCGAATTCTCTAGCCTATCCATTTTTGTGCTTACAATTAGTTTGGTTGGTATCAGTAAGTAGGAAAGTGACAATCAAACCGGCTAGTTTTCCCCCCGATTTATAGAGTACTCAGCTCCAGAATTATAACTATCTCTCGGATTCATCGAAAGCTTGATTTCAAGTTTTCTTCCCCCATCCCCGATAGGCAATGTTAGTGGGAGGTCCAGATCAGGCGGATGCGAGGAGAAGGGGAGTCGTCGGGAGCGCCCCCAGCGCGGGAGAGAGATTGGGCTGTGGTGGGCCCTCCGGGGGACATGGGCCATCGATTGGGCTGCATCCGGGCCCACCAAGGGCCCCAGCCCTCCTCCTACGGCCCACCGCCAATCACGGATTGTTATTCCAACGAGCCGTTTTATCAGAATGGAATTCCTATTTGTCCGTTCGTCTGAATTCCGATTTAGGCGGGACTCATTCGCCTATTGAGCCGGCGTTTTTTTTCTTGCTAGCGATTTTGTAATGCTCGAGTGAGGAATGCTCTGAAGCTAACATCTCAGGAAATGATTTCGGGTTTTTTCGCGGATTATGGCACACTCGGTGCACTTTCTAAATTATATTTATCAATTCAGGGCGCTAGCTAGGCATTAGATATCCTGGAATTCAAGTTTTCATCGAATCAGGGGTACTTCCTCCGATTTTACTACCCTCAGCTACATCCTTTTCGTCAAAGCTTCCTTGGAAAAATCGTGCTATCTTCCCTCCACAAAAACATATTCCTTCCCCCGGGATTAAGGGGCTATCGTATCCCCGCGCCAAGATTTTTCCCTGGTTTTCCTTCCTTCCCCATCCTCTTTGCAGCCCATCGAGGGCGGTTCGCGCCTAAATTAGTTTCTTTAGGCATCGCCCGGCGGGCAGCTTGATGTTCACGTGCTAATTAGAAACGCTTTCGAACCTCTTCTTCCTCGCCCCAGCACATCCCTCTCACGTTTCCACTCTTCCACCGATTCATCGCCATAAGGGTCTCTCGGGTTACCTGCGCTTGTCCCCCTCTTGATTTTCCGCGGATAATTGGTTCAATCATCAATAAATGTCAGAATTTTATCCCGTTTTTTGCAGGCAGCGGCGCTCTGGTGGGCGGCCAGACAATACCAGGTTCGGGAGGTCGTGGGGCCTCCCTCGCTGGATCAGCCTCACTCGCTGCGCTACCGGCGGCTGCACAGTTGCACCGCGACAAGATGCCAAAATCGCCCTCCGAAGAGTCGCTGAGGTAAGGGAAAGGGCCTTCCGGGTTCGCGAGCTAACGGCGGATTGAGGATTTGGTGAAAATCAAAAAATTTCGATTCTATTCACTGCCTTTAGATCACACACCTCATCATCGGGCGGCAGCGGAGGAGCAAATGGAGCGGGTACCGGCGCCAGCAGCACTGGCTCGGCCAACAAAGGCTTCACTGCTGACGAGGCCATCTCCACCTTCGGCTCGAAGTTGACGCCCTACGAACAGAACGAAATTTCCCAATACCAACGTGTCTACTTTGTCGGGTCACAAGCCAAGAAGAAGGGCGGTGTCATTGGAGGTATAACTGCTCTTACATGCAAATAATCCGTCCGGTTAAGGTGCTAACAACTCTGGGTACGATGATGAGAATGGTGCCTATATTCTCGTCGCCCATGACCATGTCGCCTATCGCTACGAAGTTCTCAAAGTGATTGGAAAGGGCTCTTTTGGCCAGGTTCGTTTATTAGCCATTTTTATTCCTAAAATTCTCGGTCACCTTTTGCCACATCTGAAGCTCCCAGGGTGCTTTTGCTGTTGGCTGGGGCATTGATTTGTTGAGCGGCAGCTTCCGGCGCTCCTTTTCTCCCCAACTTTCATCCCCTAAAAGGCTTCCCCCTTCGGGGGTCCGCGCTGTTCGCCTCTTTCTCCCGCAGTGTTGCCCGAGGGCCCAAGACTCTCGTTTGGATAATGGGGTTGGATTGAAAATCCGGCGAAGGCGGGGGATAATCCGCTTCCGGTTTCTTTCTGGTACTAGGGATTGTAGTCAAGGGGTCTTTTTTCTCCCTTGACAACCGTATTACTATCGAAATTGGTGCACAACAGTTCACTTGGGCCACTTCCCCACGAAAGCATCCATGAAAAAGCAATAATATTTTATTTCAGGTGATCAAAGCCTACGATCACAAATACCATCAATACGTGGCATTGAAACTGGTGCGAAACGAGAAGCGCTTCCATCGTCAGGCCGATGAAGAAATCCGGATATTGGTAGGGTGAATCTATCCGATTAATTAATTTTTCTCTAGGATCATCTTCGAAGGCAGGACAATGATGGGTCTCACAACATCATCCACATGCTCGATTTTTTCAACTTCAGGAACCACAAGGTACCCACGGTGCCGTTTATCTAATTTCAAAATTTTTCAGTGCATCACCTTTGAATTGCTCAACATTAACTTGTACGAACTGATCAAGAAGAACAAATTCCAAGGATTCAGCTTACATGTGAGACAACAAGAGCGTTGTATTACTAAATTTGTTTCTAGTTGGTGAGAAAATTCGCCTACAGTATGCTGCAATGCCTGGAGCTGTTGAATCGGAATCGCTTGATCCACTGTGATTTGAAGCCGGAAAATGTGCTTTTGAAGCAGCAGGGCCGAAGCGGGATAAAGGTAGGTTTAAAATTTTGATTTGATTTACGACCACGTCTGTAATGCCGTTCAATTGATTCAATCTTTTTTTTTTAGGTGATCGACTTTGGTTCTTCGTGCTTCGACGACCAGCGGATATACACCTACATCCAATCGCGGTTTTACCGGGCACCAGAAGTGATCCTGGGCGCCAAATACGGAATGCCGATCGACATGTGGTCGCTGGGTTGCATTCTATGCGAGCTGCTGACCGGATACCCGCTGCTGCCCGGCGAGGATGAGAACGATCAATTGGCTCTCATCATCGAACTCCTTGGGATGCCGCCGCTCAAGGCACTTGAGAACGCGAAGCGGGCACGAACATTTATTTCATCCAAGGTACGCATTTGGGGCCTTATTTTTTGGGGACATTATGGGGGTTTGGAAGTTTTTTCCATGCAATTTAGCCTACCAATACAAATTGTCATTTTTAGGGTTATCCCCGTTACTGCAACGTCACAATGGCGCCCGATGGACAAGTCCAGCTGAGCGGTGCTCGGAGTAAACGTGGAAAGCTGAGAGGCCCGCCCGGTACCAGGACTTGGGCTCAAGCCCTCAAGAATCAGGTTCGACTTGGTTATCCCCCCGAGACTATGCCCTCAATTCAGGGCGACGAGTTGTTCATCGACTTTGTCCGACGCTGCCTCGAGTGGGACCCGGACGTACGATTGACACCCAGCCAAGCCCTGAAGCATCAGTGGCTGCGAAGAAGGTTGCCGAATCCACCGAATCCGCTAAAGGACGACGGTGCGGATGCAAACAATAATTCGCATGAAAGGCACCACCACAAATGCAAGTAGCCGTGTCGGCTCGTCCCCGTCTCCCCCGTCACAGAGGGGCCCGCATTCTTTTCCCCCGAAATTCTCTTCGATTTCTGCTCGTTTTAATTGTGGTGCCTGTGGTCTCGCACGATTCAATGTTGTGAGAGCTGTGGCCCATGGGTTCTCGTCTTGTCGCGACGAGTCCTGGGTTGTTTTTATTTTGGCTTTCCATACATTGGCCAAAGTCAAGCAAACCATGCCGATCCGTGGGATCGGTGCTGGCCCCAATCTACGAAATTCCATCCGCCCTCCTCCCCTTAGACTTTGCCCAGAAATTATGATTTGAGTCGTATCTATCTTGTCCGGCTCCTTTGCTTTGCTCACCTTGCTGCCCGCGGATCCACATGCCAATGGAAGAAGGGGATCCCTCAATCCCCAGCCATCGCTGCCCTCATCACGGCTCAACCTGTTCCCGACCGCAGCATGAAAACGGTAATTGTTGTCATTGTCATTGCACTGTCCGCGTCTGGTTTTGTACGAGCACTTTCTGCACCGATATGCTTGTTGCAGCGCGATTTATCGTGCTCAGGCAGCGGACAAGACCCCGACCTTGTAGCCACAGCACGATGTTCTTGTCCAATTTTTGTCAAGCACTTTCACATTATTAATGACCCGCTCGCACCATCACGCAACTTTTCCTTCCGACGGTCTCTAACTGATTGTAGCGCATCGTACACCATCAAGGCCCAGTATACACATCCCCTGACCCGCCATCATCTGCCTAGTGGACACGTGAGAGCCCGAATCTTCTAGCATGCGAAGACTATCAACCCCAATCACCAGACAATACCAAATTCACTAATCCCAAACCCCTGCTCGGGACACGGGCTTTGGTGTTAAAATGCATCGGTGCATCACCGGGCCGGGTGGGAAGGCTGGTCATTTTGGTATGAATTTGTTGCCTGCCATGCTCATCAAAAGCAACGGAAACCTTTTTTTACTGTTAACCATTTCGATTCATGTGATCGGAAATCCGGGATTTTGTCAAAAAAAAAAATATTATTGCGCTACCAAAATGACTAGCCTTGCGGAATTTGGTGACATATAGTATCCCGATTTCCGGTGTACTATGCGTTGCTTGGTTCCTTGCATAGATCATGGCTTTGTTCTAAAAACAATTTTCGGGCTTGTATCCGTTGCGAGTTTGGCATAACCTTTCCTTTTCAGCTGCGATCGGCTCACCCTCGCTCGGTGGTAGCGCGAGCTTGTTGTCGGGCTCCACGTCTGCGCTTCGCTCCAATTCCACCTTCGCAGCCAAGTCGCAGGCCATGCTTGGCAACTAAGTGTGTACAAGGTAGCTGCTTTTCCATAGAATCTACCGAAATTTTAATTCTCCTTCGTTAAATTCTAAACCTTTTTTGAAGCTAAAATTTGTAAAAATTCGGCTTTTCCAGGTCTTCAAGCCATGATGTCGTGATCTCTTGCGAACGAGCTTCCGTTCCCGAATCTTTCAAGGGGGCTGTTTGGTGCCGTGCTGCTCCCTCTCGTGATGATCATCACCCTGCATAGGCCCCCTTTCGGTGCGCGCGGGTCCTATTCCATGTCGAGTACGATACACTCCAAATGACACTCAATAACAATTCTCCCAATGTCTCTTCTACCCACCCACAAATTCCCCCTCCATGTACATAGTACAATGATTGTACCTATGATGGATACACTAGCCCACTGTTTCTTTCGCCGAGTCCCTTTTTTGTTGCCATTAACCTCTGTGTATTTTTTTTCTTGTGAACCCCGGCCCATCTTTCGCCCACCCCTAGGCTTTAATAATTGTGTACCCGCGTTCTATGTGAGATTCTTATATAACCTGGCCTACAAAAAATTTGTGTCCGTGTTTGGGTGTATGCCATTATATTTATTTGTGTGATTGTTTTTCGTGCAGACCTTCCACTAACCCTATTCCTCTTGTTGGGTATGTGGATGCCACCCCTCCGTGCCCTTTTCGGGTTGTCGCATATATACCATTTTTTTTTGTTTTCTCGTCAAACGGTCAGCCCACAGCTGAGCAGCGCTTCTCTCTCATTGCCCCCGGATCGTCTATTCTAAGTCGTTGGCAATCGATTCAAGCCTGCTTATTTTGGCACCTTTGAATAAAATGTTTTTTTGATGAAGCTTAATGACAATTAGGTTGAAAATGCAAAGCAAATACAGAGAATACGGTATCGAAGAATCTTTTTGCAGAGCGTATCGTCTTCCCTGTACCTATCGCGCTTCGGCAAACGTGACGTCAACCAGCTTCGTGCTGCTTATGCACCTCAATGGCCATCTGTCGCCCGCAAATTGGGCTTGCCATTGGTGTTAAGATCCTTGAAATGAAATATAGCGCATCAACGACAATCGTCGCCCATCTGCACGCTGCATATTTCAATTCAATGAACGGGGCACCTCCCGATCGGATCTTTGCCCGTCCATTGGCAAAGCTCGGGCAAACGATTGATAACGGTCTTGTCGGACGGAACCCGCATGCGGGGCCTGGTTGACTGACTGTTTTCTTCTTGCCCTCTTGCTCCTCTTTTCTAATTGGAAAGCGACCGAAGACGGCGTGAAGGCCGAACGGCACCCACTCGCTGCCCCTCTATATTACTGCAATATGAATCGGGTCGATAGCGTGCGGGGTTGGCGCTCGTCCAGGAATGCTGATCGAAATTTATCCCGTTTTTGTTATCAATTTCTTTTGACGTCGTGAGGAAATCACTATGATCGGCCTGTTTTATCAGGGTCTCAGTTTTAGCTAATAATTTCTAATTTAATTAAACTGCTGATTTGTTCAATACTTTTATTGGTACTAGGGATTCTAACTACTTTTGGCGAATATACCCTCGAATTTGCGCCTCTCACCTTTTTGTGCATAAAAGTGAGAAGATTTGGGCTCACTCGGCCACCGATACGATCTTCATCTAAGGAGCAGCTACTCTATCCCCTGCTTTTTTGCAGGATTTCACATAACTTTCTTCGCTAATATTGCTCGAAAATGAGAATATGACGTCCTTCCAAAACACATGCTTTATGTCTGGCTTTCTAAATTCCGCACCCCCCCGAATTCCTGTACCCTTGTGCTCTTATCGGAAAGCGGTAGCATTTATCATCACCGCTCAATTCGTAATTGCGGAACCCGTTCTTTTGCACACTTTCAATGCCCTTCCTGCAACTTTCTGACAACAATTCTTATTTTAGGGGCCCCCCTTTTTTTTTTTTTTTTTTTTTTTTTTTTTTTTTTTTTTTTTTTTTTTTTTTTTTTTTTTTTTTTTTTTTTTTTTTTTTTTTTTTTTTTTTTTTTTTTTTTTTCTTTTTTTTTTTTTTTTTTTTTTTTTTTTTTTTTTTTTTTTTTTTTTTTTTTTTTTTTTTTTTTTTCTCCCTTATTGCTGATGGCATATCAACCCCTATCACTGCCGCCACTGCGGCAATTCAAAGGCTACCATCCGGAATTCCCTCAACAGGGCCCTTACCAGCCGTACTCGGACCCGCTTTGCTGGTGAGTCCTTTATTTTGATCGTATTTTGATGCTATCGATGATACAAGATCGACGAGGCACTTTACTGAAAGACTTTAGTTTTATTAATTTTAAGCTTTTTCTGGGTTAATAATCTCGTTGTTAGCTTGTGGATTATAGGCGCCGCGACTTAGCTATTCAAACGTTCATTAGACCGGTGAAATGAATTTTTCTAAGAGAATGTCGCCAAAAGTGGGAATCCATGAGTAAGGGAGATAGTGTCGATTGTTTCTTCGGTTGTCGGGTTTGGAAATGGCTGCTTTCGTTTATAGACTGGGGTTTCTGCCGCAAATTGTGGGAAAAGGAAAGACCATAAAAACAGTAGAAAAATTCCAATACATTGTATTGAAGAGAGGGTAGATCGTCGACTAATTTTGCGATTTTAGGGAGGTACCTGGCCAAGAAATTGTCATCAACCATGTCGAGAAGATCACGGATCTCAGGTAATCCCTTTAAGCTCTAGTCAACCGATGGTCTAGAAACGATGCCCGAAAAAGCTCTCTTATCAACAATCTGCCGTCTTATATATGACGGGTCTAGGTCGACCCAAATCTTTCACGGCCTCTCGATCTCCTCTTTTTCTATCATCTTTTCGGCGTTGCGGCCGGCGAGGCGAACCTTTTTTCTCTGCGCCCTCCACCACCCTACCCGCCCAGCGCCCAAATTATCGCGGTAGTTTGTAGCAGTCGCTGTAGTTTCTACCCCTCCCCCATTTCCTCGCAAGCGACAAACCACAAAAATATTGATTCAAGCCGTACATTTTTTCGATGTTTATTAAAATGGCACCACGTTTTGTGAAAATATTTTTCCAGCAAACTGGACGGCTACGTGGATAGCGAACAGCTCGTCGGTGGCCCCGGCGAGCTGGAAGAGGAGATCGTGGTCGATGATGATGATACGGTATCAATTTCTTAGTTATTGTAATGCTTCTGTGCTTAGACACCGTACGATTTCATGCCATCGTCTATGGACAACCTGCGGAATATCTACACGGTTAGTTTCCGCTCTAATGGATTTGCCGGTTGGGTCAAATTCAATGCTTCTAGACTGCATTATTTCGTTTTATGAAAAAAACGTGGGTTAAGAGGCCCCTTCATCGCAGTCCATCTCCAATCCAGTGCATCCGGCCGCCGATTCGTCGCGACCGGTCCGAAATTGGCAAGAAACAACGTTGTCTGGTAAAATCAATCCTCCGTCACTGAACCATCCCTCTTCAGGTCTGTGAAACCGTCACCCAGGGCTTCCATTTTGGTGCAGTTTCCTGTGCCGCATGCAGTGCTTTCTTCAGGAGGTACGCCCCCGACTCACCATTTATTATTCACCATTCTCTTCAGAACGATTTCCGAACGCCGCGAATATACCTGTCGGGTGGAGGGCGACGGCCATCTGAAGTGCGAAATTAATGCCGGTGCGTGGTGATCTACATGGATTGAAATCCTATTCTAGAGCACCGCTGCTACTGCCGTGCTTGTCGCTTCCAGAAATGTTTGACGATCGGAATGGATCCACTAGGTAGATTTGGGCTAATTCGTAATAAGTAAATTAAAATTTAGCCGTTCAACCGCACCGCGATCAAATCGGGGCCAAGCGAAAAGCCAACGGTCAGCCGCACTCGATCGGATCGCCGGCAATGGGCGATAATCCATCATCGCCGTATTTTAATGCGTAAGTTGTTGGCTTTGTTAGAAATTCAGTTAGGTCCGATCACGAAAACAATAATTTTTAGTCAAATCGACGAGGTGATGTCTGGCAGAATGGCCGTCCACCTGAGCTCCGGTGGTCAGCTGCGCGAGTTCAAGCCGCACGGCGCAGCCACTCAAGCCCTGCTCTCGCAGTCTAACGCTTCCTATGCGGAACAGGTACTTTATATTGACTTAAGAATACAACTCAATCAAGCGGTATCTAATTAATTTGATTCCAGCTTGTCGCTCTATCCCGCCGTCCGGTGATCGGCGGCCATATGGACAAACGACCACGCCTCGACCACTCGATTTCGCCCGGCGGAAGTGAGGAAAATGAGCTCGAGGTACTGTATTATTGCCGTAATTTACGAAAACTGATGTTTTAATCAAATCCTTAAACGTGGAAAGTACGCGCAGGCTAAATATACGCGGAAACAAAGAATTTCAGCACCTAACGACGGAAGAACATCAGCGCATCATATACGAAGAGGAGAAGGTCCTAGCTATGGAGGTGGGCGACTAACATAATTATTAAAAACTAATATGTTTGTTATAGGGCACCAGTGGCGATACGGAGTACATGATCATGGAGACATTCCCGTTCGACGACGGCCAAGATGCGGCCGTCGCAGCGAAGGAATGGATGAACAACAAGAAGGTCCCCCGGCTACTGTATAAGAAAGAGGAGCTTGGTGAGCGCGAGATTATAGAAATTAATAAATTCTGATTAGACGAAAGCCTGCTCCCGCCGAAAAGTGTGAATATGATCGAAGTGATGGTGCTGGCCTACGAAAAGTTGTGGGAACGAAGAAGACTGCTTTACTGCCCGGACACCATACGTGATATTTTGGGCACCACTCCGCCGGTAAGCCGTCTAACTGCAATTCCGGTAACAATCCCGACAGTCGAAATACCGATAGGCCAAAATCCCGACAACAAAACTAAAGGCATCTGTGCGGTTTCGTGCCAACCCAACGTTGGACCCGTTTTTTCGTTTTTATAAAGTTTTTACGCTGTTAGAAGATGACGTTCTTCTCTAGAGCTATTTGGCTGTCGGGATTTGGATTGTCGGTATATCTGCGTTTTCCTCACCTAACTGTGATTAACCTTACCTCTTGTAGGTCTCTCGTCCCGCCGATCTGGGTGCCAGGATGCAGAAGCAGCGTCTCCGACAGGAAGTCGGTCTGGTCGCCGAATTCCTCTCCGTCCTCTCCCCATTCACTCGTCTTGATTTGGATGATAAGGTACTCCATTTTATTACGTGCCTCTCACCAAAACCGTTTCAGATCGCCCTCTTCAAGCACCTCTCCTGCCCATACTCCATCCTGGAGAAGCACTATGTGACGATGCGCCGCGGGGGTCTCCAAATGAACCGCATCATCCACAACGACAACTCGTACACCGACCTCTCGGACTCGGCGTTGGACCGCATCAAGCTGGAGGGCAGCAAGGATCCCTTGTTTGCCGATAAGGCCACGCTGAAAAAGTTTGTTGTCTCTCCAGTTCCGAAAATATCATTTTAGGTTGTTCATCGACCCGCTGCGCGAATCTCTTCAAGAAGTCACTGCGCCAATGTTTAACATGAAGATGACCGACGTCGAGTTTTGCGCCCTAGTTGCTGTGATCCTGTTTGATCCGAGTATGTTTTTCAACTCGTACTTATCCACTTTTCTCTTAGCTACTTCCGGCCTCTCCGACGCGACTCGAGCACAAGTCCGTGCCGCCCGAGCGCGCGTTTATCAGGACTGGTTCGCCTACTACCGCGCCCGCGGTATCACCTCCGACTGCAGTCAACGCGCCGGAAACACAATGTTGTTGTTGCCCGCTGTGCAGGTATGCTATATATTCTTAGCCAATACCCTGATTTGCAGACAACCGTCGAAAAATCGCACGAAAACTACCACGTGGTCCGCGTCTTCGATCTCTTTGAATACGACAAGATCTTGGACGAGATGATGATGAAGTGATATGCCGACTGCCTCATTGACTTTGACCTCGCTTTCCCTTCACTTCCCCACATAGCCCGTCGATTGTCCCGGCGGCAATCGACGCATATCTTTTACCTCTAAATTCAGGCCGCATTTATACACATTGCCTATTGTCAAATTGTTATACACGCTCTATTACGCGTAGATCATTGCCCACCTTTGTTCACATTAGCGCAGCTTGTTATGTTCTATCATTGGAATAAAGTTTGAGCGAGTCGGCAGGTGAACAGTGCGTGTTTCAGCAGCATGCTATCGATACACATTCCGATCTAAGAACGATAAAAGCGCAAAATTAGCAGCTACTGCATATGGATGGCGGGTCGACGGGAATACGTCAGGTGGCAAAAACTATTGGCAAATTTTACCTATGGTCTAGGGGTTTATCTGCCCGTTTTGCCTCGTTGATCTCGGCAGCTACAACGCCCTAGCAGCCCACGTTGAAAATGACCACCCGGAAGATGCGAATACCCCTGCTGTCGAGCAGCTCAAAGGTCCGAATTCTAGGCAGCTGTCTTCAAACGGATTTTTTGTTCCAGGCTTTTTCGACAAAGCGAAACGCAGCATCAAACGTTTCGACCCGGGGCTTGACATTGAGAATTTGCGAGGTCGTGTCTCCAGCGGGTTGACGGCCGTCGCCTCGTCGAGCAGTATGACGCAGATTGACGAAACGAGCCCCAAGCAGACCCATCAGAATACGCCAACAACCACCCGCAGCAAGTTCGTGTCGTTTGCTGGCTGGGTTTTATTTGTTGGGCAAAGGGAATGCAATCGTAATTTGCAACGCTCCGTTCATGCTCGCCCCCGCTGCGTCTTTGAATTTTTTCCGTCTTTCAAACAATGCCGCCAAATTTGATTCCGATTCGCAAAATCAGCGATCCCACTCCCCGGTTTGAAGCTAAATCAAAGTACGTTTTCATTGTAATTCGTTTCCAGAAATAAAGACTTTGTTGTAGATCACGCGAAAGGGAACTGCGCCAACGTGCCCGGCGACCTGAATTACCACCCTACCGGCCGGAAATAGGTAGCATTATCTTTCTCTCCAGTATTTCTTTATTAGGCGTCACACAAAAGCACACTGAGTATTACGTCCGATGTCGCGAGGCCTCCGTCAACGATCTTGCTGTCCGGACGAACACGTTGATCATAAGGATGGACAAATTGATAAACGAAGCACCAGCGGATCCAGCAAAACGGAAAGGTTTGGTTGCCAGCTATCCCCCAATTGTGCTTTAGAATTCGAACGATTCGTCGTTCCATGGACAGAAGATTCCGATAGCCCGGCTTGCCGCGGCTGCAATCAAAAATTCAATATGACGAGGTGCTATTCGCTTTGAAGTCATGTAGCCGATATTTAGGCGGCGACACCATTGTCGTCTTTGTGGGAAGGTCATGTGCCAAGCATGCAGCAAATTCTTATCTTTTCTTTCAGCCAGTAAACATCTTACAAATTTTTGTATATAGCTCTTTAGGAAAGTTGACTAACCCAGCCCTGGCTGCTGCTATGCAAGACGAGGATGAGGAGAGTGCTAAAAAGGTTGAGATTGTTTTTTAAATTAGTTGAATATCATTTAGGCCGAGGTTCGTTCGCTGGAAAAACTGGCAGATTTGGCGCAGCGCACCAGTGGCCATCTACGAGGATTGATTGGAAGCTCGAAGGGGAGCCGTGATGGTACAGAAGTCAGTATCTCGACGCTTCTGCGACAGGTGCCCGCCACTACCGCACGAATCCCGTTGTTTTCCCTGTATTTCCCAACGTTTGCATGATGATTCAGCTTTCGGTGTGGTGGTGGTGGTATTCGTATGTTTCATAAGGCGCTTACGACTGATCTTATGTTCCTCCCAAAGTGCTGGCAGTTTCTCGTCCACTGGCCAAATCCAATAACGCTTTCACACCTTTTCAACTTTTTTTACAGGATGCTGCTGAGCAACTGCGTGTTTGCGTACCATGTCTATCACTGCTTGAGAAGCGAGAACTGCAGATGGAAGCGCGCAATCCGCCGGCCCTGGTAGGAACCTTCGATCATGCTAATGGTTTGCTTAGGTATCCATCTACGAACGACTGATCATCCTACTAAACGAAATCTCAAACCTCTCGCCGGCCTACGCAAAGATGGCGTCCAGCATAAAGTAAACCATTCCGCTTTTCGAAATAATCTTCTAACAGTAACGGCGAAGCACTCTATTCTCTCAGCTCGGCCGAGGAGATCCGCTCAAAAATTGCGAGGAAGCAGCAAGAGATCGACTTGATCAGGTATTTTGTGATTACCCGTCGAAAACTATTGATTTAGCAAATCGATCGAGGGCGACGAAACCGAAAATATGGGATTCCGTGAGCGACAATTACGCAAAAATATACGCTTTGTTGCTATACAAACACTTCAGGTAATCGGCTTCTTTGTGCTTCTTGGAATTGCGTTCTAGAATGTGATTTCTAACATGCAAGGGCTCCCGACGGCTGAGAAATATGCTGAACTGGCTGAGCTTCACCGTCGAAAGGTGGCTCGACAAGTGTGATTTCTTTGTTAGTTTTTTTTCATCTTGCTTTTCATAGGTGGAAGAGCAACGTGCAATCGCTCAGCGGGCAGCGACTACGGCTGCGCGGGTTTGCACCATTGGCATGTCGTTGAACTGTGTTTAGGCAATCCGCTCGGACACATCGTCCCCCGAAGCAATTCCTGCGGCAAAAATGACTCCCAGCTCGTCTTTTATCGGTCGATCTGTTGATGATGGGTAGCGATTTATCTGCTTTCGATGATTTTCTGTTTTAGGTGGACTCCGGAACTGTCGCACAGTCTGCATAACAATCCTTTCGCCGAGCAGGTGGAGCAGAAGCATCCTCTCGAGGAGCAACGTGATATAATCAAAGGGTTTTGTTTCTAGAATAAACGCGCAACGTTACTCTTAGGTATTTGTCGCAAGCGGCCGCTGCCGGACGTCTGGAAGAGGTCGAAATGCTAGAACGAAACCTGCGTGATCTGGAGATTGCGATGCGCGAGCACCAAATCCATACCCCATAACTTATCTTCCTACTGCCCCTCGCCCCACCGCTACATATCATCCTGATGCTATTTATTCTGACAGATGCGCCACCCTTCTAGTCAGCCCCTACTTTATTTTGCTCGATTTGCCAACGTTGCTTGAGGTTTTCTATGTTGCCCGGTACCTTCGTGCAATGTTGCATAATGTGTTTTTGTTCCTGTGAGCTTAACTTCTGTGATAATCATCAATAAAACATCCGTGACAACAATTTTGTACTGTATAGAAGCGGCTTTCACACCGTGTTATTTTTGGGTCACTTCTTCAATAACGAACGAACCAATGAATGGTACTTTCAGTTACAGAATGGCACCCCCGGAAAAGGATGATGCTGGCCGCAAGAAGAAGGAATCCATTGTTGACCTCTCGAGATTTATCGACAAGAAGGTGCGCGTCAAGTTTCAGGGAGGGAGAGAAGGTTGGTATTTTTAATCTTTCTGATCCTTGTTTAGCCATGGGCACGCTGAAGGGATACGATGCGCTACTTAATCTTGTGCTAGACGACGCGATTGAATATCTACGTGATGCTCCAGACAGTGAAAGGTTTGCTTTGATCGCTCATTTACTCTTTGGAATCTTTGAAAATACAAATGGCTTTAGGGTGACTGAAGACACACGATCGCTGGGCCTTATTGTTGGCCGCGGGACCGCCATCACGATCATCGCGCCCGCCGACGGAATGGAACAAATCGCCAACCCCTTCGCAAATCCAGATGCAGAAGAATAAGACCTCCTCATCTACTGTTGTCCCATCTCTTTATTTCTACGTTGTCGATTCTATCAGTATCTGTGCCGGTTGTTTTTTTACTGTTGATTTGATCTCTCACTTTTCCGGTAAAGTGTTGACTGACAATAAAAGTGATCATGCGCAGGCACTTGCAGATGTTCAATTGTTTACTTACATATGTACACAATCAAATTGGGTTGGCAGACATCGAATGAGACGAGCGGAACGGGAAGGCCAAGGACTGGGGATTTGAGGGGTAAATGCGACCTGAATTGTTGGATCTCGGTACAGCTATGCTTGCGAGATTGGGTAAGACGAGTAATGGCTTTCGAATCAGCTAGTCGTTATGGGTCTGGTGAGAGGAAAAAGTATCCGGGGAAAGCACAATGATGTTTGTGAAACACTTTAATACTCGGATGGCCTAGCGAAATCGTGGAGGGGCGATCTCGCTAACCGAAGGCAGGTTGACTCGTGTAGACGACGTAGATGAAGCCGTCTGCGTCTTGGTCTTTCTATAGAGATTTAGATGCCATCAAGTGGGAATAGGTTACCTGGTAGAGCTCGCTCATCGTCATCGAATTCGACACGACGGACTTCTCGTTGACCAACAGGAAGAAGGCTTGCTCCGGGTGGAGTTGAAGCCTAAATGTGGGTTGATTGTTTTTGACTTCAATTTTCCTTTTTTAGGACGTAGCTATTTGATGGCCTCACCTGCGACGGACGATATGCATCAGTTCGGCGACAGTGATATGGTCGGGCACCAGGAATTTGCACCGGTCCATCAGTGGCAAGCTTCGTTCGCCTAGACGGGGTTGAACAGGTGGGTTCCGGGGGTTATTGGTTGTAGATTTTTACTTTTCTACCCATTGTCGAGAAATATTCATCCCAACCTCGCGTCTGTTGATTAAACTCTCACCTTCAAATCGCTCAATGATCACTGGAATCTTGTTGGGCTGCTGCCTCTTGATTTCTTGGACGTCTTTTTCACGCGCATCTAGAAATAAGGATTGATTTCGCCACCATAACCTCGAATTTTCATTCTCGCTTGTCCACACTCATTAGCGGATCAGTTCTCCCCCAAAAAAACAGCCGCTCTTTCGGACGCGCATCGATCAATGCTGGGCGGTCAATGTTTTTTTTAGTGCCTGGCCAGCTGATCGGCAGCAGTTCTCTTCCTCTCCACTTTTGAACCCTCGCGGGAAAGTGAAATTATAGTGCGGCAAGCGATCGGCCGGGCTACTTGCGCAATAGAGTGATAAGAAACGCCTTTGAAGAAATCGATCAATACAGAGTCATCCTTGTCATTATTCAGGGGAAAAACGGGTTTTTAACAAAAAAAAAGCACTAAAAGGGGGCTAATATAGCACCAATAAAAGCCGACACTTACGGAAGGGGCGGCGTTCCTTGAAGGTTGGGATATGGCCAGTATTCAACGCCATCCTGTTGACTGGCCGCAAGGCGTTCACTGCCGAGACGGCGGCGGACAGCTAGAAAGTAGGAATATTAGGTTTAGTGGATCTCCATTTCCATTCAAGGTTTTCTTTACCCACCGGTTGCTGTAGCGCCGTTGAAGCTGCTTCCCAGTTAATCGACTCCACCTGCAAGTCGATCATTAGGAGGATGACAAAAACTGGGACTCATTCCGTAAAAGCCAGAAAAATGCTTGGAAACGAAGCACGTCCCGATATAATCTTTTTCAAGTTCTCATTAACTTTACGATAATTTGAGGGCTAAAACTTTTCGCAAGACATTTTCGTGGCCTTTTTCCGTCAAATTGGGGGTTAGAATTCGCAGATAAGAAAGCGGAAGCATCCTCCAATTACCAATAATGTATAAAACTAACTTTGACGGCTTTCAGGTACGAGGCCTGGTGTTGAAGGGGTCGTGTGATGTCCCCTGACTTGCCCGGCAGCTCCCATTCTCTCTGACCAAGGGACCCCGCATGATTACCGTAGACACGCCGCCGCCCCGAGACCGCCCTCGTGTTGGCTTTCAAAGCACTAACGGCTACATCTACTCCAACTGCTCTACGTGGAAACCCCAGGCAATCCAAAAACTAGTGCGATACGCGAAGAATTTCGAGGAGATGAAAGTGAAAATAAAATGAGGCGAGAGCCCTCGTTTATAAGAAGAATCTCGGCCGCAGAAATGGGCCAGACCTCTGGCGGAAATGGTCTTTCATGGCAAAAAGTGGTCGTGCTCTGTTTGGCAGTTTCACTTGGAACACAGGTGGGTCCTGAAAACTATCATCACCTGACAAAGATCGTCTAAAAATAGGGATTGGGGAGCCACAACCTGCCTAAAATCTGAAAAGAAGTTACGAATTCTTTTCCAGTACCTTCTGCCAAAAGCTTACGACTTCCTGAAGGACGTTGCTTGTAATGTCGACATCTTCACGCCATTGTGCCCGGAGCCGTCACCAGCAGGCGAGGAGACAACCATTCCACCACGTCGGCAACTTCCGAGAGGTCAGCGGCTGAAGATTGGGTATTCCGCCTACAATTCCAGCTAAAAACGTATTGATATAAAAAAATCTTTCAGAGCTCCAATCGCAAGTCATGGTTATTGAAGACCCGTTCCCCATCGAACTCTGGACCGACACCGAGCAATGGGGCGTCGTCAAGGCAAAACAGGAGGAGACTGAGGGAATGTGAAGAGCCGGATCCGGCACAGGTCCAAGAAGCCCTAACGGCCTTGAACCAAGCACGACTCAATCGCTACAACGGGAACCATAAGAAGGTAAGAAACAAAAACGCATCTAGTTGGCTTTAGGCCGCCACGATCATCGAGCACGCCCTGGCCCTCAACCCGAAGCATCCGGACATCTTGGTAGAGTACGGACTGCACCTCGAGACGAGCGAACGGCTTTTGGAGGCGGATGGCTATTGCGTGAGAGCATTGTCTGTCGACCCACGGCATTCAGAAGCATTGGCGTACGGCTATCTACTTCCCATTTTTATTTTCATTTAGTTGTCGCGAGAGAACCGAACCGCTTGTGTCGGCCTTGGATGAGAAGATGCTTCGCGATATTCGCCGCAAGCGGTAAGCGTTCTAGAAGAAGATAAAAGGAATTGTTTCAAGGGACAACTTTCTCGATCTCCCAAAAAGCGCAACGTTGCGGCGAGCGATGAGGGAGAGCTACTTCTCTCACATTTACCACACGGTGGCGATCGAGGGTAACACGCTGTCGCTCGGAGAGACCAGGTAAGCTGGTGATGAGCAAAATGAAGAAGTAAAGTCCAGATCAATCCTCGAGTCTGGTATGCCGGTGCCCGGGAAGAGCATACGGGAACATAATGAAGTGTTGGGCATGGACTCGGCCCTTCGTTTCCTCAACCGTTCACTCATCCACTTGGCCGACGTTACATTGGAGGTAGGGAAAGGCTAAGGATATGACATTCAAAAAAAATAGGACATCCTGGAAATGCACCAACGTGTCCTCGGACACGCTCAGCCATTGGACGCCGGCCGACTTCGTGATACGCAAGTCTACGTAGGGAGGTGGGCTCTAAGAAATAAACAAAAAGCCCTTGTTAAACAAAGTCTACAGCATCTTTAGATTTACCCCGGTGGCACCGAAGTATGTGAAGGAGCAAATGCTCGAGTTAGTGGATTGGCTGAATGAGCCGTCGAATCAAGACATGGACCCGGTCCAACTGGCCGCTATCGCCCACTATAAATTGGTACAGAATCTTCCAATCTTGTCAAACTAAAACATAAATTTACAGGTCGTCGTCCACCCCTTCGTTGACGGGAATGGACGCACCGCCCGGCTGCTACTAAATCTTATTCTTATGAAGGCAGGTTTCCCGCCGGTGATCCTTCCAGTCAGCACGAGAGCAGAGTATTATGCTACGTTACAAACTGCAAATAATGGTGACCTGCGCCCCTTTGTTCGCTACGTGGCTAGGCATGTCGACAGGACGCTACAGGTGGGTCCAAACAGTGGAAAAAACCCGGAGCTATCTTCAGACTTACATAAATCTTGTGTCAACGTGCCCGGAAGAGCCGTGTGCGGATCAGGGAGCAATCGAGGAGGAAACTGATGAATTTCGAACAATATCTTGATCGGGAACCGGACATTTCCGAAATTCAAACATGCCTGATAACCACCAATTTCTGTACATATTTAAAAGCCAAAACTACTACCCATACTGTTCTTAAATTTTTATAATTTTTTCGGGTCCTTCCATCGCTAGTCACTTTTTACCCCCAAACGCCTCACTTTTGCAATTTCCTGTCACGGGTTTTGGTGTGATAAACCGTCTTTACCATATCGAAAAAGGAAAATGCCACCTAGAAAATGGTAAAAAAGGAGTGAACATCACACAGGACTTAAATTAAAGCAAACAAATTTAACAAAAAGGAATGAAACCGATATGTGGCCGCTTATTTGCCTCCCTTCTTCTTGCCTTCCTTCGCCTTCTCCTCGTCGATGGGGGCCGGTTTGACGAATGGAATGAACTATAACGCAAATTTTTAAAGTATCCCGACGAATTCTTACCTCCTTGTATTGCGGAGGCATGTACGGGCGAAGAATTTCAGGCACGGTGATTCCCGTCTCGGTTTGATAGTTTTCGAGGAGGGCGCAGAGGACTCTTGTGGTTGCGCACATTGTTGCGTTCAGCATGTGCACGTAGGAGACCTGTAAAGGCACTAGAAAAATTGACTAAAATATACCAACCTCTCCGTCCAGTTTCTTCGTCTGTCCATAGCGGACCTTCAGCCGGCGCGCCTGGTAATCCAGACAATTCGAGCACGAGACCAATTCTCGGAAAGCACCCGAGCCCGGGAACCATGCCTCCAAGTCGAGCCTAAAGCCTATTAGAACACACATTGAATAATATCTTACTTTTTCGAGGCAGCATTGTTCAGTTCGCCCGAGACAATGCATACCACATGGTACGGGATGCCGAGAAGCTGGCAATATTCCTCTGCGTTGCCGATCATCTGAAATCAATACTGTTAATTGCCAGGGTTCGATACCTCAGTGAACGCTTCCCACGATTTATTCTCAAAAGGCGACGTCAGGACAAATTGTTCGACTTTCTCGAACTGATGCACCCTAAAAACCATTGCCAGGATCAAGCATTTCCAAACCGGAAAATGCCACGCGTATCCCGTCCGTGGCTGCCCACTTCCTGGCGGAAACACGTCGAGAAACCAGCGTATTTGATCGGCAAATCGGTTTCCTTAAAAAAATAAATGAAGCAAGGAGCCGTCGCTTCACCTTTATCCATTCGTCCCTGTGGTAGGCGGCAATCGGTTGTTCTGCCGTTGCGATTAGATACTTTTCATCAACAGTGGAATCGCCAGCAATTTCGGTTCCTTTTCCCGATACCTAAAAAAAGTATTATTCTGGCTGATAGACCTTACTTTATATAGTTCATCGTCGAACTGACTCAGCTGGGCAACCTCTTGCATCACCTCCTTGCGCATGAAGAAGGGCGTATACAGGGGTGTATAGCCTTTCTTCGACAGCCTGAAAAAAATACATAATTAAATGTCACAAAAATACGTTTGCAACGCGATCTGAATAATCGCCTGCTCCAGAAACACAAGTGGTCCTTTGAGAAAGTAGCCGCGTCCACCGGCCACTGTCGTTCCGCGATCACCATCAAACCCGTCAATCATCACAACCAAGTCAACCTAGCGGCATATCATGAATTTTGATTAAAGTAACTGACATGGCTGTACTTCTTTCGGCTGGTGATATCGCCGTACGTGTTCTCGACACGGTTGTTATCTTCGTTATCCGAGATCGGGACAGATTCGTGAACAAAGTTCCCGATCTAAACAAAAATATTGGCTCTCTGATACAATTCATAACGTCCAACCTGGATTAGCGCTTGATGGCGATCATTCTCGAGCTTCTCCATGTTAATCTTCGTCTGGGCCATTCGCTCCTCCACCAATACACCCATTTTCTTCAACTGATTGACAGATACGCTGCCGAGCTCGTCAAGCTTCAACTCCTCCAGCCGGGCCAGAACCTGCTCGTCGACAGGCGCATCAGATCCAGGGCCTTCTTTCTTCTAAAAATGGCCAGATAAGTGATAAAAAAAGCCGCACCTTCATCTTCTCGCCAACAGCCTTGCTGAAAGTGTTCTTTTGGCGGTTCAGGCGATCGGCAGTGAAGCGCTCTGAAAAAACGTTAGCAAAAAATAAATTTTCGTACCTTTTCGCCATTGTTGATCAAGCTCAATGACCTTATCCACGAGAGCCGGGTCCTTGTAACTAAAATTCTACTGTAATGAGAAACCAAAAGCAGAAAATACCGGTCTCGTTGCGATTTCCGGATCTTTTCCGGGTCGCCACCCTTTTCCTCGCGGAACAGGTCAATGTCGAGAACCATTTTCTAAAAAAAAACGTTTTGCTCATTCGAGTTTTGATAAAAAGACAGGGAAAAGCTTGAAAGTTTTACAAATAAAGTCAGTAATTTCCGCGTGTACGCCCCGTAAAGAGTGTCTCTCGTCCACGGCGCGCCGGCCTTTGCGGGGCAAAGCCGCCGCGGACTGCAAAAAGAATTTGACTGACATTTGTTTTTCAAAATAAAATAGAATAAAATTATATACTTTATGTATTCGTTAAAGTATTTTAGCTGGAAGAGAAATTTTTATATTACTTCTTATAGCTTTCACCGGATTTTTACCGCTTTCCTCATGCGCTGAAATTCTGATGCAACTATTTTCAGGGCACATGGCCTTACCTCCAGCCCTTCTCGCTCGACTACAGAAAAGAGGAATCGTTGGGAGAGGTTTGTTGGCATGAATTTATTAATTTTTGTTTAGATCCCAACGAGGAAGTCTTTGCGGAAGACTATGGAAGTGATGTGAAAGAGAAGAAGGTGGATGACAGAGAATTCGCGATCGGATGCCCTAATAAGTAAGTACCATCGGTTGTTTCGATATTTTTTTTCAGAAACAATCCATACCATGTTTGTGTCGAGTTCTGCTACGATCACTGGGGCGATGGACAACCGGAATCGCGGTAGCACAGCTTTTCCAGCGTAGACTTACCTTTTCAGGCTCAACGAAGAATACCTTTACCGCAAAAATCGTATGCTGACCAGATACCCGATACCCGAGCCCTGGGTTGAAGTCTACGATCCGGGCATGAAGAGGCATTACTATTGGAACCCGGAGAGCGATGAGGTTTTTGCTTCTTTGCTTCAAAAACTGAATTCTTTTAGGTATGTTGGCTTTCGCCACGCCATCCGAATGCGGTGATCGGAGAGGCTGCTCCGAAACTCGCACGTGAACGAGCTCATGGGGGCGGTGCTGACGATTCGAGGCCTCCAATGCCGCCACAGGCACCACTTTTTGATCAACGCGAGGCTTACAGGCAGTCGGTAAGCCTTTGACGAGCATTTTTCGCGCTTTATTGTACTCTATTTCCTAATTGCAATTTTCAGGAAGAAGCAAGACAGCGAGACCGCTATTCGGACCGGAATCGCGACCGTGAAAGGGACGACCGTCGAGACCGTGGCCGTGATCGTGATCGCCATGGCCGTGACCGTGAGAGGGATCGACGGCCGCCTCGAAGGGTATAATCTAAATTAAATTTGACCGACCTAATTTTAGAGCCCTGGCCAAAGTGATAGCGACGAAGGCAAAGAAGAAGAAGAACCCTCGGATCGCGACAGGCTGCGTGAGTTTTGTTTGGCTTGACATAACTCAATTTCAGGGCGCGCCACCCGCAAGGGCATCGACCCGATGGACCCAGCAGCGTACAGTGACATTTCCGTGTATGTTTTACGTTTCCAAACATTATATTCTTGTTTATAGTGGAAGATGGTCATCTGGACTCGTTGAAGACACGAAAACTGGCGTTGATACGACTGCTGGCGGCCCTCTCTTCCAACAACGTCCCTACCCGGCCCCCGGCGCGATTTTGGCTCGATCTGGAAAGAAGAGACCCGGAGATGATGATGATTGAGAATACATTAAACGTTTATTTATCGATTTTGATCTCGTATTTTATTGTTTTGTTGGAGGCGTTGCTCGGGAATAAAGTTTCGTTCAGACTAAAATGTGGTTACAAACACAGTATGCATGCTAGATACATTCGTTCTCTTTGCGGCTGGGGCTGCAGGGAAGAGCACCACTCGTCCGGGAATGATAAGTGGCGCCATCGTGGCTTTTTTATCACCCACTGACCCTAAGCCTTTTGTTGGGCGTAAAAAAGATTTGCGTTTCATCATCGTAGAGGGCTTTCCGAGCCAAATCGACGTCGCATAGGCCCATGTAACGAAATTTGCAGATAAAATGTGGTTTTAAAGCGCGCCAGGCTGTCAAGAAGAAGCCGATTTTTCTTGTTCTCACTTTGTAAATTCATACATTATTGTGTGTGATTTGAATTTAATGTATTTTTATGTTTCAGAAATGTTGAAAGAAGGTGCTGACGCCGCCAAAGAGCATTTAGTCGCCCTTCATGAAACGGCTGTCACGCACCTGAAGAAGGTAGTTTCATAATTTTAGTGCTGTAAATTCTTATTTTTATAGGTTGATCCAGTAGTGCTCGTGATCGGTACCATCGCCGGGACATTTGTCTACTTGAACACATACCGCCTGTATACCCGTTCAGAGCAACCGTTGCATAAAAGGTATTCTCCTCAGACACCTTTTCATCTTTTTAGACTGGCCGCATGGGGTTTCCAGCAGTTTCGCAAGCTTCCCGCCGTTCGTCGCCGAATCGAGCAAGAGCTTGAAAAGCCAAAGATGGAGATTCTTGAAAGCATTCATAAGGACGACACTGATCGGCACTTTTATGCAGGTTGTTGTTTCTCACGCACGTTTTACGAGAATTACAGCCATTCCGGAAGACGCGTTGTCGAGCGAACAAGTCTTGGATTTGGCTAGCAAGTAGGTTTCAAGTTCCTTGTGCATGTGCCTTTAGGTACGACGATTACGGGAAATTCGACGTTGCCCACGGCAAAGTGAGCGGTGCTGTGTACACAGATCGAACCGATGATCACTTGGACTTGTTGGCCAAGGTATTGTATTAAAGAAAGTTCAAATTTTTCTTTAGGTTTATAGAAAATATGCGTACAGCAACCCGCTGCATCCGGATGTTTTCCCGGGTGTCCGTAAGATGGAGGCCGAGGTGATTAGGATGGTGCGTTTTCAGGAATGAACTCTAGACTGAATTTCGAGTTTTAGGTGATCAGCCTCTACCATGGCCCGGAAGACAGCTCGGGTTCGATGACTACTGGTGGAACGGAAAGTATCGTTTTGGCTTGTTTCGCCTACCGGTAATTTTTGCTTAAATTTAAATATTTTCGTTCAGGAACCGCGCCTACGCTCTTGGTAATGATGACCCAGTCATCCTATGTCCGATAACTGCTCATGCTGCATTTGACAAGGTTTTGTTGCGTTGCACTAATTAATATTTCTATTTCAGGCTGCCAACCTTTGCGGAATGCGCATCCAGCACGTGCCCGTCGATGAGAATCAGCGTGTCGATGTGAAGGCTATGGAGCGGTTGATTAGCCGTCATACGTGCATGCTCGTCGGCTCGGCCCCCAATTTCCCATCCGGCACCGTGGATCCGATTCCCGAAATTGCCAAGGTTTGTGTCGACACGCGGAAATTACGATTTTAGGAGTTCGAGAAGCTCAGATCCCGTAACGTCCTAATTTCAGCTCGGCGTCAAGTACGGTATCCCGGTGCACGTTGATGCCTGCCTCGGCGGATTCCTCGTTCCATTCATGAAAGAGGCCGGCTTCCCGTTGCCCGTCTTCGATTTTGGAAACCCGGGCGTAACGAGCATCTCCTGTGACACTCATAAGGTTTTCGGTTTTTTAATGTCCTCAATTTTCCTTAGTATGGCTGCACGCCCAAGGGCTCGTCGATCGTGATGTACCGTAGCCACGAATTGCACCACTACCAATATTTCTCGATCCCGGAATGGGCGGGCGGCATCTACGCGACGCCGACCATTTGTGGTTAGTTATTCTCTAAAGGAGATTTGCTTATTTTGATTTGGCGGAAATTCATTTTGTCGAAATTTCAATCCCTTTTTCGCCTCGATTTTTCATCGCAAACATTTCAGCGCAATGAAGTTTGTCAAAATGATTTTCGACATATTGATAGAACAATCAGGGAGATTTATTTTCTTGCAGGAAGCCGCGCTGGGGCGAATGCTGCTGTTGCCTGGGCCACGCTGCTGTCGTTTGGCCGACAGAATTATATAACCCGCTGCAGAAAGATTGTTGAAAGTGCGAAACGGTTGGCTGACGGAATCCGTCTGATCCCTGGACTCGAGGTATGGATTTATTAATTGGTAAAGGCCGCTTTTTACAGCTTCACGGATCTCCCGACGTCTCCGTCGTTGCTTTCAAATCGACGGTCTTCAACGTATACGCCGTCGCCGATCGGATGACGAAGAAAGGCTATTCCCTCAACGCTCTGCAAAACCCCGATTCGTAAGCATCCCTTTCATCGTTCGTATTGTTGACTTTATAGTGTGCACATTTGCACGACGTTCAACCATGCGGACAGCGGGAAGATTGACGCCATTTTGGGGGATTTGCGGGCTGTCTGCCAGGAGGTGAACAGCCTCCCCGACAAGGGCAACGGAAGCGCTACGGTAAATGTTTTAACGGGTTCGGCAATGATGGCTATGTGAGCGCAATCTCTAAAACGTTCAACCTTTTCACCCTCGTGATTTTGCTAATTTTTCGTTTCAGGCGGCTCTCTACGGTCTGGCTGCCGGCATCCCGGACAAGACGCTGGTCGACGAGATGACGGCCGCCTACATGGATGCGTGCTACGCGGCTCCACCGAAGCACTAGTGTGTGTAAATAGGCGTGTGTTCTTCCATTTTGTGATTTGTGATCGTTGACTGTGTGTTCCAATGCTGTGATTTTATGCCGAGGATAAAGGTTGGCACTTGAGTAGCTGGGAAAAGACCCCGGATCTCGTTCGAAGAAACTACCGTAACTGAATTATAAAGCCTTTTTTTCGCTACTTCGACGTTTCGTATTTTGGGTTTTTGAATTTTAAATATATTTTGACTAAAAGAAACCCGGGGATATATATACGAGCATTGCTCTTTTTTCAATAAGCCCTCGGGCAGGGGTTATCCTAGAGGAAAAAAATACGCTATTTTATGCGTTTCGATAAATTTTTAGGTATTGATCGATGTCGCCCATCCCCCAAATGGTCTTCGCTGCTCTCCCCATCGAAATCCGCGGTTTTCAGAATCCATCGACCAGCTGGCAGGCCTACCAGGGGTTTTGTACGAGTGGAAGAGTGGCTGGTGGTGGTGGGGGGCTGTGGCTCTGGACTGGGGGAACGGGTCACCCGCGACTCGAAGAACGCAGCCGGATGAGAGGGAGCAGACCGACATACAGACACGAAGGGGGGCCTCCACCTCGCGTCGCCTCCCCTATTGATGCGAGGCGCTCCAGGGGCTACCCACCACACATATTTCACCCATTTCCTCAACGTATTTCGCCCTGAATTCGCCCAATTTTTCGCTATAACGCTTTGTTGCAGGCATGCGGGTCCGGGACACCGGGCGGACGGGCCGTTCGACGCGCGCCACCGCCGAAAAGGTTCGTGCTTTTTGAATGCGCCCCTTGCCGGGGGTGGGCCCCCGGGTTCGGCACCCAGCCGAAAATCGTCCCCAAGTGTACGAGTAGCTCGAAGAAAACTGAGGAGATCCGTTGGGAGAATAGATTGAGCTATTTGGGATGATATTCGGCGAAAGTTTAGACTTGAAAGGGTCGGTAGAACAAAATATACAATTTGGGAAAAGTCAGTCTTTCAAAATATGGGGACTAATTCCGCTATTGTTAGTAAAACCTTTTTATTACCCCACGATTTCGCATCACATTTCTTTAGTGAAAACTCGAAAGTCACGTGCTAACTTTTTGGACTTATTGGTCTCGTGTTATTTTTCTCAAATGTTTCATTTCAAAGGCAATTTTGAGGGATTCTGTAAAACTGATCCTGTAAGCGTTTTATTGGCGGTGTAGCGCCGCCAGGACTCTACCAAACCCGATATTGTGGAAACCAGGCATTCATGAATTTAGGTGGCAAAGAAAGGTCGGGATGATGAGCGCAAGTCGAAGAGCAATAAACGCCAGGCGCCGCGCCGAGCCCGATGTGAGTATTTTCAGAATTTTTCTTGACAGAGCATTAATTAGTGGAAAGTTCATCGGAAGATGAGGAGCCCTCAAGTTCCGCGCCTCAGCCCACCGAATATTTTACGTTTCTGACGAGGGTAAGTTATCGATGCTCTTTGTCATATAAATGATGTTTTTAGGAAAAATGTCCGACGCTGAACAACTTTCTCTCGGCCTACGAGAAACATCAAAAGAGCGAGCTGGAGGGCGATTTATTGGTAAGGCTCTGTGGATGGGGCTCGAGAACCTGAACTTTTAGGCTGCCATCCAGCACGAGCTCGAGGCAATGGCTTCTCACGCCGCCGACTTCTCGCGGCATATCCAATTGGAGACCGCTTTTATGCAGCGCGGCGTCTACCCACTGTCCGACACCTCACAAAGGCCCCTGCCCCAATTTCAGTACAAGAGCACTTCGTTGGAATACTCGGATGATGAAGTTGATTTGTGAGTTGTAGGATTTGGCTTAATTTTGGTTTTCCTACATTCTTTTTTACTAAAAAAGCTTATTTTTTGTTTTCTCGACATCAAAATTTTTGCGTTATTTGGGAAACGCTTCTTCAAGCTTCTTGCCACCTCGGTGGCTGCGGTAGGATTGTCAGAGCTGCCTGATTTTAAGCAAGAAGAATTTTGGAACAAGTGGACGAAATTCGTGGAATTTTTCGAGCACCCATAAAATTAAATTGCCTTCTCAAAAACCAACAATAAAATTGGGTCCTTCAGGTTTGCCGCCGCCCCGGAAGTGCCAAAGGAGCCGGAAGATCAGCTCGACAATTGGCCGCCAGAACATGTGGCTAAGCGGTAACAAAATCTATCCTGGAAAATCAATAATTTACTTAGGTTCTGGACGTGGTGCAAGCATGATTTTCTCAAGCCGATTGATGACAAATTTCTAAAGGCGTTCCGGCAAAGCTTTATGGATCCTTACTCTGAGGAAACCTGCTCGCAATTATTGGTGAATGGTAGGTTTCGACAAATTTTTCTAATTTTTGCTTTGCAGAGCCCTGGAAACACCGAGTGAAGGCGAAAAAGGAGACGCCGAAAGCGAAGAAGCATGCAAAGTGTAATTATTGATAAATTGAGGCATTTTGGACGTTTTAGTGGCCCGTCGGAGATCATCAACTAACGGTCATAGGGACGTCAAGAAGGAAGAGAGTGAGGATGAAAGGATTTCGCCCCTCAGAGGGTATGAAAACCCTTCTGGAACATTCAATATTTTTAGGCATCAAAATCCGGAAACGAGTCTACAACTCGTCACAAATATTCTTAAAGCATACGCCGATGAATACAGTAAGTAAAATAGAAAAAAGCTATATAAATTCTAAATATTATCACAATTTTTATTACTTTGTTTTAGAAGTCAATGGTGATTACGATGAGGGGCGACTGAAGCTTCATCTTTCAAGTCTCAAGCGCGAAGCCAACGGCAACGGACTGCACCCGGATATGGAAGAGGATAGCGATTTCGAGCCTCTGATCGAAAAGGTACGTTTGACGCCGCGTTTTGCGACTCTGTTTGCGAATCCAATTAAAATGGGTTTTAGAGCAACGGGGTTCACGCAAACGGGCACAACGGGACAAACGGCTTCTCGAATGGCGGTCTGGATTCGAGTGAGAGCGAGGGGGAGAACGATGAGGTCGGTTATTTCTAGTTTATTCTATGATTTATTCTATTTAAAAATCGTTAAGGTACTTCTTATTATTTATTGGCTTTAGATTCCGCTTTTTCAGCCGGCCTGCTCCCCAAAATGGACAAACGGCCACGCGATACCGGTTACCAAGAATGACATTTCAAACGGCGGCTCCATCAGGTGGGAATATGACGTTTATATAATTTTTTTTCCTTGCAGAAAACGCCGGGAAACCGTTGAAGATTGTGTCGAGGAAATGGAACGCGACACGCTGAAAGAAGCCGGCCGATCGATCATCAAGCATTTGACTCAACTGGGTAAGGATTGGCTCGATTTTAGGAGTTTTTTGTAGGATTTTTCTGTAAATTTCTGTTGTATCACTAAACATTTTTTGTAGGAATCACACAAGAAGATGCTCCCGAAATTTTCGACCTGAGTATACGTTGTGAGGGGCTGCCGACAAGCGAACCTGGGCCCAGCGTTAGTCAAAAAGGCCGTAAAGATGATGAACCGATGGTTTGTTGCGATCTCTGGGCCCTGATCTATTTTTACAGGATGAGATCTCGATCCGGTTGATGTTGGCTCAAAAGGAGATGCTTGAAGCTGTCATGGATGTTGGTTTCTAGTGGAAAAGAGTTATATTTGTTTAGTACCGCAAAGCGGCCAATAACGTCCACGGAATTCTGGAGAGCGAATATGTGTATCGTGAATTGAAGAGTGATCTCGACAAAGCCGACGATGAGGTTTGGTTTTTTAGCTTTTTTTAATCGTTCGAATAATTTAGTTGATACGCCTGGGATCGTTGTGCTTCCGGGAACCACCATTGCCCCGCCGGGTGGCAAATCAGACCGATATGGCCGTGCTGACCCACGCCAAGCAGGCTAGGTGCGTTTTTGGGCTCGATGATCATGCGGAATTATTGATTTCCCGCGTTTAATTTTATTTAAAAGAACTGAAAATTATTTTAAAAAGAAATTTTAGAAATCGAGCCGCGTCGCTACTTTATGGGCCCCAACATCGCGAAGTGAAATGGCACCATATTGATAGATTAAAATCGAAACACCGTAATCTGCGGGATACTCACCCGGAGTCTTCACGACCAAAGTCAAGCTTGGCTCGAGTGCCGGAAGGAGACCCGTACGAGATCACCGACGGGGATTATTCACCGCAAAGCACAAAGGTACCAAAGATTCTGATAAATAAATTGATTTCTAGGACACCGATGACTCCTTCATCGCCGACGCACCGAAAGTGATTGCTAAGCGAGGTATAAAACTCGTAGTCGGAGAAATTTACCACAATTTAGCCCCGAAGACCATCATCGAATCTGACTCGGAGCCGGATGAGAAAATGGAAGTCGACGAAGAGGAAGAAGAAATTGAAGACACTCCCAGAATAAGCCGAAGAGCCTCTAGGCATCAAAAGGTGCGTGTTTCGCTTCATTGTCTAAATTGGCTCTTTCAGTCAATATCGCCAAAGCGCTCCACGCCACGCCTGAAGCTGCGCGTGAAAACGGTGGGGTTTTAGTAGTTAGTTTTGATGTTGTGTGGTCGCTTTTCAGGCTCCAGTAATCCCATACTCTGATGAGGATTAGAGCTCGGGAAACGGTCGTTTTTGTAAGTGTGTGTGCCCACCAGGATTTATAATTTTCGGGTTGCGGCCGGTGGATTAACCCTGAGTGGCGTCTAACACTAAATTCCGGGTTCTGGGCTGGTAGCGGGGGGGAGGTTCAAAGCCTCGACTTGGCGCGGCGATGATCTTCTGATTACATCGGTACCATTTTTTTTTGCTTTTTACGCCTTTATTATAGTGAGTTCCTCAAAAATATCAATTTTTTCAAGTTTTTCAATTTTTTGAAGTTTCTAAAAATGTTTCAATCTTCGAAAAATGTTAAAAACTCTGTAAACTACATTACAAAACTAAGAATTCATTGGTGGGAGAACAGGCTAGATACCCCCCCACTAACAGCCCAGTACCGAATTCCGACTTCTGCCTATCTGGCCTATTGACCTGAAGAGACATTGTTGAATTTCTTGTTTACCGATGGGCGACGGTGTAAAATATTGACGCCCAGGCGCTTCACGGTGTCCCATAAAAGTCCTGATAAGGGTGGCGGCTTTAGGTGAATGCCATTTGCAAGACCACCTTCTTACTTTAAATCGGCCTACCCGGGCGATACGGTTGAACTAACCTGGTTCCCACCACGTTCACCACCCCCTTTAAAACATCTGCACCACCTACACGCCGCCCTTCAAAAGCTATATCAATAATTTTCAGGGCCGTCGCTAAGAAACTCGACGTCGGGTTGTCCCGCCGAAGCGCCGGGCCTCTCCATTGTTCCTTTAATTTTTTTGTTGCCATTCGCCACCCTTTTAGCCCTGAAAATCCCGCGTCTCTTTCTTGACATTAAACTAGACGGTTTTCCCCATGAAACTTGTCAATACTCTCTATTAGGTTGCTCATTGTTCCCAATTCTGACCCAAATCTGTGAGATTTACTTCAGTGCAAGCCTCCGAACTCCACACCCCCATTCACTTCAACGTATACCTCTAAGAAATAACCTCTCTCTACCCTTTGACAAACAAACAAACAAATATTGGTGCTTTCGGTAATTTTTAAATTTTTAAATGGACGGGCGTTTCGACAAAATTTTAAAAAGTTTCGTTTTGATCGAATAAATCCCCCGTCCATTTAAAGCATGTCTATTTTTTTATTCATCTCCACCACTCTGGGCTTTATTCTAAACTACTTTTCTTGTCCACCCCGTTTTTTTCATGTACGGTAGCTTCTACGCGTCTTTTCCGATTACCGCGTCAATTTCAACCGGGAACCCTCTTATTTTGTATGCAGCCACCGACCCTCCATGTATTGGTAGTTCCGCCCCCATTTTCTGTACAAATTGGGTTTGATGTATTTTGTATTTTGCGCCTATTTTTCTATTGTTTGTGAATGAATTGAGCTTTTCCCTAATTCTTCCAATGACTTGTCCGGATAATAAATTGTCATCATCTTTTTCGACACGTTTTTACGCGCAAGGGGGTTGCACGCAAAAGCTATCTGTATTATAATGCTACTTTAATTTTTACGTTATTTATTTAATTTTACCCGCATACGATCGATTTAGCCAGTCAGAATGGGCGGTGAAGTGCGAATAGCTTGGCTTATCCTCGGCTGCTTGCTCTTGGTCCGGGCAGGTGAGTAGCTGATTTTTCGATTGTACGGTTGCTAAAGCAACAGGGTATGCAAAAAATCCAATACCAAAAAACGGCAAAGAATCGGCGGTTTCCAGAAACTCCTCCTCAATCCCCTCCGAATGTAGGCACAAAGCCAATCATCTACAAAAAGGGCATGGAGCTCCCGGAGACGTTGCCAAAGCCGGAACAAGACAAGGTTTGGCAGCTCTCTTCCCGGAAGTACCAAGTAATTTAGCCAAAATCTGATACGCCCGACTCGGCGCCGATCATCTACAAGAAGGAAGACACAGGTAGGTGGAAAAAACTTTTCACATCAAGCCAGCTGAATCCGACGAATCATGAATTATTTTTTAGCGAAGGTACAGCAGCCTCTAACCGCTACAGTCGCGCCAAAGCTTGATCCAAAGGTATGCTTTTTATCAAAACACGCCTATGGTTTTTAGGACACCGATAAGGGCCCAAAAATCGAGCCGAAGGTCGAGATCGTCAAAACGGAGCCGGTAAGCCAACGAAAAATAAATAAGAAAGTATTTAGACAACGCACGCTGCTGAAACAACTGCCGCACCAAAAAAGGAGAGCAAAAAACAAGAAGAGGATGTGAGTCAAAAATTATTGCTTTATAGCAATTATTTAGTACCTCTCCGACGATCAGAAACCGGATGTTGAGGAGGGGAAAGATGATAAGGAGGAGGAACAGGTTAGGAGGGAGGCTTACTTAAAAACTAGAGAAATTTAGCAACTCGAGCCCATTCAAGTGATTGACGAGGAGTCAAATGAGGAATTGGCCAAGTCGACGAAAGAAAAAGTTAAAGAAATCAAGGTGAGGGAATGCTCGCTTGAATCAAGGCTTTTCTTGGGTTTTTAGAAAGCCCAGCGGCTCAATTATGAGCCGGAGAGCCAGGACGGCCATTTTATGGGCTGGATGATCTTCTTGCTGTTGCTTGTCGTCATCGGATACGTGGTGATGCACAACAAGCGGAAGTTGCTCGGTGAGTTTGAGTTTTTGGATCTTTATATGGTAAACGCGAATTAGTGGTTCTTTTGCATTATCGAGGGGGACCGCTTTTTCCTATAGCTCTGTGCCTAGTAATTTTCAGGTATTTTAATAGTGTTATTAGAAAAATTAAAGTCAATTAAATCAAGTAAAGAAACAGAAACAATAAAAAACTAATAAAAAGTTTTTCGTCGAAATTTGACCATTTTACGTCGAAAAACCTATATTTTTAACAAACAAAATTTGTGGTAGATGGAAAGTGTTTTTCTATATTTTTTGGTATTATAATTCTCTATATTTTAGTTTATATTTTTCCAGGCCTCAAGTTTGAGGGTCGCTCAACTCGTCGGGGTTCTCACGCTGCGGCGGCGCCAGATACCGCCGGCTCAGCCAGCAGGAGCCAGAAAGTGTAATCTACTAAAAATATACAGTTTATGAAACTCCCAGTGTATTTCCCCCGAATACGTGTCATCTACCACCGAATTTTACTCTCTACAGGGTGGGCAAAAAAAGATCCGGAGTTTGGGTCAAAATATCTCGCGAACGATAGAGAATCGAAGGTACGTTACCATGCCAGAATGCTTAAATATGCTGGGTAAGGAAGATTTAACACAACTTGATTTTTTCGATTTTTGAGTACGCAACTGTACTATTGACGCTGGGTACGACCGAAAATTGTGCGTTCTAGAACGGGTGGTGGGAAAATTCCGATTTTTGGCCCAAAAATAGTATAAATTTGTAGAAAGGTAATAGCAAAGTCTTAGAATTTTTCGAGGTCTGTTTCATTTTTTACAAACAAAACAATTTTCGCGATTTTGCGTTATTTTCTTCTTTAAGTGATAACTCGCTTCTAACTCACTGCCCATGGCTGCTTTTTTTCCAATGAATTATCTAAATAATAATCTAGGATCCCACACCAGAGCCCACCATAATCTATGGTATTTTTGTATTGCTTGCTAAAACGTGCCCCAGCGGGGTACTGTAGGTTTCGTTTTTCCCGCTTTTCTCGGCTCCCCTAGCTTCGATCCGCCTGAAATTTTCAGGGTGGTTAGGCAATCGGTTGTGGCACCTTGCTGCCGAATACGAGAACGTACTATCCACAAACGTTCAGGAAAAAGACCAAAAACTGATTTTCTAGTTCTGCCACAGAATTTTGTAAATTTTTTGATCAGTTGTACCAAAAACTGTTATTATTGCATTTACCGAAAGATCGAAGCGATTCTATGGCAAAAACACCACGAAAATCGCGAATTTCGGTTTTCTACCGTAACCCCGGTGGAGCGCGTTTTAGCATGCCATCGCAAATTTCCATAAATTGACGATTTTTCAATTCGAGGACCTTTTAGAGGTGATTGTAAGATAGCCTGTAAAAAATTACTGATTTTGGGTGGGAAATAACAAAAGTTAGGGGGTCAAGTGCAAAACAAGGCCAGGGAGCCGATGTTGGGTCCGAGTATCCGAGTCAATTTTCGAATTTTTATAAATAAAAAAACCAGCTGGGCCTTATGGATACGATTATAGCTTTGATGTTATTATTTGCGCCTGTCAAATTCCGGAGCAATCTGATTCAAAATTATGGTGACTTTCAGCTCAAAATCGAAAATCACCCTTTTCCAAAATCGAAGTTTAAAATTCGTCTTAAAATTTTTTCGGCGCGAAATTGTTTTAATATTTGCATAGTTTTATTCAACTGATAGCACAAAATTAATGCTGAAAATATGCTGGCGACTCCACCTTCCAAAAATTTTTTACGCCCCCTCGAATTCGGTTTATTTCGGGTTTTGATGAATTTTCTTGTCGCCAACGGCTGGTCAAATAAATTCATGAATAACGCTTTAGGATGCGCTATTCAAATAATATCAGCTAAAATTAAAATGACAATTTTCATAACGCTGTTAAAATCTATAAAATGGTAGCAAGGTTTGGAAAAAAGCACGAACCAACCGTTTTGGACGCCCTAAAAGACGCCCCTCCAAAGGGGTACGGTAGCTCGAAATTTTGCAGATGATTGATAAACCCCAGTCCTACATAGCTAAGCAAAAAAAAAATAGCTGAGACCCCTTTGGCAATTTAGAAATATTTTTCCAAAGTCCGGTTTCGAGACCTCGAAAAATCCATGACCCGGGGGTCGTTGAAAAACTCGAAAATTCATCGATCTCCGAAAATTTTAAGCGTGTTTATGCGGCTGGATAGGGTCCGTAGTTATTCTACAACAACTTATTCTGATGTTTTGGCCATAGGTTTTTGTAATTTTCGAAATTTACGAAATTTCCCCATACAAAATTTCATTCCTCTGTAACTTGTCAACCAGACCCTAAAAAATTCTTAAATTTTGTAGGTGCATATCTGCTACCTACGTTAACTTAAAAAAAAGAAAAATTAGAACCCAGCCACCACAGGAAACTGAGAAAAATGCAAATGAAATTTCCCCGAACGCACATTTTCCGGGTGTCATTTGTATTGATACGTCGCCAAAAATCGAAAAATCAAGTTGTGTTAAATCTTCATACCCAGCATATTTAAGCATTCTGGCATGGTAACGTACCTTCGATTCCTCTACCGTTCGCGAGATATTTTGACCCAAACTCGGATCTTTTTTTCGCCCACCCTGTAAATAAGCCAGCTACCTAACCCTTTCATTTCCGCCCCACCTAGCCGGTTAGATCATATTGAAGCCAACTGATGCCACCCTTTTTTGATGAATTTTCTACTCCCTTGCCTCTCTCAGCGATTGTGTTATCCACCACCCCGAAATGTGCCTTCACTTCCAGCAATGTAATTCCCTGCAATCGTCGCTCCATTTTTTGGGCATACCCGGGTCTTTTCGCGTTATTGGTTACTCGCGTTTCTTTAGAAGAGATAAAGCTTTAATTTTTGGGAGACGACAAATTCACGTGAGAAAGAGACAACAACAGTGCATAAGGCGAAAGCCACGAGCCCAATTCTCGGACTAAAATTTAGCGAAAGGCGTGGGATGGTCGCACAGTAACTAGTCGCGAAAACGTGCAAAATCATAGGACGAAAAACCGGCAGGCTTTTGCCGAAAGGATCCGAGACGGAGAGACGGTATGTTATAGCGGATATAAATATGCAAGCTTTTCGGTAACAATTTTCGAACATTTTGGGCTTTTTGGTCAAAATGTTTGAAAAATACCCAAAACGGTCAAAATGTTGGAATTTTCAAAATTCAATGAAAAATTATTAAACACACTATATATGCAACAGAACGTCTAGACCGCCTCCAGAAGTGCACAATTTTTCGAGAAGAAATTACAGGAACTAGGAAACTTTCGCGACTGCTACACTTTGAGGGCTTTTGACGCTTTTTGGCAAAAGGGCACTTTTTTGGCACACTTTTTGGCGGCCGTTCGGCTTTCGGCCATTTCTTTAGCTGTATGTCAGCCCTTTCCATTTTTTCACTCGTACTTCTGCATTTCTACTTTCTGCTCTGATGAGTTGCAATCAACCGCCTACCGTGTGAACTACGCGCCTCGCTCTCACCACAATTATCTGGTTGCACCCGAAACGGACTAGCGAAATAGTACTTGATTTTCACGCGCTAATTTTTGTTTGCGGGCAGGTCATTCTTGGGGCAAAGGAAGTGAGTGATCGATTCCAGAAGTGGTCGTTGAAATTGCGAGCCCATTTCGATGACGAGAATTCTCGGTAGACCGGAAAAATGTGGCATGTGCATCAATGCACCTCTAGTTTAGAATTTTTTTGTAATAATAAGCGTGTTGTTGCCCGACTCATCGCCGCGGAAAACTTTTTTGCACTTGGCGTTAGGCCTGTCTGGCGTTGCTTTTGACGAGAATATGCATATTTTTCGCCTTCCCATTTCGGAGTCTGCTGTTGTTGTTAATTTTTGTGTAAATTTAGCTAAAGAAAACGCTGATTTGCGGAAAATGCGCCGAGCTGACAGCGTCAAGATGTGCGGCGTACCACGTCGTTCTCGATTAGTTCTTATTTTGACCATGTTTGGTCATTTTTCCAAGAAGTCAAAAATCTTCGAAAATTTTTATAAGTTTTTTTCTGAATTTTTATATATAAAGGGGTGTAAAATGCCACAAAAATCGGTTATACCTTGTTATAGGGACGTCCGGGATTGCTTGGACCCCTCCCCCCGCTAAGGAACTAGCACCCATTAGTTTCCTGATCATTGGACAGTTTTTGTGACGCATCAGTAGACTACATTTCTTTACGCGGCCACCGCGTCCGATTATTCCACGGCCACGCACTTCTAAAGACTTCTAAAGCGAGAATTTTCAAAAGGCAATTCTCCTCAAAATCTGCGGCGAACCCCGGCGAACAATCCGCCGTTTGTACAGCCTGTTTTGCTGGTTGTTGAACCGGATAACGGGCTATTCAAATGGTGGCATGGAATTTCAGATATCGCGAACTCGGAGCTGTCGCACGCGGATTAGGGCGTTCTTTAAAGGGGGTAGGCGACCAAGATGGGTGGCCAGACAGCCGGCTTCCGGAAGTCCCAGCCAGCAATGGCCAACACGACGGCATACTGTAGCCGCGAGGATCCGACGGCGTTTTAGTGAGTTTATTTTTTAAGCTGCAGAATTGGCCTGTTCTCTGGGTTAGAAGGGGAAAAAGCAACTAGCGCATCGGGTTAACGCGTGCAATGGAGCTTTTCGTAGTGCAACCGGAAAACTAGTTTCTGCAATCGAAATTTTGATTTTTCCTTTTTTTCGGGTAAAATTGGAGTAAAACTAAAAAACTAAAGCATCCGCTTTTTGGCATATTCTTGCCCTTTAGGCCTGTTTTCACACTTTACAACGAAAAAGCGCAATTAGGCTTGCAAAACGGTGGGCTTTCCTGCGCCAAACAGGAAGTTTTCGCGCGCCTATAACCTTTTCTGATAGTCCTGTGCTTTGGTTTGCAAAATATAAGGATTTATCGGGAATGAACAAAATCGGCCCCTAAGGAATCGTTGTTTTTCGCGGTCGATAAAATTACTGCGTCAATACTGATCAACAATGATATTAACTTCGACGGGGGCATTAGGCAGGTTTAGGTGGCAGACCGGCACCGCGAAACAAAGGCGAATTCAGAATTTAGGAGAGTCGGAAACGTATCACATGTTAGAGTTTCGCGATAAGTCGGGGCTAAGCAAGCTAAAAATTGGGAAACTCATAACTCCCGATTTACAGCATGATCCACGACTACCAGGGGTTGCCGGTCTCATCATTTTGTGGTATAATTCTGCTGTGAATCGAAAGTTTAGAAAAATTAGCTAAATCGATATCAATTTGTTGAGTATCGAAAGTATGTTTAGGTCGGTTTCGGTGGGGACACGGCCAATTACACAGTCGTGTTCCTGATTGATAAGGTTTTGCAGCTCTGTTACGGTAACTCGGTGCGATTTAGGTCCTCGTTTCTCCGGTAAAACGCGTTCGGCCGTCTGACGCTGAATCGAGCTAATTGAGAGGCCGTCTATCTCACCGTCTTCACGTTCTACTTTGCGCCAACCGTGTTTTTGTAAGTATTTTGTTTTTTATTTTTATTACGTTTTATTTAGTGATATAAAGCTGTTGAAATCGCCGGAAATTCTCGCGGATATTTGGGCATAAAACTTGATCTGCTAAGATATATGTATCTACAGGTTCGTCAACGATCATTTTTGTCTTTTGAAATTTCTTCAACTAAAGAACAAAGGTTTCTAAACAATTTCAGCCATCTCGTGATCTCTATCAACCGTCTGACGGCCATCCACTTCCCCTTCCAAGACAACATTGTCTTCAGCGACGAAACGTCCGGATTACGGTCATTGTCATCTGGATAGGCCGTTTTGCCCACATTCTATCTGTGGATCATTGCGAAGTCGAGGGTAGCTTACTTTGGTTTTGGCCTCGCTTAAAAACCAGTGCAAATCATTATAGAGGATTCGCCTGCTTCATCTATTCCGACGACTTTTGGAACTTTACGTTCACCAATCTACCGGCTTGCGCGTTCATTACCTGGTTTTTCGGGCTGTAAACCTTACATACCCTCAATAGGTAGCCAACCGATTTCTTGAAGTACGTCTCCACTGTCGCGCTGATCGCCTTTTTTGATATTATCACGTTTGCTAAAGGCGCTTCTCACGAGCAAGGTGGGTAAAAAGGCAAATGAATTCACAAGCAGACCACGCTGCAACAAAAGAGTTTTAGGGTCTCGATAAATGACGCAGCGGCGCGGAAGAAACGCCAAGGATGAGATCAATTTCGTTAAACAGGTAATTTTAATGCGCTTTGATAATTCAATGAAACGGAGGGCATAGTTTTTGTATATTTTAACGCTTTCCCTGTCCTTTCCCGTTATCGGGGGAGGGGGCAGAAATTGGTTAATGGTATATTTTTGAGGAGAAAATCAATCTAAAAACTAAGCGAAAAAAATTTATAAAGTCGAAATTTGGCATATAAAAAGTAAACAATTGGTCGAGAAATCTATATTTTTTGTATTTTTAATAGAAATTTCGCGAGTTTTTACGTCTAGAATAACAAAAAAAAGTTTAAAAACTCTTCAGGTATTTATATTTCAAAAAATGAACGGAGAAAACCTATTTTTTCGTTTTAGGTGTGCCTGCAGGGCGTGGTGTTCGTGCTGGAGTTGAACACGTACTTTATCATCGTCAACTACGTGGAGGGGAAGTGGAATGGCCCTTCCTGACGACGTTCGCTTGGGGAGATGCAGTGTGCACAGCTGTGACGGGTAAGATGGTAAAAGATGGAGCTTCTGTAGCTGCTCGGGTTTTAGGTAGCATCATGCTGCTGTTCAACAAGGGCTTCTTCCGGTCAGTCCGCTCCTGAATTCAGACTTATGGATCGACAGACACCCAGTAACCGGTGAGACAACGAAAAGCACAGCACACAACATTGAGGAAAATAAAGCGAAAATCAAGAATCAAAAGGCAAGCACATAAAAATCGTAAGTTTATTCAAGGAAGGAGAGTGAATGAAAGTTCCTTTTCGACTACGATAAGTAATTTACATTTTCCTTCACACGCATCGAGTAGCTGGTTGTCGCCAAAAAGTAGAGGGGGAGGGGGGCAGATCACTTGTCTAAGTCGATGCCGATCGCCTGCGAGAGGGTAAAGGCCTCGGCGGCCAAGCGGTTAAGCCACGACGGCAGAATTTCTCGAGGGTCTGGCGAATCTGGAGACGGTTTCTGCTTGTTGCCTTAGTTCGGAAGGGGGGGGGTGAAAGATTTTCGGTACTGGGCTGATAGCGGGGGCAGCGTAAACTTTTCCAGTAAAAGCGTGCGGCTCTATAACGAAAAACAACCAGTTTTATGGATATTTACACAGCTTTCAGACCTAAAAACCCCAAACAATGAGTAAAATTTTTGACTTTTGCTCAAAACTATGAAAATTACCAATTTTTCGAATTTTCCAAAATTCGTTAAATCCTTTACAACGTTCTGCAATCAAAAACCACTAAAAATACAAACGGAAACAGGTAAAAAAGGAATTTGGTCCCCTGTTACCCTCCGGTAACAAAGTCCAGTTCCGCTGGACCTTCACCGCGATATTAAAATATGATTTTCCACCCACCTCACCCATCGTCGATCGCCCTCCGGCTTTTCGGGGAAGCACTTCTTGCGCATCACGTCGCGGGCGATGATCGGCATCATGTCGGCGCGGGCGGTGGTTCCCTCTCGTACCTGGAAATGGGGCCTCAAGACGGGCTCAAGGCACTCACGTAACATTAACTTCTTGCACGGTCATGCCCGGGTAGGGGATGGCCCTGTTCTGAACAACACCCACATCAGCACCCCCAAACGAGTAGACGTCCGTCTTCGTCGTAGTGGTGCGCTCCTGTGAATTATTTTGTGGTATGATATGATTTGAGAGCCTTCAAAATATGAAAACAAAAATTGTTCATCGTCTACCCTGAGCGTTTCCGGGGCCAGCCACCGGATCGGCAGCCGCTGGTGCAGATCTTTTAGCTTGTAGCGCGCCTGGCGGCGCTCATCTAGCGGCGACAGGCCAAATTCGAGATTTTGACGCGCCCGCCGGAGATACCGAGGGCAGTTTCTGGAAAGTGTGAATTGTGGCTCTTTCTCAATACCGGGTGGGGGACAAATTTTTTCTATAAGTCCAGCAATTCTAGTAACGCTAAAGTAAATATTTTCATAATGTTTCATAAAATTAGCGATTTTCCAAGTGGAAAAACAGTAAAAAAAGTCGACATTTTTTGGTTGGAATTCGGATCCAAAAACTGCATATGTTTGTATGTTTTAACGAAAATTTGTGAAAGTTTCGCAAAAAAAAACAATTTAGAAACACTACCGCTATATTAGCTAAATCTATGTCTAAAAAAGGTTTCCCGGGGATAATGCGAAAGAAATGCAAAATTTGGGCGAAATGTCGAACGGAGCAAGAGACATCCCGGTGAATGCAGCCTGTTCGTGCAGGTACTCCAGTCCGCCGGCAGTCGAAGCAGCATGTAGAGCTAGAAGAAAAGTAAACCCACCAAAATTTCGGTAAACCTTTGTCTTGGAGGAAAATATCAGTGCCGTTCTTGGTCAGGTACGAATCGAGAGTACCACCATCCACCAGCTCCATCACCAGCATGATCGGTTCTAACAAAAACGCTACAAAACCCCCGCATAACCGTTACCGTGGCAATGGCCACCCCGAAAAACTTCTGGACAATGTTCTTGTGCTCGTAGCGGCGCATGATCCGGGCCTCCTTGCATATCTCTTTGATCAGCTGAAAGGGTTGTTTGGGGATTTTTCAGATTCAGAGTTACATTCTTGGTCATCTGCTTGCCCTTGTGCAATCTTGACGACGATCGCTCGACCTGAAGGAATTTGTTGAAAATCAGCGTAACTACCGTTGTGTCACATCATTGCAAACCATCTCTCCCAAGTGTACACGCCACCGAACGCGCCCTGCCGGCAGTTTGCCGAGCCTTGATCTGGAAAGTGTGAAGGTACCTTTTCTTCTGTAAAAAATTCTTGATAAGAAAGCTAAATAGAAGTTTTATTTCAAAAAAGTAACTAAAATAGTCTAGTTAAACCCCCCACCCAGTCGAGGATTTTACTTGGCGCTTCTACATTTTATTTTAGCGACTTTACCCAATTGTGATGTATTCCTTACTCTACAGAACAGTACGAACATTTTGGTCTACCTTATACATCCTTAGCGACTAAAAGGAGCAGGATACAAAGTTCAGCTCGCTGTGCACGGCGACAAACTTGAAGTCTTATAACACCTACAGAATCATGCCGAAGCTCTCATTCTTGTCGCGGTACCGGATTCATCAGCAGGCAGAAAAACACTTTTCCTTCGGTCACCGGGATCTAAAAAGCCTTTAAACCAAATAACTCCCCAAACCTGGCGCGTCCGATGGAATCGGACCAGATCACCGACCGACGGGAAACGATGCTTCTCAACAGTGGGACCTCTTCTAAAAAGAGAGAAGTTAGAAAACCCAAAAACCCATACCCTTGTGCTTTATTAATGATAAAATGACGCGGGCTTCCAGTCCAGAACACGCTCAACACCGTCTTCACATCCCCTGACCTTGCGCTGGCTCGGTCTGGAAAAAAGAATTCCGGAAATGTGCGATAAGTGTACCTGGCGCAACAGAAATTGCCCTTGTCTTTCAGCAATGTGTTGATGCCTTCTCTAAAAGTAGTATCGGTTTTCCAGAGACAGCTGGACTAAGTAAATTGCAAAAATCTTTTGAGGACACATGGAGAATGCGTGCATTGGAGCGTCGCGTATGCGGGATTTGACTACGCTTTGCTACACCCTGTCGCGTTTGTTACAGCGATCACCGCATTTTCCACAATTCGTATGAATCCCCCCCCTAAAACGCAAAATGAAAAATAAGGAGTACCTGGCGAAGGCAGACCGTGGTACCAAATCTCGTGCTCAACCCTCCGGCATGCCGGAGAGACCCCCTTCCTGCTGGATGAGCCCTCGCTAGAAATAAAGGCAATGGCGTGAAGCGCTACCAGGAGCTTGTCGAACGCCACCGTGCCCGAGAACGCTGACTGATGGCTGTAGGAAATGGTTGCATCCTGGCAGAAGACCGGAAATAACGGGAAAGGTATGGAAATTTAGCTGTCGACACTTTTGATAGATTTAAATTAGCTTCCGGAAGGTATTTTGCAATTTTGAACCGATAAAAGCCAATAGAATAGCGGTAGCCAAAGAGCCAATATATCAGGTTGGTAGATAAGTCCTGTCACAATTTTTTGAAAGCGCCCTAGAAAGCCGCAGAAACATCGGATTTTCACTTTCGATACATGATTTGATAGATCTTGGGACGCGCTACTTGGGCAAACCCCGATTTGGTCCCCAAAGTGGCTCCCCGTCGAGTTACAGCTCCGGGAAGTTTTTGATAAAATCTTGAGAAAGCTATTTAGCGTGCTATCTCTGCATAGAGCCATTTGAATACAATACCATCAACGCCAATCGATAGCTCTCGAGGAGTAGATATCGATAGATCTTGAGATCATCAAAATTGGACACCGGATGGCCGAGATACGGGTCCTTGAAATTTGGTTGATTTCTTAGAACTTTTCTCGAAATCCCATACATTTAGACAAAACCTTCTCCGGGCGCTCAAAAACCAACTGGCAAGATTTGTCACAGATGCGTAAAATGTATGGGATTTCGGGAAAAGTTCTAAGAAATCAACCAAATTTCAAGGACCCGTATCTCGGCCATCCGGTGTCCAATTTTGACGATCTCAACATTTATCGATATCTACTCCTCGAGAGCTATCGATTGGTGTTGAAGGTATCGCATGCAAATTTCTCTATGCAGAGATAGCACGCTAAAAAGATTTTTCAAGATTTTATGAAAAACTTCTCGGTGCTGTAACTCGGCGCCCTGTAACTTTTCGGCCTTGTGCGGCAGCTCCCATTATAGAGCAACCCAAGGCCTATCAAATCAGGTATCAAACGTTAAAATCGGCCATGTCTGCGGCTATATAGAGAGATTTAAAAAATTTGTGACAGGACTTATCTACCAACCTGATAGCAAAATATTGCTCTTTTTTATCGTATATTTTCGATTTATCTATATTTATGATGTTTTTCGTAGTTTCTGATTTTTAGAAAGTTACAAAAATAGTTTGAAATTTTTGAAAAGTCGATAACTTCGGCTTTTTTGGCCACTTTCGTACATTTTGACAAGCGATCAAAAATTTTTGAAAGTTTATTGTGATCAAGCGCTTGGTAAGTTTTTTATTAACTTTTTAAACTATTTTTTTTATATAGTTAGATATGTAACAACCATGTCATATTCTATAAAAATGGTTTGTTTTTTATTTTTCCGTTTCTTGCCTCTCGATAATCCCACTTTTATTCAGCGCTTCCTCGACAACGAGCAAAATCTATTGTTTAGCGCCACTCCCATTATTATGTCAATTTTCAGGGGGAAATTCATTGGAAATGTTTGGGCAGCCGAGGGTGGGGTTGTCCGACAAAATAGAGAGTTGAGACAGGGAGGATGGCTGGGAACGATTTCCCAACTTGTTTGCCCCTTTTATTGGCCTTTTCAGAGTTTTCTCTTTCTCTCTCGACATCCGTGCGCAGCCACCACACGGAAAAGCCCCCTTTCGACGGCTTTGGGATATGATGTTTTGTTGTCACGCTTCTCGGGAAATCCATCTTTCTGCTTTTTTTGCTCGAGGATTGCTCACCATTCTTCCATATTTCAGCCTCTAAAATTCCTATTTTTACGATTATTTACAAAAAATCTACCCGAAAAATCAGCTTTGTTTCTATAAATTCATAAATGCTTAGTAATTGGTTTAATGCTGTTGTTAGCCAAATTTAGCTATATTATAAGCGGAAAAACAATAAAAAACTTTGAAAAAAATTTTTACGTTGAAATTTTAGGCGAAAAATCGGCCATTTTCGTCGAAAAAATCGAAATTTTTTTGTAGTTTTAATGGAAATTTCTAGCGTTTTAAGTCTATGACTAGTAAAAACAATTTAGAAACAGGTCCTCAATTTATATTACAAAAATTGGATCCTTAGCAAAAAAAATTTGTCCCCCGATAATGCCAAAGAACCTCAACGAGGATTTTCTCATGTAAAAAACCCTAAATGAGCGCTCAAATCCCCATTTTTTGGTGCGATTTTGACGATGAAGTGTAGAGCTATCAACAACTGCCAAAAAACGAGCACCAAATAGTTTATTTAGGGCGTCACCTGATCGGTCGGCCACTGATCGACCGTATAAATATACGCGGCGTTGAGCTAACTACATTTTCGGCAATGAACTTTGCGTCATTTGTTGCAAAATTAACGATTTTTGGGGAGCTCGACCTTGCAAGGTCTTTTCAACCCTAGTCCACACGCACTTTTCGGAAAACAAAACGCGATTTCGCGTGTTTTTCGGGGAATTCTCGGGTTCAAAAGGGCAGGTCTAGCTAACCCTTGCCCCTCGGCTCTTTGGTAATTTTCAGATATTTTTCAAAATATATTTAAATTTGAATATAAATTTTATGTAACTAGAAATTTTTACAATATGACCTAAAATTCTTATTGTTATCTTGTTATTCGTTATTAGCTGTTTCTTATAAGCCGTATAATCGTTTTAGAAAATGAAAAACTGCGTCTACCTTGCCGCCTGCTCCCTCGTGCTCCTCGTTTCCATCTCACTAGCCGCCGACCAGGAGTTCTGCCTGGCCTGCGAGCCGTTCGTCAACGACGTCGTCAAGTACAAGGACGAGAAGGCCGACAAGTTTGTTGACGTAAGTAAAATTGTTTCAACGATAAAAGTTAAAGCTTCGGGACTGTCCTATTAGCGGGGGGGGCGACTTTTTCTTAGAATCCAATTCTCAAATATCAATAGCTGAAGTGTTTCTAAACTTTTTTACTATTCTAAACGTAAAAACGTTACAAATTTTTGATGTTGAATTTTCAACCGAAATCTCTTTTTCAAATTTTTAAAGGTTTTTAGATAGTTTTCCTTGTTGACATATCGTTATCTGTCACTAAAAACACTAATAAAATACTTCTTATTCCTGAAAACCCCAGCAAAAAGGTGTAAATTCAGAAAACCCGTAAAGCGTGCGCGAAACGATTCGACATGGTCTACCCGACATTCTGCAAGACCCTGGTGACGGCTCAGATTGATGATATTCAGGTAAGATACAAAATACAAAGCATGGCGTTTAAATAAGCTACAAAAACTAATTCCAACCTTTCAGACGAAACTCCAGGGCGGCCAGCCGGTGAAGAAGATTTGCCAGAAGCTCAAGATGTGCTAGATTTCCACTGCCATTCCCCCATGACAATAAATTTTTCGGTCTTGATCTTCGACGTTCGCGCCGGAACACATCAGAGTTTGGAAATTTCGTGCCCTTTCATTGTTGAACGTTTTCGCCCCGCAATTGCCCATATCAAAAGCCGGAGGCGCTGCTGTTTTTGTGGGAAACCGACGAGGCGAAAATAAACAAAAGAATTGGCTGGCGGGCAGTGTGGCCCTTCGCTTCAATCTAAAAACAGTTCTTTTGGAAGAATGAAACTCTGGTTGCTGACGATATTGTGGTTATATTCTGGATACGGTAAGTGGGTTTTGTTAGTTGTTCGGTTTTTCAATGTGTAAAGGGACAGTTAGTTCTAGGCTGAAAAAGCAAAAATGCAAGGAGAGCTCACTGTAAAGTGTTTTACTCACTTCCCCCCCCCCCGGCGATTTTCCCCTAAGACCCTAGTTTTCCCAAGTGAAGGATATAGTTATAGTTTTCCCCCAAGAATTTTTAAATTCCCCAATTTCCCCCACTTCAACCAAAACCCCAATAAAACAAAAAAAAAAAAACCAAAAAAAAAATCGGAAACCAAAACCCCCCCCCGCCCCCCCCCCCCCTCCTCACCCCCCCCCCCCCCACCCCCCCCCCCCCCAACCAAAAATTAAAAAAACAATTGATTCACCAAACCAAAAAAACCCCCCCCCCCCCCCCCCCCCCCCCCCTTTTTAACAGGGGACAAGTGGGCAGTGTAGCGCCTAGTCCTTTGTTTCTTGCAAACGCGGCGCTCCATTGCACACTCCATTCCTTAATTTTCAATGTTTTGCTATTTCCCACTTGAATCAGAACCAATTTAGCGTTCAAATCCCCTCGACGTTGGGCCCAATTTCAACGGGAGCTGCTCACAAATGGTAATAACATTCAGATAAACGCGATTTACGTTATTTAAGTGCGACAATAGACAGTTTTACAGCCAATGGAAAGTGTAATGAATATCGTCCGTTTCGCGATGACAAGACGAGGATGGTGTGCGTGTGCGACTCAGGGCAATGTCACCGGATGCCGGCACTTGGGGTAACGGCTTAATTTTTGGTTTCAATTTGGTTTAAATCAGAATATCACCGCCGGATCGTCGTATCACCTCGCGTCGAACATGGCCGGGTTGCGCCTCGCTACTAAGCGCGTCCGCCAGGGTCGAAAGATTGGTATGTTTTTAGGTATATAAACTATTTGTTTAGATCCGAGTAAGATCGAGGGGCTTTGCGCTAACGTGCCGAAAAACGGCTTGAAGCTGAAGGTGAAGCCGAGCAAAAAGTTCCAGGAGATGATCGGTTTTGGGGGTACGTTTTTACGGTCAAACGGTTGAAATTCCGGTACTGAACTGTTAGCGGGGGGGACTAATTTTGTTTTTTTTCCGCCTATACCGGTCGATAATGTATAGTGTATAGTGGAGTCTTTTTTAGTAGTTTTTCACTGCTAAAAAGTTATAAAACAGTTTTAAAATTTTAAAATTCTAAAATTTAGCTTTCTTTGACCGTTTTTCATACATTTTTTGTTTGGCGTTTATTAAACTTCTAAAAACTTGAAAACTCTAGGTGCCATGACCGACGCGGCGGCGATGAACATCGACCGCATGGACAATGATGAATTTGAGGAGCGGCTGCTCGGCGCTTATTTTTCGGATGAAGGTTAGCCCTTGGCAACGACTTTCGACTTTTTTAGGCCTGGAATACACGCTGATCCGAATCCCGATGGCTTCCAGCGATTTCTCTACGCGCGAATATTCGTACGTCAACACCCCAAACGACTTCACGCTCGACTCGTTTCATTTGGCCGAGGAGGACGATTGGAAGATCAAATTCATTCGGAAGGCCCAGAAAATGGCGCGCTATCCGATAAAGGTGAGGGTTATTGTGTCGAAATCATAAATAAAATATAAAGAAAAGCAAATTTTCCATTTTCCAGGCTTTCGGGAGTCCCTGGTCTGCCCCAGCTTGGATGAAAACTACCGGCCATATGAAAGGGGGTGGGAAGCTGAATCCCGGCGCGAATTACTCCGAGGCGTGGGCCCAATATTTTGTGAGGTGAGGTTTACACGAGTTTACATCTGCTAAAACAACAGCTGTATGCTTTCAACTTGTTTTATGCGTTTTAAAAACGTTTTAAATGTGCTTAAAAATGGATTTCTAGATTTATCGAGGACTACAACGCGCAGGGTGTCCCAATCTGGGGCGTTACCGTCCAAAACGAGCCCTCCGCCGGCGAGGATGGGGAATGGAAATGGCAAGCTATGTATTTTCCGCCCGAGGTGGGTCGATAGAGCTTTTTAGCGTTTTAAAATTGTAATTTAACGCTTTTGGAGTTTTCTAGCCCAATTTTCTTACAGGACCAAGCCAACTTTGTGGCCAACCACCTCGGCCCTGCTTTGAAACAATCGAAAATAGCTAGCTCAGTCAAAATCATGATCCACGACGACTTCCGTGGAAATCTGCCGGAGTGGGCCGACCGGGTAGCAGCACGAAAGCTAGTGCCTAAAAACGGAAACTTCAGACCCTGGCGAACAAGGAGGCGGCAAAGTACGTGGATGGGATCGGGGTGCACTGGTATGGGAAAGCGGATCCGGAAAGATTGAGCCAGACCAAGGAGCATCACCCGGACAAGTTTATCCTGGGAACCGAGGTATGGACAGTTTAGTTTGCTTGTTTGTTTAGTTGAAAACCTACGTTAAAACATACGTGGGCGCCTATTTACGCAGCGATACTACGTAGAGAATGAGAGAGAGAGATAGAGAGAGCTAGAGAGAGAGAGGATTCCCAGTCACCTGATCGAAAAATCACCTGATCGAAAATCGCCTGATCGAAAATCGCCTGATCGAAAAGTCGTCTGATCGAAAATCTCCTGATCGAAAATCGCCTACGAAAACCCCCCCCCAGAAAACCTACCGAAAAACCCCCTGATCAAAAATCGCCTGATCGAAAAATCGCCTGATCGAAAAATCGCCTGATCGAAAATCGTCTGATCGAAAAGTCGTCTGATCGAAAATCGTCTGATCAAAAAGTCGCCTGATCGAAAAGTCAACTGATCGAAAATCGCAAAGCAAAGCAAATCCTTTTCAAGGTTGTAGCATATTTTCTGCTGCTCGTCGAGCGTCGTCCGGTCGCGTTTCTTCGGGGCATGCGCGTATTCTCGGAGCTGTCTCAGTTTGACCCGGGTTTTGAGCTCGAACTTCTGAAGGTAGTTGAGGAATTTCCACATGGACGGGTGCTTGCAGCCAAAGTGTTGGTTGAGTGCGTTGCTGGTGCCTAAGCCTAAGCCTAAGTCTAAGCCCAACCACGAAGCATGGTATGACAAATTACTTCCAGGTGCTGGGGCAAGAAAAATTTTATTTCACCTGGCTTGGTCCTTCAGCCCCGATAATTTTCGATCAGACGATTTTCGATCAGGCGATTTTTCGATCAGGCGATTTTCGATCAGACGATTTTCGATCAGGCGATGTTTCGATCAGGCGATTTTCGATCAGGTGTTTTTCGATCAGACGACTGCCAACCGAGAGAGAGAGAGGGAGAGAGAGAGAGAGAGAGACCGTTGCGTAAATAGGCGCTCCCGTAACATAAGGCAGATCCCGGAACCAGGGCTTTGCAACGTGAAAAGGCAGAATCACTGGCAATGTGACGCGCATATTGTGACAAGTGTTTCGAGGCGCTTCTCGTAGTCAAAATTTCAATTGTAAAAGAAACCGTAAACTTGAGCTCTAAAATATTTCCAGGCCTGCGCCGGCAGTGGCGGCGCCAAGGAGCACGTCCGACTGGGCGATTGGGGCCGAGCCGAGGCCTACATGGTGGATATGATCCAAGATTTCTCACATCAAGTATCCGGCTGGGTTGACTGGAACTTGGCGTTGGATATGGGCGGCGGGCCGAATTGGGTGGGCAACTTTGTCGACTCCCCGATCCTCGTCAATCACACCGCCCATCGATTCTACCTCCAGCCGATGTTGTACGCCATCGCGCATTTCAGGTGGGAGGAAAAAGGGAACTGGTGTTTAGGGGGCCCTAGCTTTTCTGAGGTCCGCGTCGACGTATAATATGGAAATAACAGACATTTTATAGCAGCTCCATCCTTTTTACAGCGCGAAGAAAATATAATAGACAACGCTTTTTCAGTAAATTCGTGAAACCTGGAGCTTATCGTATCGATTCGTCGATGCAAGGCAACGAAGAGGCAAACCTTCAATCGGTCGCGTTTGAGAATCCGGATGGTAAGTAAAGTTAGACCGATCAATCCTTATTTTTTTTCAGGATCGATTGTGGCCGTCGTCTACAATTCGGCCGATTGTACGGTGGCGCTGAACGTTGAGGATGAAATGGGGCACGTACACGGTCTCCAAATTGATCCACGCTCTTTCAATACGCTTCTCTATAAGCCGGAGCAGCCGTAAGGTAACGAAAATATATTTTAAATTTTCAAAGTTTAATTGAACCGTCAAAATGTACGGTAAATTTATTAAGGTTAAAGTATCGTATTATTCCAACCAAAAAGCCTGACTTGTTTATCGAGAGTTTGACGCTTTAAATAATTAGCGAGAGGTTACCCATTATAAAGAGCTTTATAAATTTTATATTCTAACGAAGAGGAGAAGCATTTGGAAAAACGAAGCTTGCTTTTCCTTGTCATCATCTGATCACGGTCTTTTTTCCATAATTTCTTCTTTTTTTTGATAAATTTCGTTTTCGCTCGACTCTTCCAGCATCTTTTACTGTTAATTATTTTACACTAATTTATTATTTTTACACTGTGTCATAATCGCATAAAATATTTTTAAACCATTTATCGGCACCACCCAAAACGAGCCGCTCCTATCGACAGATACACACCCAGAAGAGGAAAAGGGAAGCCCAGGAAAGTGAATCGGATACTGTAGTCATAAAAAAATCAAAGAAAGAGACATTCTCAAAATATACACGATCAGTACGTCACTCGCTCGTCCAGCAGCTTGACACATTCAGGAAGCCCCAGGGCGACAAAGCCGGTGCGCATCGCCGACACCTTGGAGCCGGGCACCATCTGGAAAGAGGTGTTCAACGTACTAATACCACTATTGTAAGCCGTACCTCATATTGATCCAAGAAAATCATGGTCGGGCTAGAATTCTCGTCGGCGCAAATCTGGATCAGCTCCGTCATATGGCCACATTCGAGCTCCTAAAACATTCGAGCTTCTGGATAGCCTTGATTTTCCCTTACCATTGCCAGATCTTGCCACTTTGCGTTGTTGTCCAGGATTTTCGAGAGACGGAGTCGGGTCAGGTAATCGAGGGAGCTGATGTCATCTGGAATACTGGGGACTGGGCTGTTACCGGGGGGGGGTTAAGCGGGGGTAACTAATTTCTGTCTTTCCGCCTATATGGTTTTATAGTTGAATTTTGTAGCGTTTTTAATCCGTTTTGTTTCCTAGAAACTTCAAAAATCTGAACATTTTGACCTTGTTTGACCAAAAAGCCAAAAAAATTTTCCACATTTTTATAGTTATTTTATGCATTTTTATGACTAAAACTGTAGAGAAAATTACGCTATTTGTAGCTTACCTTTAGCAAAATTGCTCGACTCGAAGCGGCTTTTCCTTGATCTGCCCGGGGTGGTGGACGAGGATGGGCCTTGCTCGGGTGACATTCCGAGATCTAGGTAATGGTTCAATTTGTCTATTATATCAACTTTCTATATTCTGTTTTTTTTTTTTTTTTTTTTTTTTATTTTTTTTTTTGGTTGCCCGCTCCCCTCCTTTTCCCCCCCCTTTCCCCCCCCCCCCTTTTCCCCTTTTTTTTTTTTTTTCTTTTTTTTAAAAAAAAAAAAATTAAAAATCCCCTTTTTTTTTTTTTTTTTTTGTCCCCCCCCCCTTTTCCCTTTTTTTTTTTTTTTTTTTTTTTAATTTTTTTTTAAATTTATTTTTTTTTTTTAAAATTTTTTTTTTTTTAAAAATTTTTTTTTTTTTTATTTCTCCCCTCCCCCACCCCTTTTTTTTTTTTTTTTCTTTTCCCCCTCTTCCCCTCCCCTTTTTTTTTTTTTCCCCCCGGGGGGGGGGGGGGGGGGGGGGAAGAGGGGCACACAAAAACCCCACAAAAAAAATAATAGTATAATATCCTAATTTACTTTCGAATGCCAGTGTATTTAGTTTTCAGTTTTTAACCTTCCTACCTTCATCATCGTCAAGGGCAGAACCGGCCGAGATCGGGATCGGATCACCGGCGCGTCTGCCTGCTGTTGATGGTCTATAAATTGTAGCTTATAGCTTGTATTTTGTCCGCTACATTCTTAAAATTTGAGCAAACCACCCACCTGCTCGATCGCGGGCTCTCATCGATTTGAATCGGGATATCCTCGCCGGATTCAGACCCGGACCCCCCATCAGCGCCACCACCACCTACGCTTCGGCCAAACAACGGGTTGTGCGCTTGCCCAAATGGCTTCAGCTCCGGAGCGATCCTGTAAACGATATTAAATTGTTGGGCTCGCTCTTCTTAGGTACCAACCTTTGACCAGCGATCACATCTCGCGTCGTCTGATCCGGGTTGTCGGCCAGGCAAATTCCCTTCGAATTCTTGACCGCCGGATCGGCGCCGGCGTCCAGCAATGCGCCCATGATATAGAAATTGCTGGCCTTAAAATAAGGTCACAAAACTGCCCGGAAACCTTGCCTGTTTCGACAGAAGTAGTGGAGTATCCCCATTCTCATCCTGGTGGTTGACGTCGGCGCCTTTCTAAAGTAATTTTTTATATTTTCCATTTGCAGGACCCGGCGTCAATACCGGCTAAAATACATCCAAAAATTGTGGATCACCTGTAGCAAATGAGCGATGATATCCGGATCGTTCATTGTAATGGCGTGCATCAGTGCGGTTCTACCCGTGGCGTCGGCCCCATCGACTTGAAGCCCGGTGTCGAGCAGCATCTCCACCAGCGAGAGCTTTAACCTAAAATAATGGTAAAATTAAGCGTAAAAAGTACTAAAAACCAGAGCTTTTTACTCTAGAAAATAACAAAAATCGCTTAATTTATTGGTTGATTACCGCAATTAAATAAAAAAATATTTGAAAAGACAACTAGTTCTAGTTTTCATTTCCTGTTAAACACAATCCTAACCTCGTCACAGCCACGATAAGCGGTGTCTGCCCTTGCTGATTCTTCTTCTCCAACTCCTCATTCATCCCAGACCCGGCTTCGATAACCTCCTTGAAAATCGCGTCGCTGTACGTGTCGCCGAGGTAGTGGAATGCCTAAACCTGATTTTCCAAACCAAATCGTGTCGTCCCTACGGTATTCTGATGGTTGTCCGGGGTGTCGAGCGGGGCGCCCGAGGCGATAAGATAGTGCACCGAGTCGGCGTCCCCGGCTCGGATCGCGCACTGCAACGCCGTCTGTCCCCGGCTATTTCGCTTGTTCAGCAGAGCTATAAATTGTAAGATGTTAGACTCTCCAAAACTCCGCTTACTTTTCCGCTCCTCATCGCTTAGGCTTTCACAAGAGGATAGGAAAGTCCGCATTGCAAATGACTGCTGATTACGCGCCGCGATGTGCAGGACTCTAAAAATATAAATTTTAGAAACAAGTGAAAGTCTTACGTATTTCCTTCATTGTCGGTTTTGTGAAAAGCATGCGCAAATGGGCGTGTCAACTGCTGTGAGTCTCCATTCTCGGCAAATTGGAACAAATGGCTGTTGTCCACGGAAGTTGAGGGTGTCTCGTCGGCTTTTTGTCTAAAGTTCCATGACGTTAAAAATCTGATTTTCAAACTATAATAAGAACACGTTATGGTATCCAAATACTCACTCAATAGGCCGCTGTGTCACCGGAATCTTGACAATCTCGTCTCCACATTTTAGTGTAAGGGTCCCCGGAGCGGTCGAAAGTACCCCAAAAACCGGTACTGTGAAAATCAGCAGCTGCAACAAATCATGATAAGCTTTTGTAGTTTTCAAACCTTGTCCTTCTTCAAAACATTTTCAACCGCCTTTTCATCGTCCCCAAAAGTTAAGGTGAGTTCGATCTCGGCATCCGGTCTTCCGGCTAGTAAAAGCCAGGTCTAAAATTAGGATTTGGGGTGATAAAAAATTACGAGACTTACTTTCTCGCCAGAATTCAATTCCGGAGACGAGATTTCCTAAAAAACACCGTCTTGACGCCCTTTTATCTCTGAGAAAAAAAACGATGTCACAAACGAACTAGCCTCGATAAACAAGCCTCGTGAATTTTCTGCTTTGCTTGGTGGTTGGAGCATCTGAAAGGGCGATATTTCCAGAATTTCTAGTTCATTTTTCATTTTCGTCTTCACGAAAATTTAAATTTTCAACAAGAAAAATTTGTAACTCACATCACTATCCGAATGCGATTTTGCCACCGAACTGTGCCGACTGTCCGAGATTGACGGCTCGGCTGGCATTTTAATCTGCAAAATAGGATTGAGACTTTATGGAACAAAACATACAATGAATACGATAAAATCCGAAGGAATATAGGACAATATAAGCTATCGAGCTTGAGCCGAGGGATCGAGGCGTGAGTGTGGTGGACAGGGGGTGGTGTAAACCCTGGTCTTTGCGGCCCTCTTTCACGGCAGCGTCTTCTCCCCATTGCCCTCTCTTCGCTCTTGCAAGCACGAATGGCCATAACCACTACCACGTTCCCCACGATCGCTATGAGAAATCCGTCAATAAAGCTTTCGGGCTTGAGAATTAAAAATCTGGCCAAAAAACATGTATTAAAATGACAATCTTAGGACCAGCAAGATTTTTGATGTCGTACGTGCACTATGGAAATTTTTTATTTTTCCTAGGTACCTGAAGACGCTGAATAACGGAATAGCAACTATTTTAATGCAATTTCACCGCTTATTTAGCCATAAAATTTCATAAAAATTTATAATTTTGAAAACTAGAGACTTCCCGATCAAAAAGTTGATAACAATGGTCGATATATCAAAAAATTTTTAAATAATAAACCTTGAATCCATTTTAATGTTGGTAAACTACTAAAAACCGTTTATTTTATTACAGCAAAAGTTCGGCTGAATAAAGGAAGTGGCCCCACACCGCTAAAAAACCGGAAACTAGAAACAAAGAAAACCGAACTGATCAAAACCATTTCGCCATAAAGAAAACTCATCGCTGAATGGCTTCTGTCACGAAATTACAGTGAACCCGGATCGGTGGGCACACAGAGATCCCGTGGGCCCCCGGGAAAGCACTCGAACCACCAGCCAATCCGGGGGCCCAAGCGGAGGGACCAGCCGGGAGTAGGCAACAACCGAGAAGAAGCCCGAGAGAAACATCAACAATGTTCCCCGCGACGATGGCGATCAGCTGGTGCCGATGAATCATCATTTCGGGGGGAATTGGGAGCACGCAGGCGCGTAGAAGGGGGGGGGGGGGCAGCGGGGGCAGGCTGCCCCCCGAAATCGGGCGGGCCGGAAAAAAACATAAGGGTCCCCCCTTATGATTTTTTTCATCTTGAAAATTTTTTCGCCTGCGGCGCTGCTATTTTTGCAAAATTTTTCGCCTGCGGCGCTTAAATTTCGAAAAAATTTTCTTGCTGCCCCCTCCGAAATGTCGCTGCCCCCGGCCCCCCGAAACTTGGGGCCAGCTACGCCCCTGGGAGCACGTCATCGACAATATACACGTTTTTCGGCCTGAAAAAATACTGGAACTGTTACGTGTCCGTTTTTGGAAAAGCCGCTGAAAGATGCGCAACCTAAAACAGACAACCCAAGATTTTGAAATACTTTCTCTCTCAAAATTTTGGAATTTTCAAACCTACGTCCCGCTTTGCCGCGCTCAAATGGCCCAAAAGCGGCTCCTGGCCATTAAAGTTTCGCACCTCTGATAAAACCGTCCCGACGCCGTATTGATTAATTTCGCCCCGGAAATGACGACTTTTCTAAAATGTGTTCTATTATTTGCTATTTTCGAATTCATAAACAGCTTCACCATCATCGGGAATAGCTGGAGTAAGCTAATTGGAAACTGTAACAAAGAGACTAAGCAGACTAAAAAATTTTGGGCTCTACTAAAAAGTAATACCCCCTTCTCCATCAGTGTGCGAAAACGAGGAGCTGCGAAAGATCGTCCTCGAGGCTATCGATACAGCGACGAATCCGAAAGATGATTCGCTAAATCTGGAGATTGTGCGAACGAGCATAGAGGTCTAAATACACTGATTATTAGAAATCGAAAGCACGTCACCTAACAAAGCCCTTTAGAAAAAGCTGAAATCCAGAGCAGACGGCGAGTGGTTTATTTCCGTAAGCCGTTTCACGCGTCTTCTCCGAGATTCGACATTGCCCACAGCGGACATGCCAGATTTCTGTGCCCTCGACGCAAATTTTGTTGACATCACGCTGTTTCGGATCGAATAAAGATGAATGTGTTCTGGCAGTCTACAAAAAACACACACGTTTTAGAGTTTACAGACGCAAATTTCAAAATTGATTAAATCGGTCGTTCAACCTAACTGTCATAAAATTTATGCGGCCCCACAGACGATAACGAAGTAAAGGATCAATCTTTTTTATATTTATTTGCGAATTTATTTAAAATTATATCAATTAATTTTTATTCCGTGAGGCTCCAACTTACGCGCCTTTCTACGCGGGAATACGCTTGGAATACGAATACGTTCATTGTTGTAAAAGGTACTACGGTCGCTGAATTTTGATTTTTGAATTTTGATAGTTTGCAAAATAATTCTTGGGATTCGTAGTTTCTCAATCCAGAAACCTCGTTTTTCTTTCAGGGCAAGCTTGCACCATCCAAGGGATGTGGCGGCCGCTGCCGCGGTTGAAGCATGCGATCCGCGGGATCTCCGCATGCTTCATTATCCGGGTTTGTTGAACATCATTACTTCTTTACGTCTATCTCTTTTTCAGCACGACGACGAGCGGCGAGAGCGAGAAGGCAGCAAGCGCCGCCCGCTGCGCGCACTAACAAGGGCCATCAGCGCCGTGTTCCTCAACGCCGCCGGTAATCTGATTGACTAATTCATATCTATTCTTTAGACAAATTCAACGTAACTGCTGCAAGTGTGGACGAAAGTGAAGGTTGATGGCCACTCCCTTTTTTGAGCCATTTTAATTTTAGGCATCAAGCATCTGCTTCAGCTCTGCGGGCAGAGCCATGTTTATACGTGGGAGGAAGCAATTAATCTGAAGTGAGCTCGCGCGTTGTTTTAAAATCTTTTTCAGACGTTTGAATTCGGTGGTAAAGATCAACGAGGGCTCATTTGGAGAGGTGTATGCGATCCATTCGACTCCGCAAGCCGGATACACCAATATTATCAAGGTGGTTCAGCGTGCTCCTATAGATACTTTGTTTTAGGTTGTCCCAATAGATGGTGAAGCGCCCGAAGACAGTTTTGATCAGCTAACCAGTGAGGAGGTATGGCTATTTTCGCTTGATTTTGATGTGATTTAGGTCTACAGCGAATTGCTCAGCTCAAAGCTGCTCACAAAGCTTTGGAGTGACATTGAGCGGAAGAACAGCAGCACCAAATGCTTTATCCATTTGAAAGCGGCGTATGTGGTTCGAGGTAACGATTTGACTTTGTGGTAGGCCTATACTCCTAGGCCCGTATCACCCTGCGCTCCAGGCCGCATGGAATAAATACGATGAGGATGAAGAATGTGGCAATGCTAACCCAAACGAGGTTTCGGAACGATCACCATTTTTACAATTTCTTATTTTAGCTCTATCCCGATCAAGTGTATATCGTATTCGAGTATGAGAATGGGGGAGATTCCTTAGATCATTTCAAGGTTGGTTTTGCCGAGCCTCTTCCAGTTAACGAATTTATTTTAGCCAAGACATCCGGAAGAACTTTTGTCCATCATCTGCCAAATCGCGACAGCACTGGCAGCGGCCGAGCAAGCGCTTCGATTTGAACATCGTGATCTGCACATTGGCAATGTTTTGGTGTTCAAGAAGCCCCGTCCACGCGACCACGTGTAATTTTTGAATAGGTTTAGCTCTCAATTTTTGCTTTAGTGCCACTGTCAACGGAGAAGAGTTCTGCTTCCATGATGCTGGGGTCTCGGTGCGGATCATCGACTTTACGCTGGCACGCTTTGAAGACGAGGGCCAGACGCACTACCATAAATTAAAGTAAATAATTACCGGCAAGCTAGAAATTTAATTTAGGGAAGATGACGCGCTCTTTGAAGGAGACGACAGCGAGCCCCACCATCAAATTTACCGTGATATGAAAGAGTTTACTGGGTATGCGCTTCCACGTCTATAACTTATCGATGTTCAGAGGTAACTGGCGTGCCTACTACCCGGTGACGAACAGGATCTGGCTGGAGTACCTTGTCGAGCGTTTGTGCGATCTAAGCAAGTATTCTCACAACACCGCAACGCTGCGACTCCTTCACCGGATGCTAGACGAATTGGAGGATTGCAGTGAGACCCTCTTTTGTGATAGAAACCTTTTTCTAAGGCTCGGCGAACGAATTCATCCACACCACCGCCTTCACAAGAACCGTAACCTACTTGGATTCCTTACGCGACGGCAATCCGCGTTAACTATAATTCTTCGCTAGGCAATTGTAGCCATCTTTATTGTTGTGGTATAATTAATCAAAGGTTAACACTGTGACTTGTGCTCATTTTTGTTTATGCTTTCATTGATCGTCGGATGCCGTTCTGAATGGTCTATTTAGAGGAGCTTTGATAAACATGCATTTGAACAAAGGCCGTTTTATTTTTCGTTTGACGGCGAAAGCAATACTTGGACGCTAGTAGCTTGAGCTCAAAACCGGTTCTTGTAGGCAGATGACGGACGAAACCTCAAGCGCCGAAATGGAGGATTTCCAGTGGATCAATTGGTTTTGTTCGGAACGTGGCAACGAATTCCTTTGCGAGGTAAAAGCGCTTTTCTTATGAAATATTTTTTTGAAGGTTGACACGGAATATATTCGCGATCGATTTAACCTGACCGGCCTTCCCGAAACGGTGCCGCATTATCATTTGGCCCTGGAAACGATCCTCGACGAGGTTCCGGAGACGGAGACCGAAGAGCTGGCTGGTGCGGTTGATCGCGCCGCGGAGCTGCTGTACGGTCTCATTCATGCCCGCTACATTCTAACGAATCGGGGCATTACTCAGGTTTAGCTGGCGATACATATAGACATTTCATTTGTAGATGACGGAAAAGTGGCAGGACCGCGAGTTCGGGATCTGTCCACGCTATTACTGCAGCAGTGCTCCGCTTATGCCGATCGGTCTTTCGGACACGCCTGAAGAGGCCACAGTCAAGCTCTACTGCCCCCGCTGCAATGATATCTACCAGCCGCGCACGAGGCAGTTGACATTGGATGGTCAGTTGCAAATCTTGCGGTGTTTATACAGCAAAGCAACCCAAGGCTTCTGTTCTGATTATGACATTTGCAGGAGCCTACTTCGGCACCGGCTTTCCTCACATGTTCTTCTTCGTGAACCCAGATATGCGCCCGAAGAAGCCTAGCAAGTCGTTCGAGCCACGGTATATTATCCGTGGTTTTTTTCAATGCTGTTTTTCAGCCTTTTCGGCTTCAAAATTCACCCATCAGCTCTCTGCGCTCCGGAAGTGGAGGAAGAAGTGTCTACTGCCGCCACCGATGACCAGCCCCAGGAGTAGCTCTGATTCTTACTTTCTTCCCTGGCTGCTAACTGCGCTTTTTGGATGCTTTTGGCCTTAATACTTGATTCAGTACATTCATCAATGGTTCATTTTCTATACAGTAAGTTTTGTGCGTCTGGCTTTGTGTTCGTCAGTATCCATACTTCGTCGATTTGGTGCTTCCATTTTTATGGAGTTTATTAATAAAGGTCTATTCAATGACGTTGATGCAGGACCCGCTGAGGAAGTATTCGATAGTATCTTTACTTGTCCTTCCCATCTAGTGAATGATCGGGGTGGACGAAAGCCTATAAGTCATTTGGATGCGCTGACACATTTTTCTACCCACCTTGTCAACAAACTCCAAGGATTCTAACTTTGTCGTCAACGGCTCAATCAGTTCGTCGTGAATTTGTCGGAGTGTCATATTGGGATCAGTGACCACATGCACCTCGACGCGAACCTGAGCCGTACTTGTCGTTGTTTTGCCGACTTACCTTATTGCCGGCATGGTACGCCAGTAGCGCGTCTAGACATCTGACGTGCGGCTCTTCTATGCAGACTTTCGTGATTCGCGACAACTCTTCGGGGGAGCAGACACCACCTAGATTGTATGAAATTGGCTGAAAAGGGTACTTTACCCAGGATCTGGTAGATTTGTTCTTTCACCAACTCAAACCAATTCCATGCGATGTACCCACTAAAGAACATATTTTTTCATTTTGGGTAAATGCTTTTACCTGACTAGCGCTGCAGTAATAGGATCTGCAACCGGGGCCACATATTCCGACAAAGCAGCTCCAACGATAACCACGCTGTTGGTTACGACATCATTTCTAAAGCTTTTAGTTTTTTTAACCGGCTAGCCCACCTTTGATCGGTCGCCAAAATCTCAGCACTCTTCGATTTCCGTTTGCTGCACCAGGTGAAGAGCACAATTTTGATGAGAATTGTGGACAGCAGAATGAGGAGCGAGACGGGCGTGATATCAGGCGGCGGCTAATCGGTGTGTAAGCTCGCCTTTTTGCCTACCTTTCCGAAGATTAGGGCCCTCACAGAATCCCAGACGACTTGAAGGTTTGCGACGCCCATCACCTAGAGGATATAGGGTATTTTTTTGGTTTTTTTTGTCTAAAATCATTGGGATCTTGAAGTCTGTGATCGTTAGGAAAATTTTTTTAGTTTTTTTAGAACGTTCTGATTACCCCGGACAAGAATAGCAGCGACATATTCTCCAGGTTCTCTCGGCCTCGCGGATAATGCCATGTGTCGGTGTTGATGATCAAATGGGTCGCGTACCACACGGCAACGCCACTGTAAACTGTTATCAAGGGGGACCGGAAATGCCTAGTAAGATATGAGGAATTATTTATTAGTGGTTTGGTAAAATATAACCATATCTCGACTATGAAAAAACTATCTCAAAGCTTAAAAAATTTTTAAGGGGAATTTTGGTCAAAAATCTAGATTTTTATTTTTCATAAACATTGTAAAGATTTTACGCCTCGGAATATAAAAAAAGCGGTTTAGAAACATTTCCGCTCTTTGTATGGAAAACTGGATCCTAGAAAAAGTTGTCGTTAGGCAGGTTCTTCTTTTGCGTTACTTAATTCTATCCCGATTAGGCCGTGACCCCCCTATTTTTCTAGCCACTGTTCGGTTGGTTGCCTGGGTGTTTTAGGGTGAACAGCACGCATGTTTGCATAGCGATAACCCGGCGGGGGAACACGGGGGTGGCGGCGGGTCGTTAGGCAAAACAAGCACCTGGTGATGTCAACGATCGAATCGAGTAGCGTCGAAATGATGGACAACGAGGAGCCGTGCGTCAGCCATGTTGAGAAAGCCTAAAAATAGACCATTCAGCTGAGCTGATTTTTGTCAGGTATCAATTTTGAAGCTCGATTTCTGATTTTTTAGATTTACCTTCGCCAAAAGAAGGCCTAGATTGATGCTGAGCACGACGGTAGAGATCCGTTGATCGGCTTTTGTCTAAAAGTCAATTTTCCGATGAGCGGAAATGCATACAGCATCCTCTTTATTTTCCATGGGACCCCCATTCCTGATGCATTCCTCATCAAGTTTATAGGCCTCAAGCAAGGCATCTTGTTTCCTGAAATTCATTTTGAAAACACGGCGGGTGGATTTACTCGTAATATTCCGCACATTTCGGGTTCTCCTTAGAAGAAGCCGTTGAGTGTCGTCGCTTCTGATGATGGTGCTTCTCGTGCTGCTGCTTTTTCTGCTCCTTTTTCTTTAGTTCATTTGGCGGGGATTTCCGGCGACTTTGAGCCATGACTGTAATGGGATTTTTTGAAGCGGAAGTGATGAAAAGAAAACAATTAGACGCCAAGGAATGAAGAAAAGGAAATTTAGGTTCTTTCGCATTGTCGGGGGGGGGGGCATCGTTTTTCATCAGCTCCAACTTTTTAAATCTAAATAACGTAGCGTTTATAAAAAGTTTTTTTGCTATTTATAAACAAGAAGACTTTACAAATCTTTATCAAATAAATATCAAAAATATAGATTTTCCAACCAAAAGTGGCCGATTTTTTACCAAAATTTCAGCTTTTTCAAACATTTAAAAAACTTTCTGGTTTATTAACGCTTCCTATTGCGTTGATGGACATTTAGAGAATTATACAAAGTAGTTTGGACCCCCGATAATGCTAAAGAACCGAAATTTTAAAGGTTCTGCTGTGCTTTAGAAGGGCGAAAGAATTATGGGAGCCATAAATCGAGGCGTAGTGTCGCCGGGAGCTCATCAAATTATCACCCCTCGGTTGGCTACCGAGCAGCGGGGGCTTATCAGGCGACGAGGTGCCGGCCACCACGAGAAGGACAGAATGGCAGAAAAACGGGGGCACGTTCAAAGTTGAGAAGCCGTGTGGATTGCCCTTATCGTGGGCCAGCCAACCCCTCGGCCTTTCCACACAGGAAATGACAAAGCGAGACTCTGTTTCGACGTAGGTGTGAGAATAGCCATGTTCACACCGTGTTTCAAAAGTCTGAAATGTTTTTTGTTTGTTTCTGGTTTGTATAAATTAGCCTAATTAGGCAAAATCATCATCGTTGGGTCGTAATTAGCGATTCAACGTACTTTATCGTCTAAAACAGATCTTAGATGTATTTTCGTATTTTTACCTATAACAATCTCGTTTTTTAGCTTATTTGTTTGTCTAGACTGAGTTAATGATAGCCTAGAAATCGTAATTAGCAATTTAACGTATCAATACGCACTATACATGCTGTTAAAAGGTTACATTTTCGGGTACAGTTAACATTATCTTATCTTCCAGCGTGCCTTTTGTATAAAATGAGTAAATTAAAATGATAAATTAAACGAATTTAGCATATTAGACGTGATTTATATCATAATTAACTGATAGCTAAGAAATAGGCTATTTTATAGCCAAATTGTATTTTCTGTATTGATCAAATCGTGCGAAATTTGTGAATCTTTAAACTTGCAAACTATTGAAACTGATTTATGCATAGACAGACGATCCATAGTTTAGAAAATCACAGCAATCGGGTCGGGGGGAACGGCTTTCAGCCAGGAAAAAGAAAGTTTTTCGTTTCTTTCGACAAAACGTGGGGTCAAAGGTATCCTATTTTAATCAAAACTGGGTGCACTCGTATCGAACGTCGGGCGGGCTTTTGGTTAATATTAATTTCAATATAAAACAGAAAATATAGCGACTAGATCGGGGGCTAAAGTCACAACCGAGAGAGAAATACATCAGATCCACAGGGGGCGGCAAGATCATCGGGTGAATGAAAAAATACAGAAAAAGCGGAAAAATTGTGAAAGTTTTTGTGGGTGCGTTGACTAGAAATTCGGGGAGAGATTTAAAAATATACATTATAAGGAAATTAAGACATTAAAGTAGCTAATGGGTCAGCTTGGTGATGGCGAGCTGCTCGCGGAGTTGTGAGATGAGGCGGTCCTTTTCGCTGAGCTGCCGGCGGAGCACGTCGTTTTCGCGGGCCAGCTCGCAGCACCCGATTTGGCCCTATAAATGGCTAGATTGAGCAAAGCTACGTGGTTGATTTCTTTAAAAAGCGTTTAGAGAGGCGCCGATTTTTGTGGCTCAATGGTTTCGCGTAAGTCTTTTAGGCGCAAGGCCCGAGTTCAATCCCCCGACGATGCACAACTTTTTGCTTTTTGACAGGCGAGTTTCCCTTGCGGTGAATATTTTAAATCAAATTTAGGAGGCGTATGGGCCGGTGGCGCAATGGTTCCGTGTCATGCCACCAGGCGGAGGGCCGGGTTCGACTCCCCGTCGATGTTAGTTTTTTTGCTTTTGACCAGCTTGTAGAGGTCGTCAATTTTTGCACTACAAATTGCCAAACAATCGCTTACTTTATTTTGGGGCGGGGATTCGGGCGTTTGGGCCAAGGCGGATTGCAGGGCCATCAGCTGGGCCCGCATGGCCTCGACCTCGGCAAGGCTGGCCTCGATCTGCTTGTGGTTGCCGCCGGGCGAGTAGATGGTACTCAGATTGCTGAAAATTTCAAGGTTTTAAGAACCGTAGCCACTTTTTTTGTTTATTTAGGGTTATTTTTTCTCTATTTCCGTTGTTTCTACCCCAATTTTCGCTTGGACAACCCCATATTTCGCGCCAGGTGAAGCCGATGGTTCGCCCGTTTCGACACATTTGCTCTTTTTTCCGGTATTATTTGAGAAGCGGCAACACAACCCCACACAGCCCTCCAGCAAACAGCACCGGAAACCGGGTGTTACATTCAAAATCTGCAGCGCGACAAGGGGGTGGGGGATCGATACACATACCTGGTAGCGGGGGGAATCATGGTAGGAGCGGCGGTGCCTGAAAAACAGAGAATTTTACATGGAAAATTAAAGGAAAATCCTTTAAAAGGCTCTTACTCGCCCCTTTAATGAAAAAATCCAAATCCTGCTTTTCCATATCTGAAAGGTAGCTTCAGATCTCTGAATTTTTCGCTTTAAAGGACCGTGTAAGGCACGGCTACGGATTTTCCTGGTGATTAACAACCCAAACGGTTTTTTTATAGCTGGCCAAACAATCGAGAAGAATCCATGGTAATGCCTGATCGATCCCTTTTTTAAAGGGACTGGAAAGCTAGAATCGACCCCTTGCGTCGACTCGATCTCGTCAGGTCCGTGATATGCGACGATTGAGACCAAATTAAACACCAATTTACGTTAAGATACATAATTACGTACTGACGACGTTCAAAAACCACTGGAGAACCTTACGACAAGTGTCGAGACCTAGTCGCTAGAAGGGGTCGTTTTTGGACATGCGAGTCCCTTTAAAGTCGATTATCAGTGAAATTTTTCCGGGTTGGATTTTTTAGGTTTCTTTAAAACCGATTTTTGGGGTCGTCATAGCCCATTTGAACACAAAAAAACCGCGCGCCAGCTGGACGGGCCTGGCAGAGGGAATTCGGGGAAACGCGCTGTAAAATGCGTACGAAACGCACCGGGCCTTACAGCGGCCAAAGACGTAGTCACGCCAACAATACAATAGATTTTTTAGCATTAAAATGGGGTGGCCGAGTTTTGGGGGCAGAGCACGAGATCGAGCACGAGCACCGTCGATAATGACAGACCGCGCAGCAATAGCAGCTGTACGAGGCACTCCCCTGTGCACTCGACCGTAAAAGTAATCTGCGAATACCCTGTTTTTTTGGGGGGGGTGTAGCCCTCGCCCCGTTACGGTTACGCCCGATTTTTGCGTTGTTATTGCGGGCGGGGCTGCGGGAGGAGGGTGACCTTGTTTTAAAGGGACGGGCAAGGCAGCTTTGTGGATTTTTTAGACATGCTTAAGCCTAGGGCGGGCACAACAAACACCGGTGAACCATAGCCAACAATCCATATTCTAGCCTTGTGAATCCCTTTAATCTGAAAAAATTCGCAAATTTAGATTGGCTTTTTGAGGCCAAATGACCTCGAATTTTCGTGGGGGCGCTCGATTCCTCATCCGAGTGAATCATTTTTAAGAGAAAAATGGGGAATCCTGGCCATGAAAGAAAACCAATAATTCAAATTTAGGAGTTTAAAAATGTAAAATTAACTCTTCAAATAAATATAGTTTAACAAATAAATAAATAAAGCGACCAATTTTTTAATATCGTAATTTAATCGAACGATATATATTTTCAGTTCCGGTTCTAAAAATACCGGATAATTTTATGTAAAGTTTGGGGTTTAAATTTTACGGAAAAAAAACTGGATTTCGGCACTTTTAAAATACCTATTTTACAATGCGAATTTGTCTAAAAATACCAGGTAAAAAACAAATTCTCAATATAATAATAACAATATAATTAACAATTTAAAATTAAATAATTGTAAACCTAGAAATTTAAATTTAAATTCCCCAAAAATCACCTGAGCACCCGGAATATGGCCCCGAGAAGACAGTCGGCCATGTACGCGCACGCTGCACTGTATGGCGTTGGGGGGTGGGGGTGTGAATGTATCGAGGGTTGAAGGGGGGAAGAAGAAGCCGTTCTGCCCCTCCCTTATTCCCTCTCTCTCCTCTCTCTCTCTCTCCCTCTCTCTCTCTCTCTCTCTCTCGTTCTCTTTCCCTCTCTCGCTCTCTCCCCCCCGCCGTGTCGGCAATGTATTTGAGAGGTCGGTGTGTGTGGTGGGGGGAAGAAAACGATCTGACCCCCGCAGCCCATCCCCTCCATCTAGCCACGGGATGTGAGTGGTTTAGTGGCGAATTTCGACTTTCAAGTGCTTTCTGGCGTTTTGGCTTTTTTTAAAGGGATAGTGCCAGCTTAAAAACTAGTTTTAAAGGGCCTGGAGGTGGGAAAATCGGCCTTGTTCACGAACTAGGTGCCGCCAGCTACGCGGTACTCCAAATGACAGGTGAAATCCGGGCGCTTTTTCACTTGTTGACCCCTTTAAAAATCACTTGGTGACTTTTTGCTAGCGTGCGCAACACGCAACGCGTCCTCGTCATTTTGTTGCGTAATCGATTACGACACCTTAACCGCGTTGCGTATCGTCGAAAAACCCGTAGATAAAAAAAGCTCATGTATTCCTGCATTTTCCCTTTACGAAAGCAGAAATCCGAAAATTCCGACTTTCTAGCTGTCATGGTCCTTTTAAAGGGATCAAAGAGTGCCAAAATCGACCCCTCACCTCCACTAGGTGTCGTTAACTACGCAGTACACCCAATTGCGCGTAGAATTTACCCTTTTCGCTAGGATTCATTGATCAAGCGTCATCTGGCGTACCACCTAGTAAAAATTAGAGGCATATTCCCCTGGCTTCCTAGCCACTTTAATGCCTTAAAACGCACGGCCCATAAATCTTTGCGGTCATCTCCGGGGGAGGTTTTGCGGGGCGCGTGCGTGTGGAGTGCCGTGTAATTCGGCTCTCCTTTCATCGGGGGCGGAAAGCAGCAGCAAGAAGCCGTTTGTCGGCGCCGCGCGCTACGTGCAAACACCTCCAGCGCGCCCGCGCGTCCACCCAGCGCGACCTGTTCCAATCCCTCGGCTTATAAGGGGGTTGCAAGGGTCTTAAGGGGTCCGGAAATCAAGGAAAAATCCAGAAGAAAGTTTAGAAAAATTCCACAGTAAAACTAACTCGTTGTTTTGATCATCGATAGTGCTGCGGTCGATGGACATGATGGTGCTGACGTCGGGTTCGAAGGAAGATCTAGAATTTAGGATTTCCTTTCTTTTGTTTCATCTGTGTACTGGAACGCGTCTTCTGCGAGTTCAGAGAGGGATAGATGACAGAGATACAGCGAGAGAGAGAACGTGAGAGAGGGTGAGAGAGAAAGAGGGATACTGAGAGAGAAAGAGAGAGCGAGAGAGAGAAAGAAAGAGCGAGAGAGAGAAAGAGAGAGAGAGAGAGAGAGAGAGATAGAGAGCGCGAGAGCGAGAAATGCATTTTTCTTACTCACCTGACCATCGCCAGCCCGGCGATCTGGTCCAAGCTGGTCGACGTGGAGAACGAGTCGCCTACGAGCATAGGCTGATCACTGAAATTTCGTGATTAAATGGGCGTGCAAGTCAAAAAGTCTAGTGTTTTTGGCCAATTGCGAATTTCCGTGAACAGACCGATTTACGGATATAGGAGAATTCTAGCAAATGCTTCACATGAAAAAGAGCCGGATTCTAGACGAAGCCCCGGGGAGCACGAACGGAAATCGGGAAGGGAAATGACCCTCGGGCCCAAGCGCCGGGAGTAAGAGGCACGGGGTGAAATCCGATCTTCACGGGAGCACCCCAACCCCCCGGTGGCGGTTTCTGATGGCCGGCCGATTTGGCGAGGCGAATCAAGAGGATGGGAAAAATAAAAAAGAAATTAGAAATTTATACAATAGGAAAACTATTGAGAAAGTAGTGGTTGTCGATAAAGGATTTGTAAAGGTTCGAAAACGCTACCGCTTGGAAAATTTGACTCACCGAATCTCGTCGTCGATCAGCCCGGGTTCTTGCGTGGAGCGCACTGAAATGGCAGAGTTAAAAGGCGTAATGTGGAGTCTTTTGGAATCGGAACGCGGCCCCGCTTTGGTCAAGGGCAAAGCGACTTTGGGCCGTGGAATAGGGGTGCGCGAGGCGTGAGTCAGGATAAACAATTCGAGAATGGATTGGGTTTTTGGCAACATTTTTTAAATGATTAAAGGGACCGTGAAGCGCAAAATCGTATCTTCTGCCGCCAAGGTCTCGACAGCTACACCTACAACGAAACGAAATCTAACTCGAATTTTATACAGGTTTTAGAAACACCCGTACAACAATGAAAAATGTCGGCAATTGTTGGATTTTCGTCAAAAATGTATAAAAATTACCAATAGTTCGAATTTTCTAATTTAAACCTAGTTTTTGTAGGCTTTTAGCAATCCAAGGCTACCAAAAACAGTATAAAAACGTTATGTATTATCAACAGGTAGGTTTACGCGGAAAAATGGTTACCCCCCGCTAACAACATAGTACCTAAAATTTTTCAGTTTTTCGAAAAAACAACCAAACCTAATCAATACTTCACAAAACGAATTTGCCAGCCGGGAGGCTGGGTGGGGTTGAGGGAAGGACAAAACCTTCGACTTGCCGGGCCCTGTGCGGGACCCAAATGAATTGGATTCCGGGAGAGCCCCAATTAGGGCCCATCCCATAGACACTGGTGGCCCGCTTGGGAATTGGGGTCGTTTTGTGAGGAATGGCGCTTTTGGCCAGGTCCGAAATAACTGCTCAAACAAGCGCTTCACCCCTGAAACAGATATGGCACTCGAAAAACGGTTGGTGCATGATGTGTGTACCTTGCAAAAAAGTTTCGGGTTATTTTGTGCTGTAAAAAGCTTCAACGCTTCAAATAATACACAAAAAAAGCCAAAATTCGGGTACTATACGGTTAGCAGGGGGGCTCCTTGCCCTTAAAAATGTTTTCAAAAATTTGAATTTTTGGAAATTTTTTTTTCGTGAGTTTGCCATAATTTTTGAGATTTTTTAGTTTTTATACCTAAAAACTGCGGAAGGGATTCCTGAAAAATTATTTTCCCGATTCTAACGCTCCCCCCGCTAATAGACCAGTGCCAAATTGCGTAACACCAAGCTTAAAATGCTTTAAAATCCAATTTTTGATAGATCAAGCGCCAAAAACTCGCAAAATCTTTGATTTCGATAAATAAAAGCTTTGAAAAACGGAGGAACGCGGATAAATGCTAAAACACGCTAATTTGACGCTAAAAGATGACCAAAACAGCGTGCAAAATTATCAATTTTGACATCGTCAGGCTAATCGTCACCGCGCTACCGTACACGCAAAATCCCGACTTACCGGAAGTGTTCGACACGTCCCTCGCCTGCCCTCGCATATTCCCATTTTTGTCGAGCAGCGCCAAGCGGCTCGGCGGACGGTCGCTGGCCCTAAAATTCAAAGTATAAGTGAGTAGAGCGAAAAGCAAACCTTCTCCTCCCCCGTGGGCTCTGGCTCCACTGCTTGAAGCCGAGCGGGGGCAGCTCGACGTGCGGCGAATTTTCGATGACGGTGCCTGAAAACAGAAATCGGCTTCAGAAAGATACGAAATCTCCTACTTTCACTTTCGGCCAACGGCGCGTCTTGGCGAAGACGTAGGTGCAGGTTTTGGCGTGGGGATAGTGGCATCGTCACGGAGGTGGGCAGGGCTAAAAGATGCGGTGCTTACCGTTTAACGGGGGGCTGATTTTAATGTTTCGGCCCATATTTGTGGTTAATAAACACTGTATTTTTATAAGGTTTTAGTAGTTTTTTCGTTTCTAGAAAATTATAAAAAAACCAATTGTAGAAAATTTCGAAAAATCGAAATTTCTACTTTTTCTTCTGATTTTCATACATTTTGACCATAAAAGCTAAATTTCGAAGCGTTTCATAATTTTTATAAATTTTTTACATCTAAAAATCCGCGTGAAAGTCTATAAACATTTGTTATAGGGCCGTACGGAATTACTGGGGTATATGCCCCCCCCCCCGCGTAAACGAGAAGCACCGAATAAGCTATTTCCTAATTCTAATTAGCATAAATATTTATTGAAAAATATGGTAGATTATTGAAAAATATCTAGTAATACGAACCTTGTTGACCTTGTGCTTGTCCTTCTTGAGCAGGAAGTTCTTCAGCGAGCGGGCGGTGAGGGGCGTTCGCGGGGCCTTCTTCGGGGCTTCCTGAGAAGATTGAGTTAGAGGAGAACCAGAATCTGATTAGCTGCCCATTTCTTGGAGATGGGAGAGAAATGGAGAAGACCAAATTGAGGTGTACCTGCTTGGCGACGGGCGGCTCTCGCATCGAGGCACTTTGGTGGAGCTTCCCGGTTGATTTTCGGGGTTGTTCAACAGGGATGGGTTGTTGCTGGGTCTCGGTTCGTTTCTTGAGGGGTGAGGTCCCACGGTGCTCTACCATAATCCGTTCCTTTGGAGGGGCCGGCACGTGGAACACTGGCGGTTGCGATTCTGGAATGAAGTACGGGTTTTTTGGGGTGATGACGTCGGAAAATTGGTCTTTTTTACCCAGTTTTTTCTACGGCATTCCCTTAAAAGTTATTAGATCGATAAAACGTTTTTAATGTGGTTTTTATACAAATTTTTCGACCTATCACGCCTACCTAGTGACTTCAATAAAACCCATTAAAAATCGCGGTTCTATTGCATTATCGAAGGGACCACTTTTTGTATGACCGAATTTTACAATTATCAATACCGGAAGTGTTTCTAACCTTTCGTTACTATTCCTAAACCTAAAAACCTTACAAAAATAAAATGTGAACAAAATATCAGATGTTTCCACCAAATCAGCCGATTCTTCGCAAAAATTTCGGAATTATAGGCTTTTTCAAAGTTTCGGCGTTTCAGATGGTTTTTTTAATTGAAACCTAGTTATATTTTACAAAATAAATCTATTAAAATACTTTTTATTGCCTTTTCTAGGCATTTCTAGATTTCTAAAAAAATTTCGCCATAGTTGCGAAAGTTCAATATGTCATATTTTTAATGAACCAAATTTATTGGGGCTTCTTGGTGAGATTTGGCTATTGTGTAAATGCGGAAATTCTGAATTTTCGGCAATAAGAAATTCCGCAAATTTCGACCGTAGGAATTCTGAAATTTTCACGAGTTTCGACTTTTTGACATTTTCGAGATATTGATTTCGACATCTTGAAAGTGACCCCTAAAAAGACCCCCCATAGGTATAAAAAATTACCGCATTGCCCGCGCAAGCAAAACATAGTAAACTTTGAATATTATATATTAGAATTCAATCCAGTCGTCTGTACTGTGTGGCAAAAGTATTGGCATGGAGGGGACGCGGGAAGGTTGTTGCGCGTTGAATGGGGACCGGACCCCCCAGCCGAGATATATTGGCCTAGAAAAGCCCAATAATGCAGCAGCAACAGGGCGTGGGCTACAGGATGATTGATGGTTGCCGGCGCACTTTTTTTGATAATAATGGCGATGGTGGTGACTTCTTAAACGGGCAAACAGGGCTGGGCGGGGGAAGGTGTAAGGGCGAAAATCGGGTAACTTGAGATGGGAACGAAGGGTCGGGAAAAGAAGCAGGCCGCAAAACTAAGTTTAGAGGTTAGGGAAAACATTTTTTTCTCCCAATTTTTTCTAAAATCTCGCGAAGATTTTCGTAGTCTGAAGTTTTTTCGAAATATTTTTTTCGTAGTCTGAAGTTTACCTAAACCTACCCAAAAACCGACCCTTTTCTCAAGCGGCTCGACGTTCTCCCGATTGCTGTCGGTGCTCAACGGGCCATTGCTGCTGCAGGGTGAGATGACCTGGGCCTCGTCCATCGCCTCCTCAGCCTGCTGCCTCAACGCCGGTTCCGATTTCAGATTCCGGATTTTCTTCAGCCTAAAGTAAGGTCCGATTTGAGCTATGAAATCTAGAATTCCATACCTCAACGGCTCTGCCTGTTCATCATCAATCGGCACCAACATCAGCGTGGAGGTCTCGCTGTGGAGCATCGGGTCCTGGGTCTTTTTATCGCTAGCTTTTCGTTTCTCTTCGATGTGCTTTTCGAGAGCATCCCGCACTTTTCGCAGCCGGAGCATGTTGGCCTCTTCGTGCTCACGGCCGACGTTCGTGTAGAGGAGCGTTGAGGCCTCACTCATTGGGGTCGTGTCGATGGTTAGCTAAAAATTGGGGGTAAAGAACCGGAAGGCAGCGCAAAAAAACCCGGTACTTTTGCATTATCGGGGGGTTTGATTATTTCTCAAAGTAACTTCTATCGATTTCATTTAAAAAATTCCAAATTATCGTTTTTTTGACCGAAAATAACCGATTTTCGACCAAAATTCCACCTAAAAATTTTTCGAAAATTTTTGTATTGGTTTTTCCACATCAAATATCTTTAAGTTTGGATAAAAACTATAAAAACACGTGAGACCAAGTTACTAGCATTTCTGGGCCTATAGGGAAAAATGCCCCCCCCCGATAACGCGAAAGGAACCAAAAACATACCACACTATCGTCCATCTGAAATGGTCTGATATCCGGACGTCGGGGAGCGAGCTTGGAATGGATTTTTTTGAGACGCAGAACCTCGCCCTCAGGATCTTCCAGCGGTTGGAGGAGGAGTGTCGAGGTTTCGCTGAGGAGCAGCGACTCCACTTCCGGTTGATCCTGAATGAATTTATATGATTTTATAGCGTTGCTGTTTGATGCATTGCTAATTTCTACGTTTCTATTTAATACTTTTATACCTAATTGTTTTGCACTTTTATTGGCCAACTTACCAAGCACATTCTCATAAACTCGCTGCGCTTTTTCTCGCTCTCAGGACCCCGGGTCAGCTCTTGAAGCCTTTTTGCGACTACGGGACTTTCCACAGCACGTCGCTGCAACTCTTCGAGCTGTTCTGAGGTCAGCTTCTTCAGATGGAGCGCTTCCGTTGATTCACCGTCTAGAAAAATGTGGTAAGTAAATTTAAATATTTTTGTATAAACTATAAAGGGATAAAAATTGGGATAAAACGAAAACTGACTCAGCGGGGCCAGGTAGAGCGACGAAACCTCACTGACAGCTATCGAATCGGTACGGGGTGCATCCTAAATCGAAGGTTTATAAAAAAATATGGATACTTTTACCAGGCAACAGGCGGCAATACCCTGGAAGATTCGTCCAACGTCGTCAGGGCTGGCCAGCTCGCGCATTGGACTCTGAAGTACTGTAATTTAACAAAATCATGGCTTAAACGGGTACTGGTCTGTTAGCAGGGCGAACCATTTTTGTTTTACCGCCCCTACCTGGCTTTTAATAATAAATACTGTATTTTACAATGTTTTAGCAGTTTTTGATTGCTAGAAAGCTACAAAATTCAAAATTCACAGTTTTTCAAAAATTCAAAATTTGGATGATTTTTGGTAATTTTTTATCATTTTTGCCCAAGAAAGTAAATTTTGATGGGGCGTTTTATAACTGAAACTTATAAGACTTATAAAAACTGCGTAAAATGCTATAAAAAAATTTTTTTTTATCGGGCCTTACAGAATTACTGCGAAAAATTAGTTTTCCCTGCTATAAACCTGCCAGCCCCCGGTAAGAGCACAATGCCTTAAAAGTATGCTAAAAATCTGAAAACTACCTCCTCTGGGTGCAGCTTTTTCAGATGTACTTTGTCGCCGCCACCGATTGGCATTAGGCACAGTGAGGAGACCGAACTTCCGCCAATCGAATCGCGGCGGGGCTGGGCCTGCAATTTGGTAGAATTTTTTAGGGCATTTATAATAATTTAAAACATTTTTAAAAGTATTTTTATGTTACTTAAAAAGTACTTGAACTTAATAAAATATTTTCGTCAATTTCAAAACTCACCCAACAAAACACGGCAATTTCCTTGAGTACATCACGCTCCTCTTCCTCTTTCAAAACTTCCGGTGCTGGTGGCAGAGCTTTTGGTGCCGATGGGTCGCGAATCTTTTTGATCGTGATCGCCTCATCAGCTGGGGCTCCGATTGGAAGGAGATGGATGGAGGAGGCATCTGAGAGGCAGATTGACCCGGTGCGAGGTTGGTTCTGGAATTTAACGGATTAAAAAATAGGCTTTTCAAAGCATAAAAAAGTGAATAGGCCTAAAGCTGGATGTGTCAGAAGGAGCGTATCGTACACACCCTGCAAAACAGCGCCACGTCCTTCAACATCTTCTGCACATCCCCAGGCGTATCGGCAAGCGTCTCGGTGCCGTCGGGGTGCAGCTTCTTCAGCCGAAGCGGTTCCGTGCCCTCGTCATCGCCAAGGGGAGTAGGTACAGCGTTGAAGCCTCGGAGCCGACGATCGACTGGGTTTTGGGTTGGGACTGTAAGGAAAGTGTTTTTCTGGTATTGAGAACGAATTTTACGACGAATAAAAAATTTTTCCAAGCCACCTACCATACAAAACGCAGCGACCTGCTTGAAGATCTTGGCAATATCATCGTCGCGCGCCTTTTCCACGGCCGTCGTGGGGCGAATTTTCTGGAGGTGAAGCGGTCCTTCTGGTTTCCCGTCGACGGCAACAAGGTCAAGGACGGATGGGCCGCTGGAGGCGATCGATTCGGTGCGTGGTTGGCCCTGAAAATTGGATTCATGAAAAATGGTACCAAAAATTTGTAAAAAACTACCGAAAAAACGATAAAATGCTTACGATACAAAAATCGATGACGTCATCAAGTTCGGGGCGTCGTGGCCGCGTGTCCGTTTCCCGTATCTTTTTCAAGCGCAACTCCGGCGCGTCGTCGTCATCAGGATGGAGTACAATGGTCGACACCTCGCTGAGGAACACTGGTTCGGGCTCTTTTTCGGCGCGGATCTGGAAAGTTTATCTCTCTCGTTCTATCGCTCTTTCTCTCTCTCTCTCTCTCTCTCTCTCTCTCTGCGTACCTGCCACTTACCGTGAACACTTCAGTTGTGCATATCGGAGTTTCTTCTCGTACTCGCTTCAGTCGTAGCGGCTCGACTTCCGGTTGTCCGATAGGTTGTAGGTACAGGGTGGAGGTTTCGCTCATCGGCGTCTGGGCGACGTCGGGGGTCAACGGGCCCCCTGGGCTCATTCCGATGTCCATCGGGATCTGGAAAAATCACACTTGAGGGCGTGGCGTAGCGTCATTTGGAAGTGGTACGTAGTTGACATTAGCGGCAGTCAAATACTATTTTTTACTGACCTCATCCTCCTGCTCATCCAACAGATCCCTCTGGAGCTCATCGTTATCCCGTGCTTGTGCAATGTCAGCCTCAGCCTCGGCTCTATCGTCCGGGGAGCCGGCGAGCCCGCTAAATTCTCGCCGAATCGGTTGCGGCTCGACAGCAAGATCGGTAGGTTTCGTCATTTCCGGTAAGGGGAGGATGATGGTCTCCTGAAAAAAATGGTACTAGGTAAGGCAAGTCTTTTGACCCCCCCCCCGATAATGCAAAAGCACCGCTAAGTTAAGCCAAGCCCACCTCAACAGCCAATATCGTCGACGTGGTCGAGGTGGGGTCCCGTAGAACAATGGATGTGTGCGCGTGGCGGAAGGTGGGTTGTGTGATGGCGATCTGTTTCTTGATGTTCTCCTCAAGCATTGGGGGCTCCTCTACATTCTCGTGCTCCTCCCGCTGCTTCTCCACCTCTTCTAGGGTCACCTCTTCCCTCGAGGGACTTCCCCGGAGTAGCGTTATCTTTTGTGGCGGTCGCAGCTGGAAACAGAGTCCTGGATTAAAGGGAGGGGCTTATTTATGGGCGGGGATGGCAGGGGGAATGTAGCGTTTTTGCAGGAGCGACTTGGAAAAGCGGAAGGGATGCAAGGAGGAAAAGCGGAAGGTTGATACCTTGGATTCCTTCGAACTGCCCGCCTCCATCGAGTGGCTTTTCGCCATTTTGTAGCTGGTGTCGCTGTCGGCGCGGCGCGGCGCGGCTGGCCGCATGCTGAAAAATGGGCACTAGGTTTTTGGCTTCAGAAGAGGTAGAAGCTGGGAGTTGGGAGTTGGACTCTTAGGATTCGATTAAAACGCGAACCGCAACACGCGCCCCAGGTTTAGCAGCTGGGAGCTGGAAGTAAAGTCGTAGGATAACGTACGTTAGGTGAACGCGACGCCGAAAAGCCCGCTAAGCCCAAGCTAAGCCCGACCTAAGCATAAGCTAAACCTAAACTAAGCTTGGTAAGCCTAGCTTGAGCCTAACCGAGCCCAAATAAGCCAGGCTAAGCTAAGCAGACGGCTCCTAGCTCCTGCTCCCAGCTCCTGCCAGCTTCGCTCCCAGCTCCCAACTCCAGGCCTCTCCAAATAGAAGCTAGGGCTGAATTTCACGACGCAAACATCACGCGCGCTGTCAGCTAAGGGTTAGAAGCTGCATTTTAACGCAAAATAGGCCCATTTTCCAGTTCCCCCGTAAGCCCATAAATTTCCAGCCAGATTTCGAACGTACACCTCTAAACAAAACGCTCCGTTTCCCGGGAATCAAGCCGAAAAAAGACGTATGGGCGGTGTTTAGTGTATTGCCACGGAATGGAAGATGTCAAGGGGCCCGGGGCCTAGGGCCCAAATCGTGGCGCCGGGCCCGGGGTTGACAAATCCCCGGCAGTCATTTCTCATCCGGGTCTCTCGCTCGTTCTCTCTCTCTCTTTCTCTCTTCCTCCTTGAAAAGACGGGAGGAAGATGAGGTCCCTGGGGGACACTCCGTTATGCTGCTATGCACACCAACACGCCAACAGATACCAGGCGACTAAAAGGGGGAGGGGTGAGTTCCCTAAAATGTGCTCCCCTGGATTGGGAAGGGATTACCCGCTGGATGGGTGCGTTTGAGAACGAGCGGCACCCATGTACAGCTATATTTTTGGAATGAAAAGTTATGGGGAAAGGAGGGGGAGGGCTTTGGGGAACGGCGCGTGAAAGGGCAGGGACACACACCAGAAACGGCAAATTCAGGCAGAAAAGGCAGAACGCTAGGGTGTTCTTTGGAGTGTAGCGTTGCGAGACTCGGACTCCACATAGATACAATGCACACTATAATTGCTTTGCGCCTGTAACAGAGAGAGAATGTGTGAGAGGAGCGAGAGAGAGAGAGAGAGAGCAGAGAGAGAGGGGGCGCAAGTAAGAGGCAGTTAGAGAGACAGATATGCGAGAGAGAGGGAGGGAGGTGAGAAGAGAGAGAAAGAGAGAGGGGGGGAGAGAGCGAGAATGAGAGAGGGAGAGAGGGAGAGAGGGAGGGAGAGAGGAGGAGGGAGAGCGAGAGAGAGTGAGATAGAGAGGTAGAGAGCGAGAGTGAGAGAGAGCGAGAGATTAAGACAGAGAAAGAGAGTTTGTTACCAATTTCTGAACCTGTTTACTACCGAAATCCCTTTTTTAGCCTTGTAAAACTAACCAAAAGCAACCCCAGAAACCCATCGTCAGAATGGATCCAAGCGGGAATATTCGAGGAATGCGTTCGTTTTCGAGAATAGCCGAATTTTGTTGTATTCGGTCGGAGGGAGGGGCAATGTGCGCGTTGCCCATGCTCTTGCTTCCCTCTGATATTTGAGTCAATAGGGTAAACACAGAAGAACTCGATAAAACTATGGGGGAGAGGGAGGTGGGGGTGGCCGTTCGTGAGATTAGCCAGTGGCTTTTCCGAAAAGAATGATGCCCAAAGTGCCAGCTTAAGCTCGTCTAAGCTGGGACTCATTGCCTAAGGCTAAGCCAGTTGCATTAAGCCCTAAGCCTATTCAAAAGCCTAAACCTAAGCAAAGCCAATCCCTTGAAAAGCCAGGTTTATACCAACTTTACTAAAACACATACTAACGAAAAAATTTGACTCCCAAAATCTACCAGAATCCCTGCTAGCCTGCCTAAAGCTTCGAAAATTCCGGCGGCTCAACTTGACTTGCAATGAATCAGCTGAAGCTCCACACCTGCTCATACTCCGGCTTCCCTTGATCGAAGACGACGTGGCGCTGTCGTGGCTTCGCCCCAGTCGCCTTACTGAAAAAAGGCATGTTTTGGGGCGCTAAAGTTAGTACCAACCTCAGCTTGCTCCTCACCGAATGGGCGACGCTCATCAGCGGCGAGCGGGGTGTTTCGGGTTTTTGCTTCTGGAAATTGGGTGTAGATTAGCAGTCGATAAGTTTAAAAATTACGATAGGAATGTGCTACGGTAACTATTAATTTTTGTAAATCCGGTCCCTCATACAAACCTCCACCCGTTGAAGTTCGAAGCTGTATTTCGGGAGCCGCTAAACCGGGGCAGCATCGTCTGAAAAAAGGTGGATACAGTTTTCTGGGCAAAAATTGGGCGAAATGGCCCTCGGTAAGTTTTGAGCAAAAAGCAAAATATCTGCCACGGCCGCGGTTTGAACCCGCGACCCTGGGATCGACAGTCGAGGATGCTAACCACTAGACCAAGCGCCAAATGGGGGAAGGGGCGGGGGGGGGTAATAGGGGTTTGGACCCGGATTGCGTCAGCCCAGTTTTCAGAAAATCAAGGCTACGGAATGCTACAGAAAACGGAAGGGAGCGGAGCGTTGTGTAGCGGGTTTTTTGGGGGATGGGTTGCCATTTGCATCGGGAATGGGTCCTCCTCGGGCCCCTAGCTCCAAAAGGCCCGATGAGAAATGAACGTCTAGGATTTTCCGGGAGGCCAAACAACCAAGAATCTCGCCTGGCCAACCATGCGGAAAGAATAAATAATGGGATTATATTCGGGGGAAATCGTATGATTTACGCTAATTGATTTTAAGCTGTAGATGTAGCTGAACAGCCAAGGACGACCAAGTTCAACAAGTGCCTAACCGAATCCTAAATTTTTTGTTCTATTACCAATACGAGTTCAAGAAAAAGCCCAAAAAATTCCGGGGAATGTAACTATTTCCTGATCCTCCAACGAGTTCAAGAAGTATAATTTGAAAAGTATCTACGAAAGTCTTAGACAGTAAAATTCCAAAGATCAACGAGTTCAAGAGGTACGGGACGAGCCATTAAATTCTCTAAATTGTAGGCGATCTAGCAATCAGTTGATGACCAGCGACTTCAAGCAGTTCATAGGAATGCCATCCAGACATGGCAATCCCGGCCGGCCCAGCCGCCTTGCCTTGAGCATGCCGGCCTAATTCCATAAAAAAACGGCCCCATTTACGAGCCGCAGTTATTGACTTACTTCCGGAACCCGGCTACCGGCCCAGCTGGTAACTAGTTGTTGGCCCGGTTGCCGGTCTGTTGAGCCGGGAAAACGGAAGTTGTTTATTTACCTTATAGAATCTGTGTATCTTATGCAAAATTGTGAATGGAAATGGACAAACTGTCGATGGTTTGGTCAGTTTTAGCCCTTGCCATAAAGCCAATTATTGATTGATCCGTAATTTGCGTACCGGAAACGCGAAAATCCATTTAAGTCCGGCTTTCCGGCTTTTCAAAAGCCGGCGGCTTGGCTGGGGATCCGGCTTTGAATAAAGACCAGGGGATGGACTACGGAAATAGCCCCAATGCTGCGGCTCGGCCGCATGCTCAATTTCCGGCTGAAAAAGCCGGCGGCCCGGCCGTTGCCCATTGTCTGGGTAAATCCAAGGTTTTTAGTAGCATTCATTTATAGCAATTTTAGCTTCACTACAACCCCAAGGAGTTCGTCGAAAATAATTCGGTAAGACAGCTTAAGAGCTCAGTTGATTTTTACGAAGGCGGTTGATGACCATCAACTCGAGAAGTACCGAATAAAGGCCAAAAATCGCCAGGAAACTGGTTGTAATCCTATTAAAGACTCGGAGGGGCAGTGGCGACACTTTGAAAGCAATCAATTTTGGCGCCTGGTTCGGGGCGTTGTAATCCCATAGGAGAGAACCAGATGGATGAGGAAAGGTCCACCGAAAGAGAAAAGCAAAGAAGGTTGAGTGAGCTGCCATTGCGAGAGTCCCGGCGATGAATTCGCCAATTCCAGGAGGGCATTCCCCATCCATTGGTGCTCCTTGTCCTAGGGAGGTTGGCCAATGGACCTCTCATCAAGTGCAGGGAGAGAAGAGAGGAAAACTGTTGACAACCCATTGCATACCTAAATGAAACCCGTAATTGGGTGAGAACCGGAATGGGAATTCCTTTTGAGGGAGCTTGGCATTGGCAAGAAGTGATCCTTTGGGAAGAAATTTGAGCTCGGCCAGGGAACAGAGATTCTTTTAAGGAAATATGCTAGCTTGGCAGGCTGAACAATGTGTGGCTTCGAAAGATAAAATTAGCTGGGCAGAAGCTGGCAGAGGCCCTTTAGGAAGCACCTGGCGTTGTTCAGCTGTCAGAGATTTTTCAGGAGGGAGAAAGTTGATCTAGCTGGCAAGCCAAAGGTCATTTAAGCAGAGCTCGAGCTCAGTAGGCTGCCACAGGATTCTTTAGGCCAACTCTCGTAACCATGCATCAACTAGCAGGGTGTTGAGACCAGCCCGAACTTAGTAAGCCGGCAGGGATCTCTTGGGACAAGTTCGAACTCGGCAAACAAGCAGAATTATTTGGGAGCAAGTTCGAGCTCCGACAAGGCTATTAAATTTCGAAATTCCCTGCTTTCACCACCATTGTTTAAAAAAAATACAGGTACTATTGCAGGTTTCGAAAACCTAAAAACGAAGCTCCAAAAACCCGCAGGACCCGTCTCGTCTCTAAACGTTTAAAAAACGCTTAGAATCAATTTGAACCCGTAAGTTTTAAAAGCCAGCTGTAGAAGCCCCTATATTTTGTACAAATCCGTCTGTATTAAAAGGCACCCTCATTCAAGTATTGGTGATGATCTCACAGGGATATCAAGAGCCCCCACAGGAAAAAAAACCACCAAAGGCGATTAAATGGATGGCGGACATGGCCCCCAGGTCCACTGTTTGAAGGGATAAAAGAAGCCCTGGGGGAGCCAAACCCAGAAAGCAGTTCCGTTTCCCCCGGGCAGCTCATAAAGTCAATGAAGAAGAAAAACATTTTGGAATTGGATATTCAGGGACAGGAATTCAATTTGATCTGCGAGAAATCCAGTCCAAAAAAAGGACATGATCGGACTGATTGGTTATGGTGCTTTTGCATCATCACCGGGGCCGATTTTTTTGAATAATAATACATTTTTGAATTGTTGTTCATAATATTAATTCATAGAAAAGGAAAAAACCAATCTATCTACCCCACACAGGCGTTAAAATGTAATCCAAAATCGGCATTTCGGACCAGTCAATCGACATTAATTCTACTTCCAATACAAAAACTATATTTGTTTAGCGCTTGAAACCAGCTGTGAAATTCCGATAAGCCTTTCCCCCCCCCGATAATGCAAAAACCCCTAAGACCATGCCAACAGTTTACCGATGCCCCCCCAAGGCGCAGTAAAAAGAGTCGGCCTTTTGGAGAAGTGCACCAAAAAAGCTTTTGAACTGAGCGTTCGCGGTTCGTTCAGGACCAACCGGAAATTGACATTTTTAACTGGTCTACCCCCTGGTTTCCAGGCATTAGGTCAAAGCCAAAACCAGCTTTTGGCGCAGTATACCGAGGATCGTCTCGACCATCCGATTCTCGATTATCCCGCATTGGTCCTCAGGTGGGGCCACGATCAAGTCGTGCTGAAATGCGGGGGAGTAAGGTAGAAACGCTGCTCTCTCTTTCACACACTCTCTCTCTCTCTCTCTCTCCCCTCTGACTTTCTCATAATCTCAAACTCCCTTTCCCGCGCTACTCTCTCTCTGCTGTTCACTCCGATCTGTCGTTATTCTGTTATCCCTGTGTGCTATCCGGAATTGTGAGGATGTTTGGGTTTGAGTGGAGGTCAACAGACGAGACGCTGAAAAAAGATTGGCGCTATCGGTATCTTGAATACAGAGATTAAAATCATCAGGACAAACCCCAAAACTGGCTTTTCTGAAATTTTTCACTGTTTTCAGCATCCACATTGTATTTCAGCCTTTTGTACGAAGCATTTCCGATGAGCCGAGTACAAAAAAATTTCAGGAGAACGCAAAATAGCTGCACAATCGAGCGAAGAGCATGTTAAAAATTTTCGCTTCTTAAATAACATAAAAATTACGGTAAACTTTTAGAAAATATGTTCAAGATAATTTTAGCAGGCAAATAATGAAGTTTGTAGCCAGGACGGACCTAACTCCTTCCTGATTAAGACATACATTAATGATCCTTTTTACGTTTATTACTGATTTCCATCCCATTCACTGTTGAAAGCTGTTGCTATGCTTGCTCAATAACCAGCTAATCAAAAATCAAAGTTGGCCCAATTTCAAAATCCCTTGTACATCAAATGGTTTCTGCCCAAAATTTATGCCTCTAGTCATGACAATAATCATATCGCGTTTTTAGGGTTCCTCCGGGACCTGACCTTTTTGGCAACCAGGGCAGCGCGTACCTCGATTTCAACTTTTTTTGAAACTGGCTATTTTTTTCTTCGGGTGTACAAACCTAGCGTTTTTAAGGCCGGCTAAAGTGTTGCTCGGTCATTTCCGAACTCTTCCTGTGGTTTCTTTGTTCGTCCGGTCATTTTCAAGTTTCTTCTGGGATCGGGGAACATGCGCGTTTTCAGCGAAACACACAGGAGAAAATTTGGTTCGAACTTCTCCAATTTATTCCGAAGAGATATGACGGATTCACGCGCAGTTTTCTTTTTAAGCTTATTAAATACACTTCAACGATTCATAGAAATTAAATTATGGTCTGCAAAAACAGGGAAAAATAGGAAAAAACCGCTTTGCAACTTTGTCCGGATAATTTTGGGGTTACCTGTAGGACCCACAAGGTAAAGGCAAAAGACATTTTGAGTGGATCTTCTATGGATTTTGCCGCACCCATTACCGAATTGCCTTTGCTTTAAGATGAGGAATTACAAAAATAACAATAACAAAATGGAGAATAACCGACCAATCGATCGAGTCGTCTCCGGTTGTTCCGGTTCGATCAGGACGCAGTGATGGAAGAACCATAACGGTGGTATACGGCCGCGGGTACGGGTAGCTGCCCGGTGACGATCGTATTAGGCTTCTAAAAAGGCCAGGGAAATATTCTAGGGTTTCTCGGGAACTGTGGCTCCGTCCGGCATACTGTATCCAACCTAGTCTTTTTATTATAGTCCTGTGTGGATAGGAGCGTTGCGTATGTCCACGCCCAGGTACAAATACACCCGAAATTAGCATAAATGCCACGAAATACGCCCCGTTCTACTACCTGTCCGGCGCGGTTTGTAGCTCCGGGCAACGGCGACGCCGACTTCTTTCGACTTTTTCCGCGTAAAAAACCGAA